CCAAGTCTTTCTATTACAAAGGGCCCCGTTTAAAGTCACTGGTTTCATTGGTCACCCTGACTGAGGGGACCAAAAGGACACCAGGATGGCGATATGGTTCTCCATTACCCAAAGATGCCTCCCAGGTACCAGGCCTCCTTTTTATTGCAGGGTAAATCAGGGTCAACTGTTTTTGCTTGACTGTCTCTGGGATATTCATTTGGAGTGACATTGGCATTTAACAGGCAGTAGTCCATTGTTGGTCACCAGATCCCTCCTGAGCTGTCACCTTGCAACAGGACTGTTTATAACATTTTATTTGTGTTAAGTCTTGTATCAAAATAATGTCCTGTTCTGCACCTAGTGTTTTCCAGGAAGGAATGATCACAGAAGTCCCAGACAACCAGGTGATTGTGCCCTGAGCTCCTATTTCCATAGGGTTTTCTCTGCCTCCATCCATGCTGCCTGCTTTTTCACATTCTGTGTGTGTGTGTGTGTGTGTGTGTGTGTGTGTGTGTGTGTGTGTGTGTAAAAAAGAAAGAGATGCTGACTGGTGTTCCACTCACCATCCTTTCCCCATAAATCCTCCACCTGCATGTTCAGCTGCTGCACCCCTGGCCTACATCTCCACCTGGACTGGGTGTGAGAGATATCTCACCCTTCCCCTCTGCCAGCAAGCCACAGTCTGTCAGACTGGTTCCGGTGCTTGAGTCCAGTGAAACCGAAATTAATGGTTAAGCAGAGAGGATTTGTTACTTACAGATAGACAGTAAAGGACAATACAAACCTAGAATTCCTTGCTAGCCAGTCCCCCAAGGCTCAGGAAAGCTGCCCACGGCAGATGGAGGCTCATCTTTCATTCCCCACTTGCACTGCAGCTGAAGGACCTCAGAAAGCAGGTAGCCCTGGGTTTTGTACCCTGGGGACATAGAACTTCCTGACTTAGGACATCCTGTTTCTAGAGGGGACCAGCTCAGAGCCCAGGCTGTTATCTCAGGATGCTACATTCCCAGCACATTCTACAGTTATTTTTGAGAGCTACAAACAATAAAGGGGGAAGAACTGGATCAATCCAAAGCTATCTAGAGAGTGGCCATGCATCTTCAAGTTAATATTTCAGTGTAGAAGCCGGACACTGTCTTCATTCCTGTAGGATCTTGTGCACAGGAGGGTTTTAATTATTGAGTGTGTTCACTTACATCTAGGGGACCCCTACTAGACAATGATAAACTCTTTGCTTTTAGCATTCATACACACCTTAAAGAACTTAACAAGAGAAAACAGTATGATATTTACCCAAATACCCATTTCTCTTGTTCTTCTTTGGTATCTGAAGCCACAAGTTTCCCTGTTGTGTTATTTCCTTCAGCCTAAAATACTCCATTTGCATTCCTTTTAGAGAAGTTCTGCTAGTGAAAAATTCTCAGTTTGGCATCATCTGATAGGCTAGTTGGTTTTTTTTTTTTTTTTTTTTTGAAGTACTGAGGATTGAACTCAGGGCCTTGGGCCTTGCATTTGCCAGGCAGGTGCTCCACCACTTCAGTCATTCCTCCAACCTTTCTTGTTTTATTTATTTATTTAGTGGCACTGGGGCTTGAACTCAGGGCCTTCACCTTGAGCCACTCCACCAGCCCTTTTTGTGATGGGTGTTTTCCAAATAGGGTCTCATGAACTATTTGCCTTGGCTGGCTTTGAACCATGATCCTCCTGAGTAGTTAGGATTACAGGCATGAGCCATCAGCACCCAGCTTAGCCATTTCTGAGATGGGATGTTGCTTTATGCTCCATCCTGGACTGTGATCCTCTCATTTGTGTTTCTGCACATAGCTGGGATGACAGACCCCAGTCATTGGTTGAGATGGAGTCTGGTGAACTTTTTGCCTGGGCTGGCCTCGAACCTAGATCTTCCCAATCTCTGCCTCCAGAGTACCTGTTATTACAGGCTTGAGCCAGTATACCTAGCTCTGCTTGTCCTCTTCCCTGCTTGGCGCTGCATTCTGTCTTGAGGCTCCTTTTCTTTCAGTACTTTAAAGATGTTCCGCTACTTTCTTTCTTCTGTGGTCTTCCCATAAAATGTGCAGTCATTTGAAGCATTCCTCTGTATGTAACGTAACCTATTTATCAAGCTGCTTACATTTTTGTCTTTATCTTTGCCTTTCAGCAGTTTAATTATGATGTGTCTGGGTATAGTTTTCTGTACCAGACCGTTTTATCATTCTCTGAACTTCTCGAATAGAAGTTTACATAAATCAATACATCTATGAGTTTCTGTCATTATTTATTCACTAATTACTTTGAGCCTGTCTCATTCTTTTCTACTTCTGGTACTTTTGACCTTGTTGAAATTCTTTTATTGGGGCTAGGGATGTAGCTTGATGATAAAATGTGTTCTCAGCAGGAGTGAAATTTAATTCCCAACAACAAAAAAGAGCATGTTATTTTTTAAGGACCTTGAGGCTCTGTTTATTTTTTTTTTCAGCATTTTCTTTTGTAGCCCAGAATGGCCTCTAACTTTTGATTCTCCTGCCTCTGTCTTCTGAGTGCTGGGATTACAGGCATGTGCCACTACAGCCAGCTTTCAGTCATCTTTCTCTGGTCTTTGGATAGGATAATTCTATTGATGTATCTTCAAGACCTTCTCTGTGTGTATGGTATTGGGGATTGAATTTAGGGCCTCGCACTTGCTAGGCAAGTGTTCTACCACTTGAGCCATGCCCCAGTCCTCTTGTTTTTATTTTGTTTTTCACACAGGGTCTCAAACTAACTTTGCCAGGGCTGGCTTGGAACCATAATCCTTCTGCCTTTGCTTTCTGAGTAGCTGGGATTACAAGCAGGTACCACCATGTCCAGCACAAGACCTTCTTGATCACTATGTGTTTAAGATAGATGTCTTGGATTTTTATTCTGTGTGTGGTTTTATCTTGTGTTGCTGCTTTATTTTTGGTGGTGGTACTGGGGTTTGAACTCAGGGCCTCACTTTTGCTAAGCAGGCACTTAAGTCACTCTGCCATCCCTTTTTTTGTATTGAATATTTTTGAGATAGGGTCTCTCAAACTATCTGTCCCTGCTGGCTTTGAACCACCATCCTCCTGATCTCTGACTCCCAAGTAGAGTAGGATGACAGGTGTGAGCCACTGACACTCAATTATCCCATGCTTCTTGAATCTGTAGATTTATGTCTTTCATCAAATTTGGGGATATTTGACTCATTATTTATTAATCTTTGCATTTTTTTTCCTCCTTGAACTTTAGCAAGTGCTAGAGCTTTTGTTTTTAGAATCCCAGTTTTCACTGGGGCTTTCTTCATTTCTATTGCTCTACCCTCAGGCCCACCCACTCCTTCATCTGTCATGTCTGTTCTGCTGTTGACCCTCCCAAATGAGTTCTTTTTTTCTGTTATTTTCAGATCTAAAATTTCTTTTTCATCTTTTATTCCTTTGCTGAGATGTTCCATTTGTTTTGAGAATGTTCCTGATTGCCGTTTATACTTGTTTAAAAGCTTTTCACAAATAATTCCAACCTCAGGGTCACCTTTTTTACTGGCATTCATTGACTGATTTTCTCATTTGAGCTGAGATTTTCCTGGCTCTTTGCATGCTGAATTATTTTGGATTATATTCTAGACATCTCAAGTATTATGTGAAACTCTTGGTATGAAGAATATTGAGAGTTTTGTTTTAATTGACAATTGACCTAGTTAGATTTGGGCTGCATTTCAACCTGGCTTTTGTGAGTCAAGGTTCCAACAACAGTTCAGCTTTCAAAGCTTTGCAGTGCTTTTAAAATCAGTTCTACCCGTGTAGAATAGTGGTCCATTAGCTCAGTCTACAGAGTGGATCCAGGCATGCGATTGGGAGGTAAGAGCCCCCCTGCTGTCATGAGGTCAGGCACTTTTCTCTCCACCATGACCATGTGCTTTTCTGGTTCCCTAGAACTTTCCATTTGATTCTCCAGCCAGACATCTGGGGCTTTAAATATCCTGGCAGTCACTTCTACTGTTGTGCTGTCATCCAAGGCCAAATGTTGGAAGGACTGATGTTTAAAAAAACAAAACAAAACAGGTAACTTCATTGCCAAGTCAGCAGTAAGTTCTAGTCTCTGTTGCTATTTACTTTCAGAGTTCCCAGACACATCCCATGAGTCATGTCCCCTGCCCTCAGTGGAACCAACAGGATGGAAGGTGCTTCCTTTGTCTTTTCTAGAACTGAATCCCATCCAGGTTTTTATTTCAGATATTATATTTTTCAGTTTTTAAAATGTCCATTTGGTTCTTTCTTATTCATTTTTATTTTTTAATTTTTGGCAATACTGGAGTTTTGACTCAGTGCTTGCTAGGCACACCCCTAGCTTTTAAATTTTTTTTAGTAATTTTTCAGATTGCTTAAGTTTTTGCCTTTGGCCAGTCCCTTGGACCATGATCCTCCTACCTGTGGCTTCCTGTGTAGCTGGGATTACAGGTGTAAGCCACTCCACTGGTTCTTTTTAAAATTGCTTCTTTTCCTCTGCTGAAAATTGTTTTCCTTCTGTTTATTTCAGCTGTCTTTAGCTTTACCTCAGGTAGCTATTCAAAGTGCTTGTCTAGCAGTTACGCTATAGGGGTCATCTGGAGGTTGGCGTCTGTTGATTACCTTTTCCTTGGGAATTGGTGACATTATCCCAGGATGTTTTGTCTGTTGAATAATTTGGGGTTATATTATTGTCATTGTGAATGTTATTTTTCTTGGACTCTGGGTTCTGTTAAAATCTTCCTCCATGTTATAATCGTCCTTCTCTAAATTTTGAGTTTTCTCCACCATCTGCCTGCCCTTTTGTATTTTTCCTCAGAGTATCTAAAACAATCAGCAAACAAGAAAAGCTATATTGGGATACTACATCTTGTCAGTAAAACTGGTTTTGTTTACTATTTTCTTAAGAATAAACAAAAATACTTGTTGAATGAAGACACAAACTGCCTACTTACTGATGTCCTTTTAGACTGTGTCCTTGAGTTCTTGTCTTTGTTTCTTTTTCTTTTTTGGCAGTTCATCCAAAGGCTCCCTATCAGGTCAACCTTGAAAATGTAGGTGCCACAAAAGTCAGGATGACTTGGAAGGTGCCTTCCCCTGGGGATTACCACACATTTTGGTGTCAGGTTGAGCTCCAAGATGAAGGAAAAGTAATACAAGTAAGAACACAGCTCAATTTTCTATTTTCAAAAATCCTTTGATGTACTTGAGCAGAGAGCTTGCTGAATAAAATCACTTTAATGTGGTATCACACTCTTGTAATCCCAACTCTTGGGAGACTGAAGCAGGAAGATCATGAGTTTGAGGCTAGCCTGGGCTACGTAGCAAGCCTAGATCCCAAAATACGGAGAAAACACAAAATAAAAAAACCATTTTAAACTCTTCTTTCTGTGTTGGTTCCATGCTGCAGATCATCTGTTTAAAAATGGCTGGGTGATTCTCTAGACTTAATCTAGTGTTGGGAAGAAGGCCTTGTGGCTTTTTGTTTTCTTTTTCAAAGAAGGCCTGTCTTTACTCCAAATCTAGATTTGCTAGTTTCTGTCTTGGGTTTGCAGTGAGGTGTGCCCACTGACACTGCTGTCTTCTTTTTATTTTCTCTTTCTTCTCTTTTTGGATCAAGCGGCACAATGTGTCAGTCAAGGTGAACGGTGAGTACCTCTTCAGTGAGCTGGAGCCCAACAAGAAGTATGAGGCCCAGGTGCGCTGTGCTGATGGCAGCCACTTCTGGAGATGGAGTGAATGGACGTCTCAAACCCTCGTCACCACCGAGGCTGGTATGTACACCTTCCTAGCATTTAAGCCAAGGAGGTCCTAAGCCTTGGGCGGTGAACTGGCTTCCTTGACAGCTTATAGTTGTCCCAAAACTAAGAGGCAAGTATTAAAACAGAAACAGGATAGCATTTTTAAAAAATTGGATTAAATGCCTAAAGAGCAGGATAACATCAATCAGTGTCACTCACTTCTACTGTATGTTTTCTCTCTTTCTTTTCAGTTTTCCAAAATAGTTCGTAAGCTATTGTTATGGCTGGATTCCCATTGAGTCTGGGGCTGTGTAAATTAGTACAGACCTGTAAGTCAGGACTGAGTCCAAATAGCAATGTTAATGCCATGGAAAGCAATGGAATCATAACTAAACTAAACTAAATTAAGTTAAAGCATCAGACTGTGTTGACAATGTAATGACACTTGGAACTTTATTTTTCCTGGTAAGTCATTTGTCACAGTGACAGCACACTGGGAACCCTCTCTAGATGCTCTCAGGGTTAGAGTGTCCTCAGAACTGACTGCTCGGAGTCCTTCACCCAATCACTGTGTCCCAGAGCTCACTGGGCCTCAGGAGATAAGCTGGCCTAGCCCTGCCTCTAGCACTTTCCAATTCCAGAAAGTATTACTGCTCCCCATTTTCCAGATGAGGCAGCTGGTGCCTGTGGGAAAGGCACTAGCTCAGCTGGCAGTGTTAATGAGAGCCAACCCATAATAACAGCAGCTCACTTCTGTGAGCTCACTGTGCTTCTCCTCTAATCCTCACAGTCTGCGTAGGTGCCGTTAGGGTGCTTGCTTATAAAGAAGGCCACTGAGGCACAGACAGGTGAAGTAATTTCACTGGCCCATTTACTGAGTGACTGAGCTGCAGCTCATACCCAGTCCCAGGGGCAGCTCCTTCCTAACACAGCTGGATCCCTTTGGTGTTCTCTCCCTCTTCCTCTCTCTCTCCCATGTTGTTGGTCCAAGTCCTGGCTGTTTTGCTGTCAAGGAAGGCTTACATGTATGACTTGCATGTGTTCGTGGGTGGTGGCAGACCCTTTCTGTGGCATTTTTGGGGGATCATTTTCAAGCAGTGGCTCTAATTTGTGGACAGTGAAGACAGCTAAGCAGAATCTACACATGGGATAGTCAGCAGCTGAGCTCAGCAGGCTCCCACCCTGTGGTTCCTGCCCACCCTCATGCCCACAGAGGCTCCAGTGATTTTTCCTAGGGATGCAAACTCCCTGAGAACCCTGCTGTGGCATCTACCTAAGCCATGTATTATTAAAAACTTTTTACTTTAATTATGCTGTTTTGTTTTGTGTGTTTGCAGCAAATTCTTTCCAGCATTATAACTAAAATTTTGCCATTCCAAAAGGGTAAAGCATCTTTGCATTATAGTATAATAAACCTGAAAATACTTGGCTTTTGATGAGGACAAGAAAATGAGAAGAACCTATTGATAGTGAACTATACAATATTTGTTTACCTCTCATAACACTTTGCTTAATTAACACTGGAAAACTCAATAGTAAGTGCTCATAGAATCAGATGACATCATAGTAGAAACTGTATTGTATGTGAATATACAGAGCTATCAGTTATACTGCAGCATTTTGTTTTGTTTTGTTTTGAGTAGTAATTTACAAACCAGCTGAAGGTTTTGCACTGAGCTTGGAGCCTGATATTGTGCCTGAGATTTCAATAGTTTTAAATTTAATACTGACTTCTCCAATGGTTTATTTAGCAAATTGAAATCTGCTTTAATAGACTATATATATATATATATATATATACACATATACATAAAGAGAGAGAGTGAGTGAGTCACCTTTAAGTTGAGTATAAAATGTCAGCAATAAAAGAAAAAATAAGTTACTTGAATGTTCATTATTGGGTACAGTAGACTATATTTTTATAAAACAGAGATAAATGTGGATGTTATATTTCAAACAATTCTCTCGTAGAATTGTTTTGAATATCACTTGTCCTCTCACAAGCAAAAAATAAAAGAACATAGGAAAAGGTAAAACACTGTTATTTTTTTTTAAATTTGTAAAGTTCGTGACAGCTGATATTTAACATGTTTATATGTAATAAACAAAAATTTTAAACCAACTTTAAAGTGATTCAAGTGGTAGAGCACCTGCCTAGCAAGTGTGAGGCCCTCAGTTCAAATCCCAATACTGCCCCCCAAAATATATCACCTACTAAAAATTTTAAACCATTTAAGCCATTTAGCATGGAGGATTTATATTAAGAACTAGAACTCAGATTAGAGGTGTTATGGTTTTACTTTCAGATTTAGAAAGTGGAGACAGAATTTCAGCACATTCACAAAGTGTGGTTGAGTAGAGGGGTGTGTGCTATGAGGGCCCAGCTGCAGGATGATGTCAGTTCCTATGAGACCTAAAAAGATGTCATCTATGCTTTCAGCAGTGAAAGAATAATAGTTGGTGTAGCTTAGGAATGTTATAAACTCTCTTTTGACTATTTTTCTGTTGTCCTAGTCTTGTGGAAGTCTAACCATAACAAAACTCTGTACGTATAAAATTTGATCCCATGTAGAACTCAGACTATCACACAAATATCAAGCAAAATAAATTGTAAACTAAAAACTACGTACCTGGCTTTCATGTTATTTTTAAAAATCAGTGAGGAAAATGTGTATTTCCTGAAGATAAATGATATGGATATTATTGTTCCACCACAGAGGCAGTTGAATGAAGTTTCTGTTGAGCTTGTCAGGCAAGCTGAACCTTCAGTTGACCATCCACTTCCTAAAGATGGACAATGTCATGTCAAGACTCTGACCACCTTAGGTTCAAATCTTGACTTCACTCTTATATCTGGGTTATTTAGAGCAATTAGCTTAGTCTCTCTGGGCCTCTTTTTCCTTATCCAGAGAAGGGGGATGTAAGAATATGTGTCTCACAGCATTGTCACGAAGAACAAATGAGTTAATATGTGTAAAATACTTGGAAATGGCTTGGTGTCTAGTAACAACTAGTATTTATAAATATCAGATGTTATTTTGTATGAACGAGACTGTCCCCAGACAGTTTTACACAGAGGCACCCAGAGTTGACTGGTTCTCCCTGCTGAGGTGCTGCTCTGTGGTAGTGCTTCAGGCCCTGGGCTCCACCCCAGCACCATAAAAATAAATGAATAAATAAGATGATATGCATGGAAAGAGACTGTCTTCCTCCTAGTAAGTTGATTGAGCAAGCATAGATGCAGTGAGAATCAATTCAGTGCAAATCAGAATCTGTTTGCACAGATTTTCAAGCATGGGATAGAGACCAGGGAAGATGGGGACATCAAGGCAAGATGCTTTCTGGGTTCCTTCTTAGTGCAGTTTCTACTCTATCAAACAGTGTTTATAGTGCTTTCCCTATGTGCCAGGCTCTGAACCAGATGCTAGAGTTTCAAACTCAACTGAGGCAGGACTCCTATCCTATTGTTATTGGCAGACAGACAAACTATCTGGACCCAGTGAGGTGAGAGCCATGATAGATGGAGTAGGGCAGCAGGGGCACTCTGTGTCCACAGGAGGCAGTGGATGGTCCCAGGCAGAAGAAGAGGTCAAAGTGGCTTTTCCAGGCTGTGAGTCCAGTGATGGGTAGCCAGTGGAAATTGTGAAAGCCAGGAAGAGCCCTGTGTTTCCTACCCCTCCAGAGAGCTCTCTGCAATGCGCCTGTATTGCAGCCTCATTAATGATGCAAGGAAGTAGCAGTGATCTGCCTAGAAAGTCAAAAGTGGGACATTTACCCAACTTGCCTGCTAGAATTGGTCTAACTGATGGATGAAAATTCTTTCGTGGTTCCCAGAAACTTGACCTTTATTAAGGTCGGTGTTGTGTGCAGGGCCAGCTGATTTTTTTTTTCAAAGCACCTACTATGTGTGCCTAGTGAGCAGTGCACAGTATGGCTGTAGCAGAGTCACAGAGAGTGAAAGGGTAAGAAGAGAGAGCGGGAGGACAGGTTACCACATGGCCTTAGAAAGGTGCTGAAGGCATGCACTGCTCTACATGCCTGTCTTTACCCGGGAACACTTTTCGTGGTTAATTTCAGCTCCTTCCAAGGCTCCTGCTCTCTGGAGAAATGTGAGATCAGAGAATGGAAGTCGCACTGTGACCTTATTCTGGAAGGTAAGGTGTGCTGCTTCTGAAAGTCTGGCTTGCTGCCACTGGGTTTTCACAGGGAAACCCAACAGTGTGTGGTCCCTGGCAGGGAGAGACCCTAAAGATAATCCCATAGAGCTCCTTATCCACCATGGCACGTCCTAATGCTTGGCTACTATTTCCCTGACAGCGCACACCTTGATGACCAGTGCTGATTGCTGGAACACCCTTCTCTGTGTGTGCTACTCAGGCCCACCCCTAACTTTTTTTTTAATAATTTTTATTGTTTTATTATTCATATGTGCATACAATGCTTGGGTCATTTCTCCCCCCTGCCCTCACCCCCTCCCTTACCACCCACTCCACTCCCTCCCTCTCCCCCCGACCCCCTCGATACCTGGCAGAAACTATTTTGCCCTTATTTCTAATTTTGTTGTAGAGAGAGTATAAGCAATAATAGGAAGGACCAAGGGTTTTTGCTGGTTGAGATAAGATAGCTATACAGGGCATTGACTCACATTGATTTCCTGTGCGTGTGTGTTACCTTCTAGGTTAATTCCTTTTTATCTAACCTTTTCTCTAGCTCCTGGTCCCCTTCTCCTATTGGCCTCAGTTGCTTTTAAGGTATCTGCTTAGTTTCTCTGCGTTGAGGGCAACAAATGCTGGCTAGTTTTTTAGGTGTCTTACCTATCCTCACCCCTCCCTTGTGTGCTCTCGCTTTTATCCTGTGCTCAAAGTCCAATCCCCTTGTTGTGTTTGCCCTTGATCTAATGTCTGCATATGACAGAGAACATATGATTTTTGGTCTTTTAAAAAACCACCCCTAACTTTTGCAGGGGCCAGGTCGTTAGGGATTTCACCTGAGGGCCTCATACTTGTGAGGCAGGCATTCAACCACTTGAGTCATGCCTCCAGCCCTTCTTTGATTTAGATATTTTTCAGATAGGGTCCCACATTTTTCCTGGGGCCATCCTCAGACTGAATCCTCCTACTTGCATAGGTGGGATTTTAGACATGCACCATCCTATCTGGCTTGTTTGTAGAAACAGGGTCTTGCTCACGTTTTGCCCAGGCTGGCTTCAAACTGCAGTCACCTAGGTATGAGCCACCATGCCCTGCTTGCAGTACTATATTTTAAATCTATGAATATTTAAATATTAAAATTATTTATATTAAAAGTTACAAATCAATGTATGAATCTATAATATAAAACAACTTTTATCCTTCTACCTGGCCTAGTATACTTCAGGGCCAACTGGAAGGCTAGCTCTGTAGTCAGAATTCTTGGATTCTTAAGTGTTTCATACCAAAACACAGTGATGTGAGAGTCTTGAACCCCCGGCCACAGCCTACCCTGCCTTTCTTCCTACCTCAGGTTTGGCACATTCTGCAGGGACCCCTGTGTACACACATGTGGACCTGCTAGGCTTATGTCCAGGTTCTGTCCACACCCTGAGCAGAAAGTCTCAGGTTGAGGGGTACACACACCAGGGCACAGCCTGTCCTAGGAAGGGCAAGCCCAAGGAACAGACTCTGAGCCTGGGGCTGGAACTGTGTGGGAAGGAAATTCTGTGCAACTGGGAACATCTTCTAGAAGAGGAAATGTGAGCCCCTGGTGTGGAGAACACCGCTGGACTGGGGTTGGGGAGGAGGCTCCTTTCATAAGACCTGCTCCCTTGGGGTGGTGGTCCTTCTATTCTGAGATTTTTCCCCTTTTGGCTGCCCCCCCTAAGTCCTATGCTTCCTCCAAGTTAAAGAGTCTCCCTTCCTCTTGACGCCTGACTTAGTCCTTGCTTTCTGGACATGATATCAGGAATATAATCCCCAAATGACCATCTTCTGTACTCCCTTTAGTTATTTAGAATGCCTGATTTCAAGCTTGGTGTAAATGATTATTTTCTTTATTAAACTGTACACATTTGCTGGTGTGTACATGTGTCATATGTCTGTGTGGGCGTGTGTGTGTGCTCTTATGCACGTGTGGGCCTTGTGGACTAGGAAGTTGAGGGCTAGAAGAAGTGAAAAAGTAAATATACAAAGTCCTTTCAAAGTAAAGCCTGTTTTGAAATTATTTTTGGCATTTTTTTTCAGCCACTATCAAAATTCCATGCCAATGGCAAGATCCTCTTCTACAATGTAGTTGTAGAAAATCTAGACAAACCATCCAAATTAGAGGTCTACCCCATCCGGGCACCAGCCAGTAGCAAAGAACTAAGCCTTGACCAGAGTTCTTACCAAATCCACCTCACAGCCAACAACAGTGTGGGCACATCCCCTGCCGCAGTCATTGTCATCTCTGAAGACTCTGGAAAAGGTGAGTTGGTTTTTGGTCATTTGGTTTGGTTTTCATTCTCCATGAAAATGTCAGTGATATAACTAAGTCTAGTGACCCAACACTGGTAGTCATTTTCTTGGGGCATATCAGCTTCCTTCAGTGGGACAGTCCTCCTCATGGTGGGATATTTTAGCCATTGTTCAGTACATTTCTGTCCCAGGACTCTTGAGCACACTTGGGAAATTATCTCAAATTTATTCAAGTAAATGCAACCCCACAAACACCACAAATTAATGTAAATTCAAACTCACTGAGAATTAGGGTTTGCATTTCAGTGCTTTGTAGCTTGTGAAATATGGGTTGCATTTTACTGTGCTGTAAAAAATGTCATCAGTCTTTGTCACCTATAAAGAAGCCAGGTGTCCAGGTGTGGTTGTCTACAACAGTAATTCCAGCACTCAGCAGGCTGAGGCAGGAGGATGGCAGGTTCAGGTTCAGCTTAAGTTTCATAGTAATTTGAAGCCAGCCTGGGCTATGTGAAAGACCCTGTGTTGGAGAGGAAGGGTAGGGAAGTGGAGGGGAGGAGGGGGAGAGGAGTGGAGAGGAAGGGAAGAGAAGGGAAAGGCCCATGAATAATGAACAATGATAACGACAAACTAGTGTGAACTTTCAGTCCATGCTCTGCCAATTTGTAGAATAAAAGATAACTGGTCAAGCTTTTCACCTACAAAAGAGCAAACAAGGTAGAAATCACCTCACTTGTAAAATCAACAGTGATGTTATTTCCTTCTTGGCAGAGACTGTACAAGCAGGCATAGGCAAGTGGTAGTTGGTCGTTTGTGGACCTGTAATAGTAATGCCCTTCAGCTCTTGTTGTTGGGATTTTTCAGACCCTGTTATGAGGGTATGGAAGGTTGTGTTGTACCATTTACTCAAATTCAACTGAAATTGGGTTAAGTGGTCCAGATTAGAGATGTTTGCATCCAGGTTTATACTAGGGCTATACATTCCTTTGGGTGTCCCTAAGCCATTTAATCATTTAATACCCTAAGAAAATACTCTAGCACCCTGCTCTCACACCAATGTTTCCTTGTAATTAGAATTGCCAGGTAGAATATAGGATGCCCAGAGAAATTTAAAGATAAGTAAATCAGATTTTATTGGAAGTCTACAGAAACTGATGACATTCTCATGCCTCAAGGTGAAGGTGTGACCCTGCTTGAAATTAGAATTCCAGTTTCTTGATGTCACCCAGTTCCAATTGTCAGATGTTAGGAAAACTGCCTCAACTTATGAAACACGTCAGGATGGCGTGTCAGTCATAAATTCCGTGCACACCCATGCAGATTCTAATTCAGTATGTTTCTGATTTGTTTTTCCTGTTTTTGACCTCTACTCAATTCATACCTCTAACATTTCAGAAGCCATCATCAATCCATGAACAGCCAACACTGTGGTGGGTTGTTAGGCTGCATTAGTCACTCATCAGCAGGCACCAGCCCCAGTTTTAGGTCAAGGATTGGTGACTTTCTTGGTAAAGGGGCAGAGAGTAAGTGTTTCAGGCTTTGCAGGTCATACAGCTTCTGTTTATATTCTGCACTCTTCCTTGCTGGTTGATTTCTTTTTTTTTTTTTTACAAAACCCACCTTAGTTCAAGAATTATATTAAAAGCCTCAGAGGCTGGAACTGTTCTGCTGCTAATAGTCTGTGAACCGCTGTTCCAGGTGCCAAAGCCCAGTGGGGTCTCCAGATGCCAAGATGAGGAGAATATGAAAGAATGCTGGGAAATGAGAGGCAGGGAAACACTGATGTAAATATCCCCACACAAGCCCCTATTGCCCTTGAAGTGGTAGGCTCTTACCTGCAAAATACTGTTGCTGTGACAAAATACCTGAGATGAATAACTTATAGGGAGGAAAGGATGATTTTAGCCCTTGGTTATAGAAGTTTTGGTCCCTGGTCAGTTGGCTTGTTTTCAGGCTTGTGACAAAGCAGAGTATGATGGTTGGGAGTACATGGTAGAGCAAAGCTGCTCACCACATGTTGGCCAGGAAGCAAAGAGAGAGAGGAGGGGGCCAGGGTCCCCACATTCTTTCTATGGCACAGCTCCAATGACCTAACTTCCTCCCACTAGGCCCACCACCTTCCAATAGTGCCATGCTCTGGAGACCATGGCTTTAGCACAGAAACCACTGGGAGACATTTCAGATCCAAAATAGAGCAGATACATTGTACATGTATCCTACTTTTCTTCTTTAGAAATTGTAAAAAAGTTATAATTAATTAAATTAGAAGCATTGTTCTATTTCTTTCTGTACAGAAGATATTAAAGAAGAAAGAATTAAAGGTACAGAAAATGGATTCCTTATGTCTTGGAAACCCCCATCTGAAGACATCATAGGCTATGTTGTAGATTGGTGTGCACATACCCAGGACCAGCTCTGTGATTTGCAGTGGAAGAACGTAGGTCCTAATACTACAAATACAGTCATCAGCTCAGGTAAGAGCTCCCATTTTACCATCCTGTGAGATCCACCTTGCAGCAAGTTCAACTAGGATTTCTGGTCCTCCTCAAGATACTTTGTATCAAGCTAATAATTTCAAAATGACAAATCCAACCTGGGTGCTAGGAGTTCAAATTTTATGCAAATGTATTCTAAGATTGGAACTTTAAACCTACTTTTGCAGAGTATGTATATCCAAGATCCAGATCAGTTTTTATGACTTCGGTAAATTTGTTTCCTGCAAATTAGTGGTCTCAAATGAGTGGCAGGGGGACCTTGTAACAGCTATGCAGAGAACTTTCACAGAAGCACATAAGAACATGGATTTGGATATTTAGGGCACAGACTTGATGGGAGGCCATCATCAACTTTCAATTTCAGTGAACTCATAGAACTTGAACTCTCACCGCCCACATGGAATTCATATCTCAGAGATGCAAGTTTAGCAGTGGAAGATGCCCAGCTTTGTGGCTTAAGCAGGAAAAGTGTGTGGCGCCATCTCCTGGATGAGGGAAAAATGCAGGACTTGTCCCTATCCAGAGGGCAATGAAGGCCCCTGCTAGATTCAGTGGTCTGGTAGCTTTGGGGACAGACTGCAGAGGTAGGTGCAGGTGAGACAGAAAATGAGGAAGAGGAAGCAAAGTTTTTGAGATCCTGGGCTCTAGTAGGAAGAGAAGGCAAGTACTATCAGGAGATTTCAAGTCAAAGGAAGGCTTGAAATGTTTTATGTCTGGTTTGACTCTGTACCCAGTTGTATGCACATGCACGAGGTCATGCTTGAGAGCTCTGACTCCAAAGGACACTGCAGGTAACAATTCTTTGAGGCTTTGCTGGAGACAGCACCATGGGTCAAGTGCTGTTTGGAACGTAGAGGATTCTAAGGCTTAACCAAAGGAAGAGGGTGGAGAAATGCAAAACTCGTAAAAAGGAAATTATTAAGGGAATACTAATTCCTTTTACATCATGTTCCTTTCCCGAATTAAAGAGAATGTCATTCTGTGTTACTGAAAATGTATTGACTTTTCCCTAGATGCTTTTAGATCAGGAGTCCGATACAACTTCAGAATTTATGGGATATCTACAGAAAGGACTGCTTATTTAGTAGAGAAAAGAACAGGATACTCCCAGGAACTGGGTAAGTTTGAAGTATTTAATTTTAACATGTCCCCGTGAAGCTGTGTTCAGAATCATCCATAGACTCCTAACTTCTAGGAAGATTTCATCCTTTACCTAATTTTTGTGGTCCTATTTATTCTGGGAATTATGTTAAATTTATTTATTTATTTTGTATTCATTTATTCACATGTGAAATTTTTTTATATAATACAAACATAAAACATTTTCATTAAAGGTGATTTGTAAAATGTTATGCAAAAGATGATGAAATTAGTGCTAATGTTAACAAAGGCAAATAGCTAGAGTTAATATCGTATTATAACCCAGTACTCTTTTCTCTGTATAGACATACTTTGAAATAAAAATGGGATTTTACTCTATATAGTTTGCAAACTACTTTTTGGTTTCTACCACAGACTGTTATTTAAGCATATCACTTTCATGATGGAAAAGTACCCCACTGTATGCATGTGTCAAGTCACTTGTTAGACAATTTAGAAAGATTACATGATTTTCACTGATAAACTGTAAATGTCACCTTCAAGTATCTTGTACTTCCCAGTGCTAAATCTCTCCCCAACTTTGCATGATCTCTCAGGCCCTATCTGAATTATTTTCATTTTAGCTGTCTGTCCATAGCCATGATAATGTTTTTAAAAATGAAGTCCTAGAGGTAGAATCCTTGTGTCAAAGGGTTTGAACTTAAATATGTTTTTCATTTCTTTTATCATGTTTAAGATTTTTCAACCACACAGAGAAATTGCCTCCTGTACATTTTTACCACCTTCCCACCAGCAGTGTGTGGACTTTTGCTTTCCCCATGGGAGTGCTTATTCACATTCTTTGGCATCCAAGGTCTCAGACCAACTGAGCCTTGCAGCTGTGCCTTGATTGCTTCCCACTAATCAGACCAATTCCTAGCTTCTTTATTTGAAAGGAGCTGACCCATGGTTTACAGCTGCCTGAGAGAGGCAGGAGGTAATTGTGGGTGTGCCATATTTATAGGCCAGTGTGCCTAACTCCATGTGTGGGAAAACAGACACTTTGGAATATATGTTCCCAGATTTTCTAGTGATACTTAGATAACTGCATTGCTTCAATTTAGGAAATAGAGTCCTTTAAATCCCTTCTCTGAACATAAGCCTGTCCCTACTCTCCTTCCTCTTCCCATCAGAAGGTTCTCAAATACTATTTAGATTTCAAGGATATACTCAAGTCTAAGAAAGACTCCCCCCACCCCTCCCTGGGGATCTTGTGCAAGTTACTTAGTCTGGGCATCTATTTCTTCATCTGTGAAAGGTGAAACGTGAAAAAGGAAGATTGCCCAATCCTTTCCCAATCCTCCAGAGACACAGATAAAACTCCTTAATTTGGCATAAGGTCTTGCAGCCTCCAGAGCTGGCTGTGGTTTTCTGCTCAGTTTACCTAAATGTTCAGAGACCATTTCCAAATTATGACTTTTTTCTTAACCCAACTTCCTTTCCTAGCTCCTTCAAAGAACCCTCAAGTGGTTATGAGTAACCTGACCTCCAGTTCCTTCATGCTGAGCTGGACAAGTTATCCCACAGAGTTTCAGTCTGGATTTATACAAGGGTACCATGTCTACCTGAAATCCAAAGAGAGACAGTGCCAACCAGGATTTGAAAAGGCGGTCCTTCCAGGTAACATTTATTTTTATTTGTTCACCTGTCCTCTCAAAATCTCATTATTCAAAAGCATTGCAAAGTGAGGCCCTAGGTTCCATCCCCAGCACAGAGCAAAAAACACTGAAAAGATTGCTGTCACTGACCTTGGTCAGGCTGAATGCTCTTGAGTCATTATAGGATGAAAAGGTGATTTTAAACAAATGAGGAGATTGAACATGATGGTGGGGGAGGGGCAGTATTTTAACTTACTCCTGAAACAGTGGACCCAGGCCATCAGTTCCTTATGAAATCCTGCCACTTAGGAGAGTTTCTTAACCTTTTTTCTTTGGCTTTGGCAATGTTATTTCTAAATATCCTTATTTATTTATCCATTTTTTTTGTGATGCTGGGGATTGAACTCAGGGCCTTGCACATATTAGGCAAGAGCTCTACCACTGAGTTCATTCCCAGCCCTTCAATTTATTTTTATTGCTTATAATGCCATTTCTTAAAATTTCCCCCAGGGTGGTGAAATTATAATTTAGTTTTTTGTTAGTTTAAAAATGTTGATGGTACTGAGGCAAGAAGAGCATTAGTATCTAGCTGTCTCACAAATCTCTACCACACTCTTAATAGCTTTTTTGAAAACATTGTTCTTATTTTATGCTTTGGTACTGGGGCTTGAACTCAGGGCCAACACCTTGAGCCATCACTAGTCCTTTTTTGTGTTTTTTTTTTTTTTTTTTTTTTTTGAGATAGGGTCTCATGAATTAATGCCCAGCTGGCTGTGCCTCCTGAGTTAGCTAGGATTATAGGAGTCAGCCACCAGCACCCAGCTAACAACACTGTTTTTAAATCACAGATGATTCAGTATGTTGTAAATATGACATCAAAGACCCAGAACAAAAGACATTCATTGTGGATAACCTACAGCCGGAATCTTTTTATGAGTTTTTCGTCGCTTCATACACAAGTGGTGGCGAGGGCCCCAGTGGAATTTTCACGAAGGTCACGACTCCAGATGAACACTGTGAGTTTTTCCAAATCAAAATTCTTTTCTTAGGAGTTTTTCACAAATTACTGAAGTATTGTCTTAGATTTTGTCAAGATAGGACTTTTCAAGCATTTCTTCTGCCCCATCCCCTTTCTCTTTCACTGTTGTTTCACAGAAACATTACATAGAATTTCACTCCAAAAACCAGGTCAGGGTGAAACTGATCTGACCGTATGCCTGGAATCTTCCTCTTTTGCCTCTCAATGACCCCTGAGGCCCTTCTCTGGAACTCAGTCTCAGAGTGTCTGGAAAATCACAGATAGCATATTTCATGTTGCCATTAGGCCACGGTGATGGTGATGGTGGTGGTATTGACAGAATTATTTTCTGTAGTCTTCCTTCTGACTTCTCTAGTGGCAAACTGTTTCCTGCTCTGCCAGGACCTCTGGGGGCTGTCAGAGATGGGCAGGGTGAGGTGGGGATCAAGTGGGACACATCACCAACTCTATGTGCATTTGGTCAGATAAAGGGTGAGAGGAAGAGATAGGTCTTCTCCAAACACATCTGGCTTGAGAGATGGAGGAAGAAGAATGGTAGGAGCTGGTTGATGGAAATATGTGTTCTCCTGCGATACCCAGACATGCAATGAACAAGAAGGTTGTGAGAAGCCGGGCACCAGTGGCTCATGCCTGTAATCCTAGCAACTCAGGAGGCAGAGATCCCTAGGAGGACCACAGTTCCAAGCCAGCCTCGGGCAAATAGTTCGTGAGACCCTATCTCAAAAAAACCCATCACAAAAATAGGGCTGTTGGAGTGGCGAGGACAGGAAGGAAAGAACGTGTTGTTTCCAAATTTACAACTAGTTTTGCTTAACCTTTATTGAAGAATATTTCAGGTTGAGTATCCCTTACATGAAATGCTTAGGACCAGATGTCTTTTTGGATTTTGGAATATTTGAATACTTGTAATGAGATATATACAATAAGACCCAAATCTAAACACAAAATTCATTTATGTTTGATATACACCTTATAGCCTGAAAATAATTTTATATGATAATTTTTACTGAACCTGTGTTTTGACTGTGTCCAGTCACATTACATTAGGAGTAGAATTTTCCACTTGTGGTATAATTATCCAAGGTTAAACTTACTCAGATCATTTTATCTAAGACTAACTAGAAGGGGTATACTAATAATCAACCTTAAAGATCTCAGTGGCAGACAGTAAGTACTACTTTTCTGCTCACGGGTCTATAGATCAGCTGTGGCCTTAATGATCTGGGCTGGGCCAACCTGGACTCCGGTGTATTCCATCTAAGTCCACTTGGGCAGCAGTTCCTTGAGTAAACTTTTCCTGGTGGGGTAAAGAACAAAAAAAGGCAAGACAGATGACGTGAGCACATTTCAAGCTCCATTTACATTACTACTTTCAAAAAACGTCCCATTGGCTAAACCAAGGCATTTGTCTGCATCCCCAGTCAAGGAGTAGGAAAATACTCCCCACCTATCACAAAACTTGGGCAAAGGTGGGAAATGGCCTGCTCTATCAGAGAGGTAAGGAGTTTGAGCCACAAAGCATTGACTGATGCCAAAGGGGCTTTTGTGTGGGTTGGCTGGTCATTCTTTCTGCTAGTCAGGCAGAAATCATATTGAGGGTTGCCTAAATATATATTTGAGGCTTATTAAGAGGTCTCAAATAAGCATGTAAAATTAGTCTCACTTATAAACTTGGTTTTATTCCTTTGAGGACATAGAAGGACTTATTGAAAAGATTTCTTTCTCTTCCCTTCAGCCCACACGCTGATCCGTATCATTCTGCCTGTGGCTCTGTGCCTCTTGCTCCTTTTTCTTGTGTGCTACTGGAAAAGCCAGTGGTAAGTGTGTGAGCAAAGTTTTATACAATAGAGAAAACCCTAATACAAGAAACGACATTGAATATGGGGGGAAAAGTGTGGAAAAGGACAAAGGAGGTCTAGGTGAGGATATGTAATTTATTTGACAATTTTGTTTTGTACATTAATTGATACATGAGGAAAATAAACATTTAAAATAAAAAGCTTGCAAAAGTTTTTCAATAGCCGTAGCTAATATTTACATCTCACTATGTTCTTGGTGGTGTTCTAAGTGCTTTATATAGAATAACCCACTTTATCTCTGCACTCTATCACTTATGGTGATAAGTACTGGAATTATCTCCATCTAACCAATGAGGGGATCAAAGCAGGAAAGCACTAAGTAGCTTAATTTAAGAAGGGATTGAGGAAGGATTAGAACCCAGGAATCTGACTCTAGAGTTCTTTCCCTTAACCATTCTACAACAATGTGAAGCTCAGTTCCATTTTCACTGTTTTTGTAGGATGAAGGAGAAGTGCTATCCTGACATCCCAGACCCTTACAAGAGCAGCATCTTGTCACTGATAAAATCCAAGGTAAATGTGGGTAAATTGGATGTATACCAAACATGTATGAAGGACTAATTCAGGTTGGGGTTGAATTAATCATACCTTCCTGGACCTCTTCAGGAAAACACAACAAATTAGAGCCACCTCTGCTCTCACAGCTAATTGATGATTGATGCTTCACAGATAATTGAAGGGGCTAGAGTGGGGTAGCTCAGTGGTAGATCTCTTACCTAGCATGTGTGAGGTCCTGAGTTCCATCCTCAGCCCTGAAAAAAAAAAAACATAAAAAGAAATTGGATGATTGGAACTTTGATGTCGTCTATAGAGAAATGGCTTGATTTTCAATACCATCTCTTAATACCATGTGACCAGGAAGAAACATGGGACTCTTAAGTGCACTTCACATATGTAACACACTTTGACGTGCATGTGCGCACACACACACACACGTTTATGTTTACATATATTTTTTGTTTCCTTTGCAGGAGAACCCTCACTTAATAATAATGAATGTCAAAGACTGCATTCCAGATGCTCTTGAAATTATAAACAAACCAGAAGTCACCAAAACACATGTCAGCACTGGGAAGCCACTCTCCACAGAGAGTGAATTAGCTAAACATGCCTACCTTTACCTCCTGCCAACAGAAAAGGAGCAATTGGGCCCTGGGCCGTGCATTTGTTTTGAGAACTTCACTTATAATCAGTCAACTTCTGACTCTGGTTCCTGTGGCCATGTCCCAGTAACCCCAAAAGACCCACCATGTCAGCTGGGACTATTGACCCAACCTGAGAATTTATTAAATGTACTGGAAAAAAAGTACACAAAGTCCCCGGGAGAAATCCCCGCTGGAGAAGCTGGTTTGAATTATGTGTCCCAGTTGGCTTCCCCACTATGTGGAGACAAAGACAGTCTTCCAACACATCCAACAATGCCAGCACACTGTTCGGAGTATAAAACGCAAATGGCAGTGCCCCCATGCCTTGCCTCTCCTTCTCCAACTGAGGATGGCAGCCTGTCCTCAATGATCCTTTTAGGTCAAGGTGAACACTACCGTTAACCAGCACATACCCAGTTCCTACACTATATAGATGCTAAGGAGAGCACGACTGGCACTATGCCAATACCATGTGCCCTGCTGGTCCGTAATCCCAGTGAGCTGTCATGTTTGCAGGTTGGATTTATAAAAGACCACTACAGTCTGGCTAGATTAAATGCCAGAGCTGTGGAATTTAGCATTCACCCTTGCAGGCTTATACTAGAAATGACAGGATTACAGAGACATGCTGGCCTTGTTGCTATTTGTTCAGGCTTACCCTTGTCATAGTATACCTGAACTTGACATAGGGACAAGCATTAGCCCACAGACTGGTAAGTTCAGAATTATACAGGGTGGCTGTAGTCCTACAAGTCCCATTTTTAGTGAGAATGGATCTCCATTAAAATTTATCCCCATGTTTAATTAATCTTAAGGGTACAGGACTAGGCCACAAAATATTTATTACTATGTAAACTTACTGTGTTTTAATGAAAAAGTTACAAATGTTTGAGACCAACAGATTTTAGACTTGCCTTGAAACAACAATTTGGATTTCATTGACACAATAAAATTAACTCTTTTGAGGCAGACCTAACCTAATAGGTAAGACCTGTGAATGAAACAGTATCTTCACAATTCTTTTGTCTAGCTTACTGCAGTAAAAGAGTAAGACTGGCAAAGAATTCCCAACTTGGTATAAAAGCAACAGCACTCCTGTTCAGTAGACATCAGACTTCTTCCTTAATCTTTCACTACCTCAGAATAGAAAAAGAAAAATCACTGAGTAATATTTACATTTTATCATTCTCCTTTTTGTTCAAGAACCGTATGAACGAACTGTTTCCATTTAGCATTGTTTGGACTCTGAAATAGGTTGTCCAAGTCAAGAGAATTCTGACTGCCTCATTTAGATTGCTATTATGCAACAATAAAAAATGAGACCTCATTATTGGCTGTCACTTAAGACATAACTGCAAAATGTTTTATGGAGTGAGAACTGGTTGGTTTTTCAGTGACTTTATCTCCTTTGAAACAATACACTTTTCCCTCTATATCTGTAGGTTCTGCAAACAAAAATATGATCAAATAGTTGCATCTGTTCTATGTATAGACTTTTTCCTTGTCATTCCTGAACAAAATTGTTTCTATAGCATTTACAGAAATGACAGAATATGGGAGGATATGGTTAAGTTATATGCAGATATGACACGATTTTATATAAGGGACTTAAAAGCATTTGCAGATTTTGGTATGGCACAGGTCCTGGAACCAACCCCCCAAGGACACAATGGATGGATGAGTGTACATGGAAAATATCAGATACCTAACAGGTATTCAGTACAGGCTAGTTCTTTTTTCTTTCCCCTGCCAATCAACCCCAAATGTTTGTCACATTTCTAAACAAGCATTTAGAGGGGTTCCTTGTGTATTGTGAGCTGCTGTCAGTACGGTGGAAATCACTCTGCCTATGTGCATGGCTCTGTTGCTACCAAACATCAACCCTATAGAAAATGTTCACGTCTCACGTGGCTTCAAAATAGACCGATACAAATCAGTACTATTCTGTTCAGCTTTTCAACCAATTTTTTTTTTTACATATAACTAAGCCTTTTGCCAGAAAAGTTATGTCCTAACACAGTACAAAACAGTGTCTTGATTAGCCTGATAGTTGTGAGAAAACTTTGGTCAGTATTATCATCACTTACCCTATGAATGTTCCTTTGTTAATTACATCTTTCATTTGAAATTTGTACACAGAAATGCCAATGACATTGATTTGTAAATGTTATTTCACCTATCACAAAATTTTGAAGTTGTTTTTGCTGTTGCATTAAACCTTGATTAAAACATTTAACCATTACATTTTTTGTTTTATCTATCTTGATGAAAGTATTACCAATTCTGAGTCTAGCCCGTATGTCATCTCACAAACTTACTAAACATGTAAATTCCTAGGCACCACCTCAAATCCTTATCAGTCTTGGTAGCATATAACCTGGAATCTAGTTTTCATCAGTTCTGAAGCATTCAGATTCACACTACACTTTGAGAATCACAGGCTTAATAAATCAGATGAAGTCTTTCTGAAATGTAGCAACATTACCAACTGGAAATGCTTGGATACATAACTTCTTGTTCACATTATCAGTATCACCCACAGTTGTGGCTGTAAGTGTTCCTCACAAATGTTCTCAACAACCAAATATATCAGCATTTAAAAGTTTTCACTATTATTTATCATCTTAGCTTTGCTTTAAGATTCAGAAACTTTGAAATTTATATTCATCAGTAGACGTATCAGGATTAAAAAAAAACACCACAGAGAACATAGAATAGTTTATATGAACCCTTATATAGAATCGTCAGTCCATCCACTCCCTCCTTCATTATTTTGAAGCAAATATTTCATTTGTAAATAATTTTCTTTAGATGAGCTCAACTTTTTCTAACAAAGGCGTGTTACCTTTTTAAAAAGTGTACCTGAATCCCAATTAGAAATGACAGAGTATTTTGGTGGTGAGCTGGGCTGGTATTCATGACCTACAAACACTGCTTCAGTTTGTGGAGCAACCCTCAGTTGTGTGCAGGGAAACGATGATTCAGGTTGGGAGCAGGAACCTAGTCACACAAGTCACAGATCTGCTGAAAATGCTTGCTGACAACACACCATGTTAATTATGGTTAATGCCACTCTCTGCTACAATGTATATGAGAGAATCAAGTTGAATTAGACTTAGCTAACACTGCTTCTAAGAGCTCTGCTGAAAGATGAGCTGGCTTCTTATCAAGTAACTTAGAAAGCCTGTCAAAACTCTACATAAAGAAGCTCTAAAGCCTTGGAAGAGACAGCAATGGAAGGCATTGAGAATTAGCAGTTAACTCATATCTACAGAACAGCAACCAGCTGTGTCCAAACTGAGGGACTATGTATGCATATATAGTTGGCTTAGCTCTTTAAGATACAAATTAAGAAAGCTTTGAAAACTAATACTAAAAAGGAGTGATTTATTTTTTATGCTAAAGAGTTTTCAAAGTGAAACAATCTTTTTGAAGTTCAACTATGACTTTTTTTCAAAGATCAGCTGAATGACATTAAGTATGCTTTTTAGCTTATTTTGGAACCAACTACACTTCTGATGACATACAGTGGAAGGTGACAGGGAAAATGATATATAGAAACCAGCTTAAAGGTCAAGCTATCTGAAACAAATCCTTTCTTAAGGGGAGACACTTAACTGTAACACCCTAGCTTTCACATTGAATTTTATTCTGCAGAATTCGCAATTTTGCCTGTTCTGTTTGCATGTCCTTCTGCCACTAGATGGCTACAGGCTAGCCTGCCCGATCAGGCCAGTCTATGCATGAAAACTTGAGTACCTTCCACTGAAAAGTTCCCATCTTCATACCATCATCACATACATAGCATGTGTACTGTCTCAAGAGTTCAGAGCTGTTGTTCTTAAATGGACTTCATTATGACCTTTTCATACACATAGCCAATGAACCTGATCATTGTTCTCGCCTTCTCTTTCCCCCCTCCTACCTCCTACCGGCTCCCCCCCACCCACCAACTCTGCAAAAATAGGGCCCCATTTATGTTCTTGTGTATTTGTTTGATTTCAACCTAGCTTCCACATATGAGAGAAAACATTCTGTATTTCTATGTGAGTCTGGTATATTTCTTTAACATGACCATTTTCAGGTCCATCCATTTTCCTACAAATGACATAATTTTGTTGTTCTTTATGGCTGAGTAACACTCCAATGTATATATAAAAATGTGAAGATGTTTGATTAAATTATGAAGACTGTTTAAAGAAGTGTGAATAGTTAAAAATTGTGAATAGCTACTCGGAGCTACTGAACTAGCTCCATCTGCAGTACCATGTCAGCATCAGCATTACATGATTTGAATCACGGTTATATTAAGTTTTCAAATAAAAGCAACACTACCACAAGTTTAAGAATTTTAAGTACATTTTATTAACAATGTATCCCTTTGATAAGATTATGTTTCAGGAGGCTTTTAATGCCCTTGACATAAACTGTACACATTATACAAAAACAAGAAAACCACAACAAAAAAATCAAGGTGAGCAAAACCAGTTGGGGACAAATCTTATTTAAATTATACACAACTCAATGAAATATTCTTACGGAAAATATATAAATACTTTTTCTATGTTACAGTTATACAATATAAATCAGATTTCAATGTCTGTTCAGTGACCTACAAACACCAGAACCTCCAAACATGTAGCAGCGTATTACTAAATAAAAAGAAAATCATGTGGTTAGACAGTATTAAGTCTGAGATTTTTTCTCCATCCCTTACCATTTTTCAAAGCTAATTTACACCATTTGTTTTACAATGGATTTCTGACAGGCTAATAATGGAACATCTTTCAACAATCATCTATAAACTTTTTTTTTACTCTTCCCTTTGCCCTTTGCCCCAAAACTTTGCATTTTGTGCTAAATCAACCAACTTAAGTGGCAAAATGGTAAGATATGCTTTTTTGGCATAAATTATATTTTTCAAATCATGTATTTTATAAAGAAAGTCAAAAACTATGTGCAATTTATTCATGTTGTGGCACAGTTATCCACCTAATTATAAAAATACTCCAAAGGAGGAAATACTCCAGTCTGTGAGTCCTATAAACCTACCAGGAATGAAACTACCCTGGGAACCTGGAACTAAAAGAAAAAAAGAATGTTTCTGGAAAGATTCTTACAGATTTCAGTGTTCTTTGATAAGCACTGCTATTAATTTCACTGGTATGCTTTCTAATGAAACTCTCACTGTAGTGACACTCTTGAAATTAAGACAGTAACAATGTATTTTGTAAACACAGGGACAATGTAGACCTTTCCCAACTTACATCCTGGAAAACCTGAAATGGTCATTCATTTCAAACAGCTCTTCTTATAAGTCTCTCAAGTAGATCTTTTCTTTTTTTTCCATGTTTTAATGGATTGTGAATTTGAGACAAAAATGTAAGCATAGGACTAAAGGGTTTTGAAACAACCTTACTTCCAAGGGACATTTCCCAAAGTAGTTTACAAGTTCTTTTCACACAAAATTAGCACCTCACTCTTACCATGAAAAAAATAACTGCAATTATAATTTGAATGACAGACAATTTGGTTTTTATTGCTTAATGATCTGTGCTTTAATATGGGGATAAAAGGCATCCTCAGAATGTAATGAAATAAAAATTTATATAAATAGCAGTAGACAAATCTAAACAAGCACTGACATCTTAATGTTGAGTACTTTCCCACTGTGACATGCCCTGAACAATTCAGCTTTAATTATCTCAAGCTCAGACAGCTGAAAACTATTAAAGCCACCATTTCTAAGGGACTTCTATACATTACATGGTAATAGTGTATAGACTTCCCAAAGCCTCTTTTAATATCACTGTCTTCCTTTATGCTACTAATCTTTATTAGAAAAATTTTTACTAGGGAGAACATACTTTTCCCCCTCAAATATACCTAAGCACAAACAGGGAATAAAAGTGTAAGAAATTTTAGAGCATATTTAATTATGAATACTAAATCTCTAAATTTCCTTATTTATCAGTATTTACTGAGTATGTGTTTCTTGAAAAAAAATTCAATTAGATATGACAATTCACTTTACAGTTAGAAATTCACAGTTTACAACCAGCATAACTGTTCAAATTCCTCCAAATTATTCAATAATTACCAACAGTACAAATTTATATGGACTAATATTAATTCTAAAATCTTGAAAAACTATAGTATTGACATTATTTTGGTATTCTACAGTCTGGTAATATCTATTATTTATAGATGATTTTTCTCAATTATTTCTATTACCACTGACACCATTCCTAACCTTTTCTGCTATAATTTAATATTCTTAAACACTTAAGTTAATCACTTGGCACTGCAAGTATTTTTCATCATGTCTACTTTTATAAAAACAAGTACTTAAGGAAAATGTATTTGACCTGTCAGTGAAACCATGGATAAACCAAATAGCACTATAAATTTAAGCATAGACTTTTCTTTTCAGTATACTGACAATCACAAAGCTCCAAGTGTCTTCCCAAAATAAGTGCTGTAGGCAGATATGATGACAAACATACATGTCTTTACATATCTTTCAAAGTAACAGTTAAAAAAAAAACTGTTCAGACTAATAGTAACAGCCTTAATTTCAGGATGAATGACTTAGGTAGGGTAGAGGGATGGGGATGGTTGTGTGTGATGAAAGAGAATTATTGTTAATTTTTGAGAGATTAAACCACAGATTTTATACTCTATAAACTGAGGTAGTGTTTAAAACGAATGTCTAAAATATGTTAATCCCATTATAAATACTATTACTACATTACTTCCTTTGGAAACTTTAACCCCTATTTGGTCTAGTATCTCTGACAGTTGGTTCTCTGGAAAGGCCAAAGACCAAGGTGACAGGCAACATTCTTAGAAGTACTCTTGACATTTAAATAAACACGTGGGTTCAGCGATAAAGTTAAAAAATTATTGTTTTACCTTCATTAAATTTTATGAGAGAAAATCTGAAGAACCGTTTTTTAACATAAGCAGCAGCTTAGAGCCCTTATCTGCTTTGTTATAATGTAAGTCGCTACACAGTGCACATAAGAACAATTCACTGAAGTGCAAAGAGGTGTTAGGAGGTGAGATGAAAGGCTTCATCCCAATGGGAACTTTCAGTGCCAGAAAACTAAAGGAAAAAAAAAAAAAGGCTCTGTGAGTCAGGTTTTCTAGTTCACAGGGTTCTTTACAGAGATCTCAAAGAGCAAAACCATTACAAAAAGAATCTGCAACATGGGAAAATATTAGCCAATGTTCTATGACTGTGTCTAAGCTGATGTATGAGTGTAAAAATGATCTACACAAATGAATTAAAAAACTCCTAATCAGTCCAGCTGGATTTTTTTCTATTTATATGTAGATCTCAAAAAGATTTACAAGCATTCTAATGATGATGGTCATGCTATTTTTTATATACAAATTTGCATATTTGTTTAATTCCTGCAAAGGTTTCCAAGTATTTTTATATATACACAAATTAGACAAACAAAACCTTGCCCTCATCAACTTAAGACTTCACAAATGTGACAAAGGCAACAACTGTACTCTAACACTCACCTATCACTGCATTTAGTTTGTGCAAAACAAGAACACTGATAAAAATTAAATTACTGCTGCTTTAAAATTTAGTATTTAAGGCTTTTCACTACAACTTTTAATCACTACAATTTTTAACCTTAATGAATTTCATTAATGATTTTTAAAAGTATATATGGCTCTTCTTTTCCCATGGAATGTGTAAATTACAGGCAAACGTTCCTCAGGCAATCCAAAGTATTATTTAATGCTTTGCTTTGCTTTGGGTCTAAACTAATAGTGCTTGTTCAAGTCCAGCTTACAATGATGATATGGGTGAACTGATGAAACACAAAAGTCTACTGGAAATATATGCATTCTTTAAATGGGAAATAGTTTCAATTGAACTAATAAAGTGATTTTTTAAATTTTAATAAGGAACTGTAGTGAAAAACCTTAATTAGTTCCAATTGCCTATAACTTGCAACAAAACTGAAGAGAAAAACAAGCATCTTTATGCAGTCTAAAAACATAAAAATAACTTATAAGTCCTGGATTGTTGAGACTCTTCTTTTCACCATGAGGTTACAAACCTCTGAAGTAGTGTTACAAACATTAAGGAAACGTGGAAGAGCCAAAATTCCCCCTCTAATACTAGCATTTACAGCACACCCCATTGTGGTACAGGATGCAGCTTTTCAGACACTGACTCCTAGTTTCCATGAATTAGTTAACAAGGCATCTTTATATTTACCTTAAAAAATTTTTTTAAAAAGGAACCAAAAGAAAAAAAAAACTCAGAAATAACTGTGTGAAGGTTGCTTCTGCATATCCTACAATTGTTCCACTGCCATTATGCATTTCAAATGGAAAAAAGAAAACCTATGTAGTATTCAGTGCTTAGCTCTTGCATATGATGGTAACTGAAACTCTTAAAATCGTGGTAAGGAATCACGAACCCTTCAATGGGCTCACCAGGGGAGAAAAGGAAGTTGATCTGGTTAGGGAAGTCAGTTCCAACTGTTCATGTACCAGTAATTACTGGAACAGTACACAGAAGATACTCCTGTCTTTGCTGCCCAGTCAGTCAGTATTTTCTGAGGCTTTTAGGAAATACACAAATAAGAATATCTAAAGTATTTGTCTATATACATCATACATATGAGGTCAGGATTCAGATGTATCAACTATAGGTTGCTTTGGTGGTATAGCCAACACAGCCTCTGCTTCTTCATGCATCTAGGAAAAAACATGTTAAATTATTAATGACTTATACAAAAATAGCACAGACTGTAGAGATCATTTTTCTTTTAACTTATTAAAACAAAGAGTAATTCTAGGAAGACAAATCTCAGAAATACTACTTACTTGTAAAAACTGTACATCTTGAAATAATTCTTGTATGAATCTTCGACAAGGAAGTCTAAATGTGCAGTGTGACAGCAAATGAGAAACTTCAGAGTAAAGGCATATGTCATCAAATGTTTGCGGGTACTTCTCCTTAATCCTAAATTAAAGAAAACATTGCAACATGATAAAAATTGTAAGCATGATTTACCCTTTTTTCCTCCAAAGTAGCACTTACTTTCAAGTTTTTTTTTCTCCAGATATTGATTAAATGGTATGTTTAGGATGTAAAATATTAAATATTTCCAGCTTATACTTTAGATAATGAGGTTTTTTAAAAAATTTTTAGAAGATTACCAACATTGGAGTATTTCTTGTAAAGTTGAAAATGTTCTTTTTCAGCCAGGTGTAGCGATTCAAGCCTGTATTCCTGCTTGAGAGGCTGTGATCGGGAGGATGTGGTCCAGGCCAGCTGGGACAAAAGCAAGACCCTATCTCAAAAATAACCAGAGCAACAAGGGCTGTGGGTGTGGCTATTTGCCTGAAAAGTGTGAAGCTCTGAGTTTAAACACCAGTACCACCAAAAAAAAAAAAAAGAAAAGAAAAGAACTACTCTTTTTCACTAGCATGAGAAATTGTAAAATCTATTTAATCAGCCTAGGATGCCTCAAATATTTTCAAAATCAAGTTTTAAAACAGAAGTACAAGTTAAAAGCTGGACTTAAAGTTATTAATATCATTGACTGGGCTATCTGTGTATCTTTCACACTTCAAACCCTGACTTTTGGCTGGGAGAGCTCCTCAGAATCAAGCTGTTAGTGGTTGGGGATACCAAGTGAAGAATGCTTGGCCCAGAAATCTACACTGCCTTTTAAAAGCCCTACAAAAGACCTGGAGGTACATTTCTTTTGAGAATCAGTACTATATTATCTATTGATTATTTCTTGGTGGTACCAGGGTTGAACTTAGAGCCTTGTACTTACTAGGCAGGTGCTCTACCACTTGAGCAACTCCCCTAGCCATTTCTGTGTTACTTATTTTTGAGAGTCTCATGGTTGTATCTATGTTGGCCTGAATCCTGATCCTCCTATTTGCCAGGGCTGGCCCTGAACCACAATCCTGATCTCCACTGCCAGGAAGCTAGGATTATAGCCTTAAATCACCATGCCTGGCTTTAAATAGTACAAATAAAGATACTGAAGATTTGTTCAGACTTTTGTTTTATTATGCTACTGTGGCTGAGAAAAACAATACAAATTTGTAACTTTTATTGAGAGAAAAAAAGGAAAACTAGAAAAAAGTTTAATCAAGAAAATATCACTTGCTTATGTGTCTGCTTTTCTCAAATTTTTGGTTTTAGGCTTTCCTTACTTTCTTAAAAATTATAGGACCTCCTAAAAAGTTATATTATCATTTTTTTGGTGAGTTATAGCAATCACTAATTATCACATGGGAAAATGAAATTGAAAAAAATTTCAAAATATTAATTCATTTAAAAAGTAAACCCTGGGCTGGGGATGCATCTCAGTGGTTAAGTGTTTGCTTAGTATGCATGAAGCCCTGGGTTCAATCCTCAGTACTGATAAAAAAGTAAGTCCTTTACATGTTAACATAAATAACAAAACCTAAAATTTTTCCAAAACTTAAAGAAGAGTGCACTGTTTTAGATATAGTTTACACTTCTACAGATCTCTTTCAAAGTCTAGCTTAATGGAAGAGGAGCTAGATTCTCATACTTCCTTTGTATTCAATTTTTTTTTTTTGGTTACTGTGCATACACAGAAGTACGTATAAGAAAATCCAATCTCATGCAGATGTGTGATACTGGTTAGAACTACTGCTGTCTACCTTTTGAAGTATTTCAAGTATCCGAACAAGGTGAGCACCAGTGGTTCACGCCTGTAATCCTAGCTACTTTGGGAGGCTGAGGATTATGGCTCAACGTCAGCCCCGACAAATAGTTTACGAGACCCCTATCTCCAAAATAACCAGAGCGAGATGGACCAGAGCAGTGGCTCAAGTAGTAGAGCACCTACTTTGTAAGCATGAAGCTGAGTTTAAACATCAGTCCCACCAAAGGGGGAAAAAAAAATCAGAACAAATAACATCCATACACATGGTTTACTCACGTTAAAAGCCCAGTTTCATGACATTTAGTTGAAACTGAGCTACTCAAATTAATGACTAATCTTAGAACTTCTTTTCGAAGAAGTATACGGCACATCGGTGTATCATCTGGAATTGTTTTAACACCTGAAAAGAAGATTTCAGTAAAAAGTTGCTTTATTACAATGTAGAATGATTATAAATCATGGAATTTGGTTTTAAGTTTTACCTACAAATCTAAAACTGAGATCAATTGCCTGTGAACTGCCAATTGCTTGGGAACAAAACTCTTTTTAATAAAAGCAAACAGCTAAGATGGTATGCATGACATGGCAGATACAGGTATAATATTTAAGAATCTGCTAAACTGTTCACTGAAAGTTTTGAAACAACTTTAATTTACAATATTTATTTTAAAAAATGCAATTTTAGTACGAATGCTGGGAACTGAATCTGAAAACTCACCTAGTAGTAATTCTGTGCTTTTGGTGCTGCTGGCTGAACCTTCTTGAGACACTCCATCACTGCATCCAGAAATCCCCGAAAACTTAGAAGGAACCACTTCTAAGGGATTGTGAATAGTTTGCTCACACCAATCAGAATATGGAATATCTTGAAGGTCTGAAGAAAAATACTATATGAATTAAAGCATCGTAACAGCTTAGTTCTTGTGCTTGTACTACATACTCTAAGAGATGACTCCTTGTAGTTTCTTTTCTATTTTCAGCAATTATTCCGCACAAGGAAGATTTTCAAGTAAATCTAAGACTACTCAGATAGGAAAATCTACTGAATTCCAAAGATATAAATAAGATTTTATTTTCCTAAATAACAAATAACAGGAATGTGATTTAAAAATTCAAATTATTATGTATATAGAATTAAATGTGAAAGCATTTTATTATCTCTACTCTTCCATCTTTGTTACCCCCATCTAGATATTTATCACCATAGTAACGCCATTAAAAGTTTTTGTGTGTGTGTGTGTGTGTGTGTGTGTGTGTGTTTGTGAGAGAGAGAGAGAGAATTCAAGTATTTCATGCAACGAACCTTAGACACACTTTTACTGAACATCCTTTGATTCAAGATTATTTTTATTTGGATAAAACATTTTGTTCATAAACTCAGTGGATTTATCTAAAAAAGGTTGCTGTTTAGCTTTTTAACTGCAGTTGTTCGCCTTTACTGTTTCTTCTCATTTACATTAATAGCACTCTGGAGCTTAGCATTATTGCATCTTTTAATTAAAATGGAGACAAGGAGCACAGCACAGTTCGCACTTCAAGCAAAACAGACTGGCTGCCTTTTTCCTCCATGTGGCTCAATAGAAGGCTGGCTCCAGCTAAATGCCACTCTATATGGGAAAGAATAGTAAGTTACTATCAAAAACAAAATAAATTAAACATACATCTTCTATCTCGGTTAGCTCAGAAAAAACAAATCATAAGCTACTTTTTTTCCAATCAGAAAGCCATAAGTCACATACAGTTTATGGGAAATGCTGACAAGAATGATTTTTGGAAAAAATTAAGAATTTCTGTAAGGAGATCTACCTCTGATAAAGGAAGAAAGAGATTTTCTTTAGAACTACAGTAAGATCACCAGAACCAAACTACCAGTACTTTTTTCTAACATAAACAATTTACTGTGTTACCATTTACTGAGTACTTAATGAACACTAACCTTAAATACTATAAAACAATACCATAAGGTGTCATTCAACAGAAAGACACAGTACTAAATTTTGAAAGCTAACATTTTGACTTCCACACTAGAACTGTACAATGCATAAAAACCTGTGACAGCATCAGAACACAGAATGGAATGTGTTAGTAAATATCCTAGTCCCACAGTGTTTTCTTTGAGCCCTAACATTTAAAAAATTAAATGACACAAAAACTACCTATCTATGAGATACCACGTAATGTTTCTATAGATGTAGACATTGTGTAATGTTCATGTCAGGGTGCTATCATTTCCTCATGGTGAAAACATCAAAAATCCTTTCTTATAGCATTTAAAAATATACAGTATATTATCTAGTCACCCCATTGTACAAGAGCACACTAGAACTTATTTCTCATATCTAATTATAAATTAGTATCCACGAATCAACCCTTACTCATCCCATTCTCCTCTTCTCATCCTAGCCTTTAGTAATCACTATTCTACTCTCAACTTCTTATCAAGTTTTCTGGATCCCACACATAAATAAGATCGTGTGGCATGTTTCTGTGTGTTTGGTTTATTTCACTTAACATAAAAATTTCTAGTTCTATCCATGTTGCTGTAAACGACAGGATTTCATTCTTTTTATTGCTGAATATTCAGTACTGCACTTTATCCATTCAACAGCTAAACAGGTTGTTTCTATTTCTTGGCTATTGTGAACAATGCTACAATTCATGTGGGAGTACAGATATTCTTCAACATATTGATCTGATTTCCTTTAGACATATACCTGTAATTGGGATTGCTGGATCAAATGGTTAGTTTTGGTATAATTTCCTGAGAAACATCCATACTGCTTTCTGTAATAGCTGTACCAATTTACATTTCAATTCGCATGTGTAAGGAATACCTTTTCTCCCCTATCCTTGCCAGACAGTGTCATTTTGGTAACACTCTAACTGGTGTGAGGAGAAAGCTCATTGTGGTTTTGATTGGCAGTTGGACTTTTTTTTAATCTTCTTTTGAGGAATGTCTATTTAGGTCTAGTACTCATTTTAAAATCAGATTAGACCTCTTTTTTCCAATTTGGATGCCATTTATTTCTTTTTATTGCCCTACTGCTCTGACTAGGACTGAGCTTTAGCTTTTCTTTTAATTCCACTACCACCAGTAAATTAGAAATCTTAAGAGAATAAAATCTCTCATGCTCAGGACTTGACATATCTTGAAAACAATCACTACAGAGAACGGGGATTATTTTTTTAGTTATCTGTCATAGATAATAAGAATGTCTTCTTTCTGACACACAAAATCCCTAGTATGGCCTAAAGCCTAAACACGGCCTAAAGCCGTGTTTCTCAAACTTTACTGTGTACGCAAACAAGCTGGAAGTTTTCTGAAAGTGCTGATACTGATTCTTGAAGTGTGGGGAGGAGCTTGAGATTCTGCACTGCAAATAAGCACTCAAGGTGACACTAAGGCTACTGGCTCATTAGCCACACATTGGATAGCCTGGCTTCATAGTCTTCACTTATCTTTCCATGCTTTGTCTTACATCTCCTTTCCCCTCTTTGGAGCACTAATCTCACAGCTGTCTTTTCAGACTCACATCCCATGGTGAGACCCCTCAGAGAACCTCTGCTTATGCTGCAAATCTGTCTAAAATGCTCTTTATTCCCGCCTTAGCTTCTGTTCATTCTTCAGGTCATAACTTAATAGTAACTTCTTCAGAAATTTCTACTTTGTCCCATCTACTTCGTCATATTCCTTGGCTCATACCATGTCATTCCTAGTGACACTTATTACAAATCCAGTATTGTATCTATTTAATCAGCCAACCAATCAATCAATCCATTTCTTTCTTGTTTTTTTTTTGGTGGTACTGTTGTTTGAACTCAAGGCCTAATGCTGGCTAGGAAGGTGCTCTACCACTTGGGCCACGCCCCCAGATCAATGAATCTATTTCTTTTCTCACTGGACAAAGGCCAATGAGTGCAGAAGAGTACCTGACTGGTACTTTTCACAACTGTTTTCCTGGGGTCTAGTTCAATGCCTGGCCCACAGTAGCTGTGTAATACATATTATGTTGACTACATGATTGTTAAAAGGTTCACTTAGCCTCCCTCCTCTCATTCCTTAGAAATGATTATCAGTAGGCAAATTACAACAGTTTTCAAATTAATAGTTAATCTTAACCTGCTGCTTCTCAATCCAATACTTCGCATCATGAAAAAAAGATGGGAAATGGAGGAGAAGGCTGCGTTAAGGCAAGGGACTCTTAGATTGCATCAAGTCTTTCACTAGTCCCAAACATTATAACACATGGTTTGATCATATTCTCACTTTAGATCACAAATGGATTAGAACTAGCTGTGACTGTCTTGTGACTGGGTAATTAGGGGGCTGTTCCTATTTGTTTCATAACCAAGTATAAAACAGTAGAGCAAAGCTCCATAGTTAAGTGCTTCCTATATATTTGTTGAATGAGTAAATGAAAACGAAGAAATTATAGGAATTAAAGCATAAACAATGTAACCAAATGGCTTTGAAAAGCATCTTCTCCACTGGGTGCAGTTAAGTACATCTGACACTTTTCCAAATCCACAGAAGATAATTATAAATAAATAATAACAAAATAATTATACTGTGTCAGGTCCCTGAACAGCACTATTCATTGTGTGAAATGCCTAGTCCAGGGATCTTTCAACTCAGATCCCAATGGAATATGGAATCATTGAGGAGATCAATATCTCTGCATAGCTGTACCCTATTTGTTGCGTATCAGTGCATCACAATCCAAGAGTTAGGAAGCTCTGAATTATCAAGAGTAAACAGTGGTCATGAATAGGCTTCCTGAGGGTAGCTACGTAATATTTACTAAGAAAAGGTACATATGGGTAACACTTTAAAGACCTACATACTAATTTGAAATTGCTAACATATATCACTTATTGATTCAACCTTTATTTCTACTTTGTTTACTCACTCCCCAAATACATACTGACAGCCTACCGTACAAAACAGCACACGACTAGTATTAAAAATAAATATAAAAAATGAAAAGACATTGACAGACCATGCCCTAAAGGAATGTACCAAGAAGGGAAAAAAAACTGAGTAATAATAATCATTATAAGAGACCTATGTGTATAGGGCAATGAGGACAAAGAGGAAGAAATGTTAATACCTGACTTAAGAAAGCCAGAGAACACCTGGCAGACAAAATATTGCTGACACTTAGAATGAGGTGGCCAAATATGCGATGTGTTTCTGCGTGTGGGAGGTGAAGGGGTAAGGAAAGAAGAGCAGGGAAAAGAAAGTTTTCATGCCTGGCAGTTTTTCAAAACTTTAAGTTAGTCAATAATGGCATGTCAACTGCAAAGGAGGAAAATGATGAAAGAAAACCTCAATACTGATCACAAATAGTCTTGTATTGGGCATGAATAGCCAATAAAGAATTATAAATAGGTTAATCCTAGGTAAAAGTATGAAAGATGGATTCGAAAGAATCAAAATTAAAGTGCGAAACAGTAATACTCCAATAAGGAGACTCTAAGTGACTAGTGAGAATAGAGGAGGAAGAGGTTAGGACTGATAGATGACTTGTGACAACCAGATTCGGGTTCAGGTGGATTCATCTCAAAGGACATAAACACTCACCTGAATGACTACATATTGCACTTAATTGGTTACTGGGTTGGAAACCCAGAATTTCAATACAGACACAATAAAGGCAGTTATCATCTGTATGCTCCTGTAACCCAGTGTCTTCTGTGCTTTCTAAAAACAGAGAAGCATCTGAATGGATTGAATTCATTATTTCTGTAAGACTCATCTGCTGTCGTAGTAAGTGAAAAGAGTTTTTTACAAGACCTCCAGTTCCAGATGGAAGACCTGTGCATAATATAAAACATAATCAGATAAAGACAGTATGAATGATACCTTTTTCAAGATGCTTTAAACTATGCAAAATTCTAAAGAAGGAAATCTAGGAAAGAAAACCAGAACTCTTTTTATGACTCAACATCCAATTTTGACTAGGAAGAAAAAAGAATTTGCTCTGAATTATGAAAATAACTACAGTAAGAACATATGTTTATATTACTTCAATATAGGGTTTTAAACACAAAATGGAAAACTGAGATAATGTTTCATTTTAATTACCTACAACATTTGCCTAAAGAAAAGCAAAAATTCAAGTACAAACACCTACCTGTTTATATGCAATTTTCATAAAAATATAACAGTTCATAACACAGAGGGATCATGTAACTTAAGAGAACATTTTCGTATCTCTTCTCATCTTAAACAAATAGATGTTTCTTGGACCTATGAGGATAAGTGTTAAAAACTTGCATGTACTGCTTTTTAAAACAGAAACAACTAATCTGGTTTATACTTTCTTGAGAGGCTAGGTAAAACACATTTTAAGTCCTTTTAAAAACTGTGGTACTTGGCATGGTGTCACATACATTCTAGCATTTGGGAGGCTGAGGCAGGAGGATCACAAGTTCCAGATCAATCTGGACTACATTGTTTCAAAAAAGAAACTGGTTCAATTTTAATTTGACTCAGTTTTGTTGGTATAATTTTTAAGTTGGCCCAGAGCATATACATGATTTTTTGTGTCATTCTATGAAAAACAACTAAGAATTTCATTTTTAATTCAAAGAGGAATTTCATGAGATCAAAGAGCATGCATTACCTCCTGTGTCATGGGCAAACACTTTTGCACCTCGATCATCATGTGGAGGTATGTTCTTTGTCTGAAAATAAGGAATATCCTTTACCTAAAATAGATATAAATCATGGTAAGTCTTGGTCTAAAAAGTTGTTCACCTTGTATATATTAAGAAAACAGAAGTGTTACAGCTTACAAACCTACAATGAAAAGTTTACTAAACAAGGTGAAGTTATTCAAACTCCAAAATAATCATAAGAATATTTTACCATATTTTTGGTGAGTTAAACGTAAATTCAATAATTATATTAGTGTTTATCTAAAATGCCTTAAAGCTGGCCATGTTGATGCTTAGCTACTCGGGAGGAAAAGGGGTAGAAGGATTCTAAGTTCCAGGCCAGCTGGGAAAGGATAGCAAGACCTTGTCTCAAAAAAAAAGTAAGAACAAACAGGCTAGGGTCCTGGTTCAAGGAGTAGAGGACTTGCCCAGCAGATTTGGGACCCTGGATTCAATCTCCAGTACTGGGGGAAAAAAAAAATTTTAGATTTCTGAACAAATGTGTTTTCCTCAATATTTGTATATAGAGATCTGTGGTATTTCACAGGATTAGGGACACTTTATATGATTGGGCACCAGATGTGACTACTCTAAATGGGAAAAAGAGGGCCAAAGATTAAAGAACAGAGTAAATTAAGTGAGTCTAAAACAGAAGGTTTGGAATTTACTACAAGGAATACACAGATAAATAAATCAAGATCCCAACTTGCTTACAGGAAAGAGGGTGATGAGATACTAGAGACCTGGAGGCACTAAATAAGAGTATCCAATAGAAGTAAAAGAGTATCAAACAGTTGAGACAGGTGAATTTTCATCTTAAAATTTCTTTAGATAAAACCTGACCCCCCCAAGTATCTTCTCCATAATTAGTGTTCACTCTAAATTATAATTCCTAAGAAAGATGCAGAATATAAAAAATAGGAAGTAAGCTCATAGGAAAACAATAAAACTTATAACACGTACCTGAAATATATCATTGATATCTACTGGAAGAGCAAGACCAATGTAGTCATCTGAGCCCCCGTATGTAGCACTGGACACCATGGACCTAACTGAGGAGGATCGCTGCAGGGTATTTTGATTAATGGGACTTAATAAGTCTTCTTTATCTAATGATGCATAACTTAAAGCTTTCATGAACCTACAATATCATAAAAAACTTACATTAGTTTCTTGACTTGCAATATTAATCATATAAAAAATGAAACTTCTATTCCTACTTTTACTTCATAAAAGTAGTTAGGGAAACAGTAAATAGTACCATCTTGTTTACTGAGAGCACATAAACACTTTAAAATATTAGCTGCTATAAACTGATATATAAAAAATCAACAATAATGCTGAGTGTTACAAAAAACACTCAGGTTTCCTAAAAAAATTAAGGCGCTGAGAGAGTGGCTTAAGTGGCAGAATTCCTGCCAACCAAGTATGAGGTCTGGAGTTCAAGCCCCTTATCTCCCTGCACCCTCCAAAAAACTAATTAGAAGATTAAAAAAAAAAAACTGGTCTAGAAACAGAGGTATAGTTAAAAACTATCTTTACAATCATTTGAGACTGCTAGATTTGCTATCATATAGCTAAAGATACATCTATCAATACCATTTAATATCATACATATGAAAAGTAAGATTACTTATCATTACCCGATTGATACTTACATTATTACCTTCATTATCAACATAGGTCTTATGTAACACACCTTACACAATATGATAAAATGGCATAATTTATAAATATTACTGATCTTTGTTATGTAAAGATCAGTGCTTATGTGAAGCACTGATCTTTCTACAATGCACTCATCACTAAGATCCCACAACAAATACTGTGTACTGACATTTCCATAAGATACACATCGGTTATACAGATTCTTACCCATGCAATATACATGCTAAAATATTTACTTGGTACCAGCTTTACAAATATAAAACACTATACAAAGCTCCACGTTCTATGTGTATTGCTATTTAGAAAAGCAACTCTTATGCATTCATGTAGCCTAATAAAAGAATTACTTTGCAAAACATACAAAATACATGCATTATAAATAGTAGCTATTTAGATTATGACAGCAAAAACCATCTATTAATTTCCAACTAAAACCCTCTCTTAACTGAAACTTTATTTGTGAAGAAAGGGTTTTTCTGCTTAAAAAGCAACATTTAAAAAAAAAAGCTTAAAACCACTCATCTCGTCTAATCACTACTAGATGAGGTATTTGAGGCTTAGAAATTCCAAATTCATGAACTATAATGCATAGATTTGTAACTGTGTGGGCTTGAGAGGCATGTTTGGCTTTGTTCTGGATTGATCAGGGTGCAGAATTATTGCATACCCCTTGATTAAATATGTCAAATATTCAAAAAAGACTGTTTAATGTTACTAAGAATTTAATGTAAGAGAAAGATAGATTACATAAAATAACTATGAATGACAATGATAGTAATACTAGCTTTTATTGAATGCTTACTATGTGCCAGATACTATTCTAAATACTTGACATGCAATAATCCACTGAAATATATAATTTAAAACTAGGGAAAGTTGTTCTGAAGCATTTGGCCCAACAACAAAAACACAGCGAATTTTCTGCAACAGTAAAATTTCATATTGCAACTCTTTTAAATGAAAAACCTAAACTGTTCACTATGAAGTTTGATAGAATCAAAATATGGTACAGAAATACTGAGTCCTGAGGATGAAGTAATTCATTTAGTGTTTATTAGGTTCCTATTTAGTAATTACACGTAAACTAAAAATAATTTAACTGAAATGTTCAGTTATTCTGGGGGGGGGGAAGAGGTCAACTTCTGGAGCCTTACATTGACCTACCTGAAAAGGTTGTTTGTTATTGTAGGTCTTAAGCTCCTGATTCCCCCGACATGCTTCTTTTTAAAATCGATCCTTGCAGAAGCGAGAAATAAAAAAAAGCTTGTGACTTTTATGTCCTTGAAAAGAATATGTTTAGTTTCAGGACCTAATGGAGTTTTATTTTCCCCCCTCGCAGCTGCAAGAATCCATTTCAAATCATATCGGGTAACAAGGAGCTTATAGCCTACCATAGTAAACAATTGTAATAGGTCAGTTCTTATGTAGAGTTAAACCTGACTGATGTTTTAACATTTAAGACTGTTGAAACACACCCATTATTGTTCATTTAAAAATATTTGCTCACCTGCTTGGTGTTAATCTGGACTCAAAACTGTTGGCCTTCATGGTGATGGTATCAGTAAACAGCACGTCTTTTGCTGGAGATGCCAAAGCTTCAGAGTGAGATAAGGATGGATGCATTCTTTGCTGCTGTAATCTTTTCAATGTAGCGTAGCCAAAGGCATCTCTAGAACTTGTGTAACTGAAGTTACAATCTGCTAGACTTTTAATTGTAGCAATAGAGGGTGCTTTAAGTGACTGTGCTCTTCTAGGAAGTGTATGAGAAGACCCTGGAGGCACCAGGGACACTGAGTTTGATTTGGAGAGAGACAGATGGTTAGACTGTGGTGTCAAGTAGTGGCTTGTCTTAACAGTTTTAGTACTTACCACAGTACTCATACTTCCACAGTCTGTGTCTATAGTTGTAGCATCAACACCTACTGTCTCTCGTGAAGGACTTGAGCTCATTGAACTTATCCCACTCGTTGTAGTGTCTGTATTAAAACTTTGGCTACGGATCTTCATATGTGAGCTCGTTGAACTTTCTACAACTAACCTTTCTCGGCTTGTGTTTTCTCTGTGATTCTCTGTACCAAAACTCTTTGTGAATTTTAAGTCATTCTCTCCAATACTGGGAGTACTACCAGTGTCTTCAATGTGCTTATTCCCAACAAATGAAGTTTCTAATTGCAGTGTTTTCTGCACTGTGGATATAGGTGTGAAATCATCACTGTGATTAAAGTCAACACTGGGCTCCGTAAGTGTTCTGATTCGTCTGTTGTTGGTCTTATTTTCAGATGATAGTTTTCCTCCTTTTGGATCACTGCTGCTACGATGTTTTTTATTAGGCAAAGTAAGTGAATTTAAGATACGATTCTTCACAAGTTTACTAGAAGCAAAGAAAGGGAATGAATTTTTATCCTTTATGGGTCCAGGTCGGTCATAAAATGCTGGCTCTGCATCTTCATTGATGTCAAGGAAAAATGTACTGGTAGAGCTGCTACCAAACCGATCATCCTCCATTATGAACATACCTAAGATTGAAAGGTCAATTAGTTAAAGCACATGAGAAATCCATTACAACTATTAGTAATGTCACATTTCAGGAAAAAAAACTGTTTTACAATTTTTTCTAAGTAGTTATCTGGGGGGAAAAAATTAAAAACTAAAGCACTGAGCTACATGAAAAGTACTCCCTTAAAACTCAGTGACTGGATGTGAACAAAATAAAAGATTATGTCATTATGAGAATCTCTTGTTATTTCCCAAGAAACACTATAAAACTCACTATGGTATAGCATCAAGTTTCTTTTGATTTTCCAAATATTCAGGATAAATTACAGGAAAAAGGAGGCTTAAGTGTAGATGCTCAGTTGGCACAGATTCCTTGTGGTTCTTTTTCATATCACAATGCCAGGAGAAATAAATCTTATAAGAAATGAATTCCCAATCTTTAAATATATAATCAGTCCTCCACATCCATGGGTACTGTATATTATATATTCAACCAATCATGGGTCAAATATATTCAGTACCTATACTAAAACATCTATAATTGTTTTGTCATTATTCTTTAAACAATCGAGTATAATACTTAATTTACATGACATTACATTAGGTATTACAAGTAATCTAAAGATGATATAAAGTAGATTGAAGAATTGTGTGGGTTATATGCAACTACTCTGTCATTTTATTTTAGGAATTTAACACCCAGGGATTTTGGTATGGGGAGAGGGTGGTATGTATCCTGAATTCTCCATGAATATGGAAGGATGACTGTACTTACAGAGAACCAAGTTACAACATTTAAAATTCATACTTAAAACCATCTAAATTCAGTGCTCAATGCTAACAGATCTAACATAGGTGTCTATCTATTTTATTCTACTTTTAAATTTCTGTTGAATAATTATAAACTACTTCAAACAAACTTATTTCTTTCCCCCCACCCAGGGGTTAGTTTTTTTTTTTTTTTTTATTCACATGTGCACACAAGGCTTGGGTCATTTCTCTCCCCTGCCCCCACCCCCTCCCTCACCACCCACTCCACCCCCTCCCTCTCTCCTCCACTCCCTCAACCCAGCAGAAACTATTTTGCCCTTATCTCTAATTTTGTTGAAGAGAGAGTATAAGCAATAATAGGAAGGAACAAGGGTTTTTGTTGGTTGAGATAAGGATAGCTGTACAGGGAGTTGACTCACATTAACTTCCTGTGTGTGGGTGTTACCTTCTAGGTTAATTCTTTTTGATCTAACCTTTTCTCTAGTTCCTGGTCCCCTTTTCCTATTGGCCTCAGTTGCTTTTAAGGTATCTGCTTTAGTTTCTCTGCGTTAAGGGCAACAAATGCTAGCTAGTTTTTTAGGTGTCTTACCTATCCTCACCCCTCCCTTGTGTGCTCTCACTTTTATCACGTGCTCATAGTCCAATCCCCTTGTTGTGTTTGCCCTTGATCTAATGTCCACATATGAGGGAGAACATACGATTTTTGGTCTTTTGGGCCAGGCTAACCTCACTCAGAATGATGTTCTCCAATTCCATCCATTTACCAGCGAATGATAACATTTCGTTCTTCTTCATGGCTGCATAAAATTCCATTGTGTATAGATACCACATTTTCTTAATCCATTCGTCAGTGTGGGGCATCTTGGCTGTTTCCATAACTTGGCTATTGTGAATAGTGCCGCAATAAACATGGTGTGCAGGTGCCTCTGGAGTAACAGTCTTTTGGGTATATCCCCAAGAGTGGTATTGCTGGATCAAATGGTAGATCGATGTCCAGCTTTTTAAGTAGCCTCCAAATTTTTTTCCAGAGTGGTTGTACTAGTCTACATTCCCACCAACAGTGTAAGAGGGTTCCTTTTTCCCCGCATCCTCGCCAACACCTGTTGTTGGTGGTGTTGCTAATGATGGCTATTCTAACAGGGGTGAGGTGGAATCTTAGTGTGGTTTTAATTTGCATTTCCTTTATTGCTAGAGATGGTGAGCAATTTTTCATGTGTTTTTTGGCCATTTGAATTTCTTCTTTTGAGAAAGTTCTGTTTAGTTCACTTGTCCATTTCTTTATTGGTTCATTAGTTTTGGGAGAATTTAGTTTTTTAAGTTCCCTATATATTCTGGTTATCAGTCCTTTGATGTGTAGCTGACAAATATTTTCTCCCACTCTGTGGGTGTTCTCTTCAGTTTAGAGACCATTTCTTTTGATGAACAGAAGCTTTTTAGTTTTATGAGGTCCCATTTATCTATGCTATCTCTTAGTTGCTGTCCTCCTGGGGTTTCGTTGAGAAAGTTCTTATCTATACCTGCTAACTCCAGAGTATTTCCTACTCTTTCCTGTATCAACTTTAAGAGTTTGTGGTCTGATACTAAGATCCTTGATCCATTTTGAGTTAATATTGGTATAGGGTGATATACATGGATCTAGTTTCAGTTTTTTGCAGACTGCTAACCAGTTTTCCCAGCAGTTTTTGTTGAAGAGGCTGCTATTTCTCCATCGTATATTTTTAGCTCCTTTGTCAAAGACAAGTTGGTTATAGTTGTGTGGCTTCATATCTGGGTCCTCTATTCTGTTCCACTGGTCTTCGTGTCTGTTTTTGTGCTAGCACCATGCTGTTTTTATCGTTATTGCTTTGTAATATACTTTGAAGTCAGGTATCGTGATACCTCCTGCATTGTTCTTTTGACTGAGTACTGCCTTGGCTATTCGTGGCCTCTTGTGTTTCCATATAAATTTAATGGTAGATTTTTCAATCTCTTTAATGAATGTCATTGGAATTTTGATGGGAATTGCATTAAACATGTAGATTACTTTGGGGAGTATCGACATTTTTACTATGTTGATTCTACCAATCCATGAGCATGGGAGATCTCTCCACTTTCTATAGTCTTCCTCAATCTCTTTCTTCAGAAGTTCATAGTTTTCCTTGTAGAGGTCGTTCACATCTTTTGTTAGGTTTACACCTAGGTATTTGATTTTTTTTGAGGCTATTGTAAATGGAATTGTTTTCATACATTCTTTTTCAGTTTGCTCATTGTTAGTGTATAGAAATGCTAATGATTTTTCTATGTTGATTTTATATACTGCTGCCTTGCTGTAACTATTGATGATGTCTAGAAGCTTCTGAGTAGAGTTTCAAACATATTTCAAAAGAAGGCAAAGTGAAATCCTAAATGAACTTTCATGCTGCATTTCTCTAATTCTAAGATGTGCCTTTTATATTGAATCTCTGCAAAATCAACATGCATCTTGCAATCCAATGTATTAGTTTAATAGGAAATATTTTTTCCTTAGTGTTACACAACAGTGTATCTTAGTTTGCTAAGGTATGTTTGATTAATGTATCTTTTTTGTTATTTTGTTATTTGTTTTTTGTGACAGTATCTTGATATGTAGCCCAGGCTGGTTCTAAACTCTCGGTCCTCTTGTCTCAGCATCCTGAGTGATGGGATTTATAGGCATGAGCCATCACACTCAGCTTGCATTATCCTCTTAAAAGAAAGAACCATATCTTAAGTTTTGTACATCTAACAGCATTTAGCACAGGGCTTGAAATCACAAATGCTTTTATGTATAGCTTCTTTCCAACAACCTACCTTTTACAAACCCACTTATTTATTTATTTGTTTATTCTTTCATTCATTCCTAGTGCTGGGAATTGAACCCAGGGCCTCCTACATGACAGGCACATACTCAACTACTGACCTACATTCCTCATCCCTCCACTATTTTAAAATTTAGTGCTATGCTCAAAAATGAAAATGTGAATATATATATCTTTCCATACATACTCTGATTCAATAATCTCTACATTTGGAAATTGAGCAAAAAACAAAGTAAATGAAGAAAGCGGACAAATAAATAAATGTTAGGTTTGTCTCTTTACTGTAACAAAAAAAGGGAATTTGTTCTTCTGGCACATGGCTTATTATGTATCTCTGTACACAGGATTTTCCAAAAGCTATTTATAAAGCAAGGAGAGAGAACAATTTAGGCTGGTGTTCTGTGTTATGAAAAGACATTTATTTTCTAAGAGGCTATTACTACCAAATGATTACCTTAAGAAAAAATAAATCTGGAGTGTAACAAATAATAAAGTTTTGAAATTAAAAATATAAATGTCAATGCTAATTCTATGTGAACCTATCCCAATACTCACTTGATGGTGCAGATTCACTTTCACTGTTATGTCTAGAGCTGGTTGACTCTGAGTTCAAACTTAGAGTGCTGGGGATAGATGAGAGTTCATTACAGAGTTGTTCCACATCATCTGGAACTACTGGCCACAGATGTTTGCGACTATGTCTCACAGCATCCCAGTTGTGACATTTTAAAATATCACAGCCTTGTTTGGTTTTAGCTATGAGTCCAAGTACATATACACAGGTCCTATATGTAAAAAGTGTCAGAATGACAGTTAATAATTCAAAACTGAGATTTCTTAAACATAGAATAGTTAATTTGCTATCTGTACATTTGTATTTTCTTTAAAAGCCGTTAAAATTGCTCAGTCTGTAGGAAACTATGTATTAAAACCAGTTAGGAAGAAACTAGCAGGAATAAAAACAGGTAAATCTTAATAAAAAATAATAACTACAACGAAAGGAAAGAACACAATGTGATCTTAGCAAAATATATTTATATTAGGTTTTCCAGTATAAATCTGGAATATATGGGCTTCTTTGTGAACACACACACAGTTTTCTCTGTTACTTGAAAGATAAACTTTAATACAATATTATAATAAAAAGGAATGCTAGTAACAGAGTTTATTAACTTAATGAATTTAAAAATCTTACACCATTAGAATTCATAGTGAATTAACAGTTACGAGCTATTAAATACTTTTGTCTTACATCTATTTGTGGACAAGAAATTTAAAAGATTTCTGGGGTAAATGACATACCCTCTGATGGAAAGAACCTCACACTGCTTTGCAAGTTTTAGTATATCTGGAATCACATTTTCTTCCTGTAGCAAATTAAGACCCCAATTTGATGAACCAATATTTCCCTGAAAGAAAAGAAAATACTTACATCAAACATATTTACCACAGTAACTCTGAAGAGATATGAAAAGCTACCAAGAAACAAATTTAAACCCATTTAGGAGAGAGGAAAAAAAAAATCTATATGAAAATTTCAAATAAGGAATGTTAAGAGTAAGGTAATGTTCTATTTGTTTTAGTAAGAAAACAAAACCCATAAAACTAATAGTTTAACCATCTACTTTTTCAGCATAAAAATTATTAAATTGACAGGAGCAAGCCTGGTCTTAAAATAGTAATCTAAGTACAAGTTCAAACAAAGCAATCTGAATTTACATAGTATTAATGGAAAAAATGAAAAGAGTTTAAAAGCTGCAAAGATCTTACAGAAGTATTTATTACAAACCAAGGCCCAAAGAGAGGCTTTCAGTTTTTTAATTTCTTCCCACTTATCCAAATCTGGTGTACGAACATTGTGACACAGTTCTGTTATGATATTCTGGAGAAAGAAAGAAATATCATGTAAGTAACATTATGTTTTTAACATATAATTTTTAATATATTATCTTATGAAACCTATTTAAAATTTGCTTTTAGTCATTTTTGCATATTTAAAATGCTAAAGTAATTTTATGTAAAATTTCTTAGGAGATTACATTTGCGCACAGGTTCTGAGTTCATACTCTAGACTTAACACTAATTAGCTGTATGGTCTTCAGAAAGTTACTTAACCTCCTCATGCCTTGGTTTCCTAATCCCTAAAATAGGGATAAAAATGGTATTTGTTGCTTAGTTCAATAAATTATTACATATAAAGTGCTTTAAAAAGTCATTGGCACCTAGTATGATTTTACCATACTATGATGATAATGACCAAAAATTTAAATTTTTAGTGATTTATTTTCAAATATTACTATAATGATATCTACCCAAATACTCTTCATAGACATAACATAAAAACACATGAAACTAGAGAGTATATTTATGCAAAACTTTGGTTTCCGGAGATGAACATTAATACAAAATGGAACTACAAAGTGGCACATTCCTTAATCCCAGCACTTGATGCAGGGCTCAGAGCCTGAAGCCAGCCTGGGCTATACAGTGATATTCTGACTCAAACAAACAAAAAACAAAAGAGGCTAAATTGGCTAGATTACTGTTGTATACATATATAAACACACACATATATACATACACACACACACACATATATATACATACACATACATACATTTTTACAATTACTTATTTCTTTTTTTCTTTGGCAATCCTGAGGTTTTAACTCAGGCCTTCACACTTGTTAGGTAGGTGCTCTACCACTTATGCCATGCCTTTTTAATTACTTATTTCTCGAATAAGAGAAAAGCTGTATTTATTGAAAACACCTAGTTACAAGCCATAAATGCAGTGTGTCCAAGCCCATTACATTCCATGAACATATTATATGAGAATTAGGAGGCATTCCTAAGCAACAACTTTTAATTTGTTGTTCTTCGAGAATAAATGAATCTGTATCAGGTTCAGTTTCACTTCCCCATGAAAGGATAAAAGAAACTTAGTTTTTCAGTATATAAGGAGATTTTAATTTCTCCAACAAGCTATAAAAAGAAGAAACACTGGTTGCTTACTCTGCAAAACAAATTAGCTATTCAAGAAGTAGCACACATAGGGAAATGCATGCATGCCATTAACATATCTAAGGATTAGAAACATACAATGTCTAGGTAAATTATAAGAGAGATGACTTCAAATAAAAAGGTCAATGAGATCCCATCTCAATAAATAGGCCAGGTGTGATGGTTTATAACTGTAATCCCAGACACACAGAAAATATAGAGGTATAAGGCTGGCCAGAGGCAAAAACTTAAGAACCCATTGAAAAAATAACTAAAACAAAAAAGGGGTTGGTGATACTTCTCAAGTGGCAGAACACCTGCCTAGAAAGCATGCAGTCCTGACTGAGCTCAAAACCCTCCGAACCACTGAAAAACAAACAAGCAAAAAAAAAAAAAGGAATTGTACTTTTGACTCTATAGTTTTTAAGAAATTTTTTGCAAAGGTAATATTTTAGCAATACTGAGATTTTTATTACTATCATAATGACTTAAAGTAAGCCAATTATATTTTTACCTGTACTTCCAATAAATGGCAGCCTGTTTTGTGGTGTACCAGTTGTCCATAAAGGTGTACAGGCAGGTAGACATGAGGACGTTGCAATCTATTATAATAAAGATAATTGAGATAGCTATTGGTGCACATAAATATGCTAATTAAAACAAATGATTATTAATGTGAATAAATAAAATTTGATGAAATTGCCCAACATAATTAAAAATAGGGAGCTGGGAAGAAACAAGAACTTTTCCTAGAAAAGTAACAGTTTATCAGGTCTCAAAGTACTAGGAAGAAAGCGAGGGCTAGAAAAGTAGACTGAGGGTAAGAATATGAAGTGTATCTAAGTACTTTACTACAAAATATATTCCACATGTTAAGTATGCCAATAGAATTTCTGGGCAATAAATACTGTGCAAAGAGGTTTCCTGTATCAGTGCACGAAAAAGAAAACTTTCAAAAATCACAATTATAAACTGGTTTTAAGTTTGATACTTGAGGTCTAATAATAAATTTTGCTATGTCTGGACTATATACCTTTGGTTACTTCGACGAACATAGTTATCACCATCGATAGGTTTCCGGTAAGTAGTAAGTGCTTCGTTAAGTTGTTCCTCAATCAGGTCAACGTATTTTGAATTATATTCCTGCAAGATAATATTGTTTGATTGTATACAGTATCATCATGATATTCATTAAATTCATGTCAGGTACTTAGCAAACCACAGGAACATTAACATGGGAAAAATAAAAAGAACATGTTCAGAAAGTAACAAACTTTTGGAAAAGGTAAAGCGAATGTTTTTTTATATCCAAAAGCTTTCTGCTTATATTTTCTTCCCTTTGCAATGAACATTTTGGGGTCCAAATAACTGAGTAAGTAACGTTATTCATCTTATTTGAATTCTCATCTATATAAAAAAAAGCAAGTTCTTAATACTAGACTCTGAAGATATTTACTAGAAATTTTAAAAAAGAAACTAACTGAATTTTATCATCTTAGTACCTTTTAGTAAGGTACCTTTTGTCACTGATTTAAACCAGGCTAAAAGTAAAAAATATTTCCTACTAACACTTGAAAAACTTCTATTTACATGCTTTAACTAGAAGTCAATCAATCACACTAGAATCTTTATTACAAAAGTTCTCTTCTTCAAAGTGTAGAATGGAATTGGTGGAAGTCTGTATTTTAGCAAAATTTATTTATGAACACTGTAATATAAATTTCATATAATTCTTATTTGCCACAAAATACTATTTTTTGATTTTTTTTCAATTGTTTAATAACATGAAAATCATGCTTAGGTCACACAAAAACAGGCAGTAGGCTATATTTGGATTGAGGGATCATTTGTCAAACTCTGGCTTAACAACATCTCAGGTGTAAATGGTCTCAATAAAATAATTAATAATGAATTAAGAAAATGTGGTGTTTATATAGAATGGAATTTTATTCAGCCATAAACAAGAATGAAAGTTGTCATTTGTAAGTAAATGAATGGAACTGGAGAACATCATCTTAAGTGAAGTTAGCCAGGTTCAGAAAGCCAAAGTCCACATTTTCTCTCATATGTAGAATATAGACTCAATATAAATACAAGCAACATCATGAAAAACAAGTCATGCTAAGGGGAAGTCACATATGAGAGAGGGAGGGTAAAAGAAGGAGGTTAAGATGAATATGGTTGATATACTTCCTATATAAGAATGAATATAGAATTTTTAAACCTGTTGAAACCAGCATAAGAAGGGGACTAAGGTGGAAAGGAGAAAAAAAAAGAGGGGATGAATCAATTCAGATTATAGTACATATATACATAGAAATGTCACAAAGAAACAACGTGTATAGCTATCTTAAACAAAAATGTCTTTTTTTTTTTTTTACATAAACAGAGAACAAGAAGGTAAAACAGGTCCTGTCTGGGGATCTGGTACCAGCTGGAGGGGTGAGGATATAAGGAAAGGGAATAAGAGAATGAATATGGTGGAAATATTACGTGTTCATATATGAAAATGGAAAAATAAGTCCTGCTGAAACTACTCCAAGAATGGAGAGTGGTGGAGATACAGGAGAATGATGGAAGGGTGAATTAAACTATGATATATTATAAAAACCTTGAAAATGTCACAATGTACCCCCAGTACAACAATATAATTAAAAAAAAAAAAAAAAAAGAGGAACAGGCTCCAGTAGCTCCTGCCTGTAATCCTAGGTACTCCGGAGGCAGAGATTAGGGGGATTGCAGTTCAAAGCCAGCCTGGGAAAACAGTTCACGAAACCCTGTCTTGAAAAAGATCATCACGAAAAAGGATTAGTGGAGTGGCTCAAGGTATAGGCCCTGAGTTCAAACCCCAGTACCACAAAAAAAGAAAAAAATAACAAAAAGTTGAAAGATACATGACAGGTTATGGATTTTGTGTAGCTAAAAGTAGGCAAATGATCAAAGATGTCCAGGTCTAATTAATAATTGTCAAATTTAGGTATCCTATTGATAAGTCTGCTGTTGTTGGCATAAATAATACAGGCATATACATAATAACAAATGGAAAGAAATTACAGTATGTCTACCTTATTTGTGAATTTATTATGTGACTGTGGTCACATAGGATAAAAAGTAAATCTCAGTAACAAAAATTTTAAATTCCTGCACATGCATTACACAGCTAAATTGATAAAGAGAATCTATCAGTCAGTCCCACAGTATCATTAGTTGTGTTTAAATCACAGTGTGATCTGCTGAGTGCTTCTCTTTCATTTTGTGAAAATGTGCCTCCCCAAAAGCAAATCATGCCCCTAAAGCAAGGTAAAAGTTATGGTAATCCTCCCAAGCCAAAAAGGGCACATGATATACTTAAGTGACGAAGTCTAAATTTTAGATTTGCTGAAAGGCTGTGGGTCTTTAGTGGAAGTTGGGTGATGTTATGAGACAAAAAAAAAAAAAAAAAAAAAGAATCAAGCATCCACAGTACTTGAGTTAAAGAGCATGAAATAAGACCTATTTTTTGGTGAGCAGTATTAATGTGTACAATAGTAATTTTTCTGACAATAATATAATATAGCATACTCCATGAAGATTAAGTCACAGACACTCAGGTCTACTGTATGTTCAGAATAGGTAAATTTGAGCAATTTTAGAGTTCTGAACTCTATGCATCCCGAGCATTCATTTGAGGTTCTTCCTCAACAGCAGTCTCCTTGGAACCATATACTCATAGATACCAATGGTCTACTGTATTTGCATTTAACCATAATTTTTGATCCCAATCAATTTATTGGTAGAAAGTACTTAGGAAGTAATGTTCCGCTGTAGAAAAAGAGGAGGCAATCTGTCCTAGATACTTTTTTATTGTGGTCACATGAGTATCTACAGGACACATCTATGTGGCCGAGTACAATAAAACCACATCAGTCCACTGTATAGCCAACCTGAAAAGTTCACAGCTACCCTGAAAGTCAGCTGTCTGGGATAGCTGAAATGAAAAGGAAAGAACAGAGTGATTTTCTCCTATCTTCAAAATGACTTACATAGTTCCCTAGGGAATCTTCTACTTTTCTCACAGGAACAGCTGTCTACTTCTTACATGCTATTATTCTCTCCCTTCCCAGGAATCCACTTCATCAGCTTTGTCCCCTCTCTAATTGCTAGTCTCGCTTGCCTCATTAGGTCTTTCTCCTTGGCTCAAAATACATTCTAATCACCTCAATCTTTTTAGTAGAACCTAGCAAGTGTGAAGCGCTGAGTTTGTTCAAACCTTTGTACTGCAAAAAAGAAAATTCACTCTTTTTTTTTTTTGGTGGGCCTGGAGTTTGAATTCAGGGCTTCAGCTCTTGCAAAGCAGGCACTCTACTGCTTGAGCCACACCTTCAGTCCTTTTGCCCTGGTTCTTTTGGAGACAGAGTCTCCCAAACTATATGCCTGTGTCAGCTTCAAACCACGATGCTCCAGATCTCAGCCACCACACAAGTGGCTAGGATTATAGGCATCAGCCACCAGCACCCAGCAGAAAAATCCAATCTTAAAAACAAAAATAAGTTTGCCCTTGCTCAGTTATTTTCAAACTCCATCATCTAGGATAAATTAGTTTACTCCTTTCAGACTCAATGTTTTCATTCACAAATTAGAAATAACAGAATGTATTTCATAATACTATTGCGAGGATTAAATGAAAGAAAAGTCCTAAGCACAATGCAAACTGTAAATTCCCTTCCCTTCATTGTAGTTTGAGAGAGTGGATTATATTGTTAATATTTTTAAACCTGCCATTTACTGCCTATAAATCAGTATTATTTCTAACTGTTTACTAAAACTGCTCTCTTATAATTGACCAAAGACCTAACTGTCTAATTTAATAGCTTGTTTTCCAGTATTTGATTTCTGTAAACCCTTACAAATCAGGATGTACTCTATAGTGAAAATGTTTCTGTCCTCTCTTCTCTGTGCACTTGTGGCCTCATTCATTTCAGGTTTCAACTCTACTATATACTGATAACTCTCAAACTGCCATCTCTACAGATATGATTTCCAGATGTATATTTCAAAACACTCTCTGGATACAATCTACTTGGTCATCCCACAGGCAACAGAGTTCAACACATTCAAAATTTATTATCTACACCCTACAAACCACCTTTTGTAATCACAATGTCTTATTGATGACTCATTATACAGTCAGTCATTAAATCAGAAACATGGTAAGTTAAGCAGGATCCTTGATCCACTGTATACAACCAGTTCACAAACTCTTGTCTATCTTATTTAAAAAGTACCCAGAAGCTGGGCACTGGTGGTTTACGCCTGTAATCCTAGCTACTTGGGAGACTAAGATCAGTAGGATCGTGGTTTGAGGCTAGCCTGGGCAAATAGATGGCAAGACCCCAATTCCAAAACAACCAGAGCCAAAAGGACTGCAAGTGTGGCTCAAGCAGTAGAGCCTGCTTAGCAAGCTCAAAGTCCTGTGTTCAAATTCTAGTCCCTCACCCAAAAAGGCCTAGAGTATGTCCCACTGCCTATGCAATTTCACTATCTCTAAAGTTCAGGACCTCATCAGAATATTGGTTATTATCTAGTGTCAGGATTCCCAGACTTTTCATGATGATCAAGCCTTCAGTTCTGCACCACAACCTGTCATGTTTCTAAAGCACATTTTTGACTGTGATAACTCTTTGAAGACTTACAATGGTTCTCTACTATGTATACAACTGAGTCCCTTAATAGGGCATATTGTAGCTTATAAATCCTTCCACCATCTAGTTCTAATTTTGTCTTCATCTTGCCATTCACACTTATTCTAGCCTCAACTACACTGGAATATGATTTTTTTCACAAGTCTATAACATTTCAATGATATACACAGATTTTTCTCTTCCCTATTCCTTGAAGACTCTTTCTACAATTTATTTGCTTCTTACTCCTCAGGAGTATTTCAAACATCCACTGAGCCTATCAAACTTTTTTTTTTTGATCACTAATGCAGAATCATTAATCTAATCTTTATGTCTCTTTAAACACTTGCATATGTCTATTACAGCACTTATATTTTGTATCCACAAACTTAAAAGCACTATATCAGATTTGTTAAGTAACTTTCCAATATTATAATTTGTGTAAAAAGGAAATCAACTTCATTAAGGTGACTGGTTTAAATATCATATATTTAAGAAATAAAACTATCTAAAACTATCGGGTCTTAGTTCTGATTCATTAATTACTAGAAGACATACATAACTGCAATTGTATGCTTTAAAATTTTAGCATGCTTAACAAGTAATAGTCTCTCATGAAATATGCTTGAATATAGACAATATAAATAACATGTAGCTATTTAAACAAAGGAGACATGATAAAGGTAGGAAATCTAAAACTCACTTATATTGGTATGGATCATTCTGAACATGGTTTTTCAAGACATGTTGATAATTTAAAATGCTTCAAACAAAATAATGAAACCATGGGGATAAAAACCTAAAGACAGGAAGCTGTCTAGTATCTAGCTTCAAACTACTTCCTTCTTAGTAGTTTTTCTTGCTACTTATTTACTACCTATTATACCAAGAAATTTGTTCTCAGATTTATGTAAAATAGCATCTAACATAAGGCTTAATTAGAAGAGTCTATCTAAGTGGAACACCTTCAATCTTCCTTCATTTAGAACAATTATTTTAGTTTTGGCATAAAAGTATCCTACAAGTTTATAGTGTGTAGAAAGGACCCAAGAACAAAGAAATGATAAATAGTAGTGTCAACAAAAAATTATACCAGGAAAATATAAAATCAATTGAAGTTAAAGCAAACTTTCAAAAAAAATGTACACAAAGTCAAGAGTTCATAAGCAATATAAGTATTAGTAGAAAATTACATAGAATTTAGGACTTGACTTCCTATGGATGTTTAAATAACTTAAATGTTTTCCAATATGAATTTACCTTGTGCCACTTTTCCAACTGTTTTGCTACATAACCCCTTTCATTCAGGTAGGAAAATCCTTTTGGAATGGAGAGAAATCTGTAAATTAAAACAAGCCATAGTTTAAACACTGAGTCTGACAATAAAAAGTTTTACAGCTAAGACAGCTAAAAATTTTTTTCCTTCAGAAGCTGGAAGACTTTAGGAACAGTTCTCTAAAATGAAAAAAAAAAATGGCAATTTAAATTACTAAAATTTCAATTACAGATAAATTTTCACAACCTTTGCAAAAACACACGAACCCAATGTCAATGAAGAAAATGTCATGAAAAGCATGAGACAAAGAAATGTTAACCACATACCATTGAGAAAAACAACGAACAGCTTCAGTATTGACAGGATGTCTAAGATTCTAAAATAGGCCTGTTTCTGATGTTAAAAGATAAACTCTTTCTGACTGCTTCCCATTCAGATTTGATATGGCTTTAATATACAATCCAGAGAAACACAACAGAAAATATAACCACCACAAGAAAACTTACTTAAAATTTACCTGAGCAGAAGAAGTAAACCCTTGTCCCCAAGGTGAGATAAAGCTGGCTTCATCTGAATAAGAGCATGAAGATTTGCCTGAAGAAGATAATTAGGCAAATTAATACTTGCACATTTCTTAAAATGCCATCATATATAGTATACTTTCGTAATTATCTATCAAAATTGAACATTTTAAGAAAAATTCAGCCTATTTCATTATCAAAAAAGTAAACCTTCACCTTGTCTTCACAAGCTTCATCAAGGATATCCAAAGCTTCAGAAGAAATTGTTTTGTTTTTATCATGTAGCTGAGTCACTAGTAACTCGATTCCCCAATTATTGAAGAATTCAACATTGGCTCTCAATAATACCCTTAAATGTTTTGTTGCATACAGCCTGCAAGCCTATAAAGATAAACAAACACATTAAATAAAGAAAAACGACAAAACTTCACCATGACTAGCCTATTTGATTTTGTCTTGGAGACACGCTACTTTGAAAAAGACAGACCAACTGGAATTGATATAAATTTTTACTGTTAGTGAAAATTTAAAAAAAAGTCCCTTCACAGCTTCATTCTGTTTTAAATTTTTAATGTATTTTTATTAGTGTATATTCATTGTACAAAGGGGTTTCACTGTGGTATTTCCACACAAGCTTCATTGTTCTGATAGAAAAATACAGGTACCATATGGAGCCACTCAGAGAAACTAAAGTTTTCAAGTAAACTCAATTTCCATCACATATTCTTAGAATTTATAATTATATTTAGTTTAAAATTTATAAAGTATTATACTAAGTTAGTGGTTATAAAAATAGTTTTATTGCCTATGTTATACTCACATCAGTAGCTGCTGTCAGGATTTTCGAAAGAATAACTCTAGCTAATCCATCTCTGCTATAGTCTAAGCTAGAAACAGTCAGTTTTAGCAAGTGATCTTGGTTTTTCAAGGAGCAAAGATTAAGGAGACTAAAAGAAAGAAAATAATTAAGATTAAAAATTATTACACTGATTCATGAATTCAACAATTTTTTCCAACTTTATTGAAATATAACTGATACATAAAAATTATATTATTTAAGGTATATAGTATGATTTGATTTGTGAAACGATCAAATTAGTTTAACACATCCATCACCATACACTGTTATCAATTTGTGTGACATCAATTTGTGTGTGGTGTGGTGTGAGGGCAATTCAACAAATATTTTTAAGTTGTTAATGTACTTCTGAAAGAAAGTAGTTAATGACAAATATTACAAAACAAGAATATCAAAGCATCAAGACAACTCTAGCCTTTTTAAAAATAAAACTTACCAAACTTCATGTACTAGGAATAAAAAGCATACCATGTTACCACATTGGCAGGAGGACTGTGAGTATGAGGTCAGCCTGGCTACATTGAGTTCCAGGCCTGTTGGTGTTACATAACAAGACCTTACCCTCAGAAAAAAAAAAAAAATTAGGTTATTTGTAACAGAGTCTCGGGATGCTCACCACTGAAATACACTGCATTTTTCCAGCATTTTGACTCCATGAGGGTGGCAAGAAAGTGTTCCAATAAATAAAAAGTAGTGTTGACTAAGGGTGGTCAATAAGCCATTATTCTGAAGACTTCTTTCAGGTTTCATTCCAGATGAGGCATTGAGCCACTGCACAATATCCTTTACTAGATCTTCTAAGTATCCTTGTCCATCCTATAATTAGAAAATCAACTTTAGTCAGGTACAGAAAAGTGATGATGAGTTAGTAATAACAGATATCAATCAATGAGTATATATTGTTTTTAATCCCATTCAACACAATGCTATCTGGAGACAGTCTTATTTTCATTTTACAAAGAGTAAACCAGGTCAGATAACTCCCCCAAAGTCTCATAACTAGCTAGCGACTAAGTTGGATTGAAATCTACATGTGAGCTTTTTTCCTATGTTTCTAAATATAATTTATGCCTACTCAGAAATAAAACAGAGGGACAAGGGGAGAAAATTCAATTAAAAAAACACTTGCTCTGAAAAATATTCAGAGTACATACCTCTTCGGACTCAAGAAGAAATTCTGTAAACTGGCAACCAACAACTGTGAGCTGCTTGGACTTGGCAAAATCCAGATCCAGATTGGCATACAATTTACTGCTGGGCTTGTAAAAATAAAGAAGTCTTCGTACAAACCTAAGATCAAAATAAAATCATAAAGTGAGAAGCCAAATAATTATTAAAGAATCTTGACAATATGTTATGACAGAAGAAGTCTTTTGGGTATTTTTAGGGTCTCAACTACTGGAATAAATGGGAAGAAATTTAATGAATATATTTGGTACATTTCACCAAAAGTAAAAAAAAAAAAAAAAATCACAACAAATATCTTCATGGAATAAGAATTTTTATACTAGGATGCTTAAAAGAAAAGCAAAGACAAAAAATGCTAGTTGCAAAAAGACAAAGATATGAAGAATATAAAGTTGGACAAATCTAAGGAAGGCACTTACAGGTAAATTTAGACAAGTGAATTTCTGGACACAATTTGTAATATTTCAGTAACTTTCAAGATCGTATGCTAAGCTTCCATTTAATTTAGTTCAATTTAAGTTCACATATTACAATCTAACCAAATAGAGGTAGCCAGGTCCAGAAGTTAGGAAGACAAATGTGACTAAGACATTGTTTCTGTTCACAAGGAATATGGAAAGTTACTAGCAAGCTTCTTTATTTCAGTGCAATTCATATGTTCTGTATATTTCTCAAAACTTTATATACAGATATTAAGTTGCATATCAAGAAAGATGAATACAATTCTAAATATGTTAATGATATGAATTTCTCCAACATAAAGTAAGATGCTCTATCTAATGAGAACATTACCAGTAGCAAGTTAGTTGAAAACTCCAGAATTAAAAAAAACATGACTATACTAGAAAAGAGCATAGAAGCTTGAAGTGTTTTATATGTTACAAACATCAGTATGTTTTACAGATGGACTGTGTGGTTAAGGTCAGTTTCAAGAGGAAGAAAAGTGAGTAACTCTTTACAATCAGATGTAAGTGGACATCTTATGACACTTATTATGGACCTCTTATTATGTCATCCTTATACATTAGGGTCAAATCACTACACCGTTGATTACCACAATTTAAGAAACTTTTATCTCAACAACTTTGATCCAAAACTAAAATCAGATATAGAGAGAACAAAACTTATTGGTGGGTCTGTCTGAAGGGACTACAGGAGGTGGTGGGGGGAGACAATGTCAGAGAATGAAAAATATTGAAACAGCCCATCTGTAAATAAATGTAACGTAATGTGCTGTAAGCTGCTGAAAAACAGGGGAACACAAAAGAAAGAGTAAGTAATGGGGGAGGTGTTAATCTGATTAAGGCATGATATATACAAGCCTGAAATGCCTAGGTGAAACCTCCTTGTACTATCAATGTACATTCTAAAAAAAATAAAAGACAGACAGGCAGGTCAAACAGATCTTTTCCAGGATTAGGTACAAGTGGGTGGGGAGAGGGCATAAGGAAAGGGTGAATGAGGGTGAATATGGCAGATGTAATTTTTATTCATATGTGAACACAGAGGAATGAAACCTGTTGAAATTGTTCTAAGAAGGAGGGGAGGAGGGATTAAATCTAAGATGTATTGCAAGCACATATGTAAATATTACATATGTAAATAGCACATATGTAAATATACAACTATTACAGGCTAAAAAAACCCCACTAAAAGTGGAGTATGAAAACAACTAGCTAATGTATTGATTATAAAACTACACATAAAAATGTAAAAATGTACCTACTGAACACTAATTATTAGAATGTACCACTTATGTAATATTAAAACATTACTTATAGCAGACATTAGGCATAATCCAAATCTATGTTTTTAAATTAATTGCACAACAGTTTCTACATACCTGTGCAATTGTTCATCCTTATAGTTTCTTAGATTTACATTTGGCCACTAGAAAAACACAATATATTACATTACATATATATTTACCAACTTCTAAGCACATAACTGTAATACATTATAATTAATAGTAAAATGAAAACAAGCCATCACCATGGAGTATTTTGTCATACCTTAAGAATGGTCCCTATAAGATTCCAATTCCATTCAAGATTCTCTTTATGTTGAAGGACTTGGCTATCCCTAAGGTTCATTAAAAGAGCCTCTTCTGTATCCTAAATCACCAAATAGTAAATTGGCAATTAAGATATATTGTCCTCACACCAGAAATCGAAGTTCAAGTTTTAAAAATGAAAAGAATTTTCCTTTAAGGACAGATCATCAAAAAGCCTTAATTTTAAAAAGTAATAAAAACCAAGCTCTAAATTGCCTTGTCATGGCAAAAAAACAGGAAGTCACTTAAAAATCCACATGCATGAATGTAACTGCAAAACAAAGATGAGAGCATGTACACTAAAATGAAGTAGTTAAGAATTAGGAAACTGAGCCAAGTGCTGGTGGTTAACGCCTGTAATTGTTGCTACTTGGGAGGCTGAGATCAGAAGGATCACAGTTCAAAGCCAGCCCAGGCAAACAGAGAGACCCAGACTCCAAAATAAGTACAGCAAAGTGAACTGGAGGTGTGGCTCAAATGGTAAAGCACTTGTTTTGCAAGCTCAAAGCTGAGTTGAAATCCCAGCCCCACCAAAAAAAAAAAGGAATTAAGAAACTACAAATTAAAAATCAAGATTTCATGTCAGTACCTTAAGGACAAATATATCTTTTTGAACGCGAAGATACTGATCCCGTTTCTGGTGTGTTGCGATTGCTTTCTGAATAATGTGATCTAAATGAAGGCTATAAGGCTTAGGTCCTCGTTTCTTCATTTCATGGAAGCGTTTTAAACAGTTCAGTGCTGCACTGGCTCGCCTAATGAAAATAAAAATAATACTGTAGGCAAGACTAGCATAATTTTAAAGTGATGGCTTTGGTAAATTATTAAAACCTAATAATTCAAGGATAGAGATTACTTATTAAGAAGGTGAACTTTTTAGACTTAAACATATACATACTAATCTTTCCTTCTAAGGTAGTGGGCCCTATAGCTAGTTTTCAGAATCTCTTCCCCAAGGTCAAATACCTATTTTTCTGTATTTTCCTACAAAACTTCAAATTTCTAAAGCTCTGCTCTTTGCATAAAGGTCCACTTGAAAATGATTTTTGCTTACAGCATGAAGAGGCTGCAGTATAAATTCACTGTCCACTTGCAGAATCAGTGACCCCAGTATCAACTGAATATTCTCTATTTTCTACATTGATCTGTAACTACAAATGGTATATTCAAACAATTATGTCTAATTTCTTTTTTACATAAAAAGTGCAGCTTTCAAGAATTTTGTAGCAATCAAGTTTGAGCTTCAGAACTTCTGGTAAACAGAATTTTGAAACCTTGGGATGTGTTCCAATTGGAAAGTAGTGATGTAAGCCTAGAGACTGAACTGAGATGTATGCTTTTAATTTAATAGTTTGATACTTCTATTAAACAATAGTATTTCTATTGACAGAATCAAAACTTACAGATTATTATTTTTATAGTATTATTATTTATTTCTAGTAAGGTCCATATGTTTTCTTTTGCTTTTAAAAGCTAATTAAAACTTTAAAGAATGTATTACAACTGTTAACAAAAACCCAAAGCTCTGAATAAGCTACATTTCACTTTTATTATCAAAGAAGAAAAATGGTTCACATATATAACTTTTCTGATCATAATAGAAAAAAAAGAAGAAGAAAACAAAAGGAAAAGGAAAGACATTCCTGGCAGAAATAATCATCAAGAAAAAAATATTCTACTAGCCCTTCCTACTTAATGCTTTTGTCTTTTGTATGTTACATTCTATCACTAGCACTGAAATTTCAGAAGAGCTGGTTACACAGTTATACTATACTTTTGTGTATAAATTCTGTTTGCAGTATTTCCTTTAGTATTAAGAGATGAATTTACTGCTATTGCTGTAGTATAGGTTACTGAAGTCCAACAGTTTTTTTGTGTGTGTGTGGTAGTGGGGGTTGAACTCAGGGCCTACACCTTGAACCACACACACCAGCCCTTTTTTTGGTAATAGGTCAAGATAGGGTCTCATGAACTATTTGCCCGGTTGGCTTCGAACTTTGATCCTCCTGATTTCTGCCTTCTGAGTAGCTAGGATGACAGGCGTGAGCCACCGGTACCCGGCAAGTCCAACAGTTTTAACCAGACAAATCACAGAATACACTGGTAGTCTCTGTGTGCTAAAAATCTGAAATAATTTACAGGGTCTAAACTGCTGCTCAAAATATTTTAAAAAATCCAACCCTCTCCTTCTCAACCAGCATTTTTGATCACGTGGTTAAAAAGTGAGTCAATGTTCTTGTCCAGAATCACAGTAGAAAAAAAGGTTATTTTACCAATCCAAATAATTTGTATCCTAAAATTCAAATAAACATTTTAGGAACTATTAATTTTTCCTCTATCTGTACAGTTTCCCTAAAGACTATCCAAGCATAGCCTATTTGTAATATTTTGTTTAAAAAAAAAAGAGAAGTTAATCTTAAGCGGATGTTAACTATATCAACCAATCAAAGCTTAGCTAGAGCTCTGATACTTACAGCCTCTTTTCCTTGGGGATATCAAAGGATGCAGCCATATTCATTAGGGTTGGCAGGCAGTGCAAATGATGGCTATGTGAATGAGGAAGAATTGTGTTTGCCTAAAATGAAAACAAAATTTTATGAGATTGTGGAAACAGAAATACTACTGATTATATAAAGAAACAATATTATATTTAAGACCATTAAAAACTCTGAGGTTTTTCATGAAGTTAACTTAATTTTCCCTAACACATACTTATAATCTTTATCTATTTTTAGTAAGCATGAGATATTATAAACATAAAGATACAAATATACACTAATAAAAATAGTGATTTTCATAGGTCACTTATTATATATAATTTAAAGTAGGGTTTCTAAGTGGAACTCAATTGAACTCAATTGTTTTTTTTCTTGGTGGGACTGGGGTTTTGACCTCAGGGCTTTGCACTTGCAAAGCAGGCACTCAAACTCTTAAGCCACACCTCCAGTCCATTTTTCTCTGGTTATTTTGGAGACAGGTCTTGAGAATTATTTGCCCAGGCTGGCCTTGAACTACAATCCTCAGTCTCCCAAGTAGCTAGCTAGGTTTATAGGCATGAGCAACTGGTACCCATCTAAATTGAACTCAATTCTCACATGACCTAAAAGGATTTCATATCAGAGCACTGCTTTCAAAATTTATGAGTTGACATTTAAAGTTTTAAAGACCACTTTCTCAGGTGTCTTTAAATAAGAAATCTTTAAATAAGGAACTTATGAACTCCTGCTTTACAAGCAAAATCTCACCACCAATCCTGCTTTCTACCAGTGAAAAAAAATAAATTTATTACATGTGGAAAATAGAAGATATAAAAATAATAAGCAATTAACCAATACTGGATACTTAGATGCCAGCTTTTATATTTCAAAAATCATAGAATTCCATAGGAAAAAGGAAAGAGATTAAATTTATAGAAAGATTAGGGCTGGCAGAATGGCTCAAGAAGTAGAGTGCCTAGCAATCAAGTGTGAAGTGCCAAGTTCAAACCCCCTTATCACCAAAAAGAAAGAAAAATACTGATACCCTTGTAGAATGATATCTTAAAAAGTGAATACAGATAATCAGACCTGAGACCTTGCAATACTACTTAATTCTTTCACAGATGGGTTGAAGGAGAACAGACCAAGTGGCTGAATAATTCATTGATAAAAAAGGTAACATTTACTCTGTTTACTTCTTTTTACCTCACTCACATACACAGCACAGCTGGTACATAGGGGAAAAAATAAGGTAAGAGAAGAGAGGAGGGAACAGAAACAGCAAAAATAAATTAAAAAAATACTCTGCCAATAATAGTAAGCCATAGCATAATTTTAAAAGATCTGTCGTACAGCTGGTCGAGTGGCTCAAGTGCTAGAGTGCCTGCCTAGCAGGTGTGAGGCCTGAGTTCAAACCCCGAGTACTACCATACATTCACTTCTTAATGAGTTTCAAGTTGTTTTTTTCCTCTTTCTTTTTTTATTAGTATTTTATCAACTAACAGGTGAATAAAAAATATGTATTTCTATCATGCAGAGTTCCCTCTTTGGTTAACTTGCTGGGAGTAGAGAAGAACCAAATTACTTTTCTTACTAATATTTTAAAATCATGGCACTACCCATCCCACAACCAATGGATTCTAATCCTTTGAACCTCGAAATGTTGTTTACAGAAAACACTGACATTCAAACAAGACAATTATATTTAGAATTTTTGCATAAAGCTTTCTAAAATTCAGGCTGTAACTACAATGTATTGATTACATTTCTGGCTGACTAAAGCATTATCTATAGTTTGCAATTTTAATTTCCTGCTTTTTAAGGCAGGTGATGGCAGCACAAGACTGTAATCCTAGCTAATAAACTGGAGGCATACATAGGAAGACAGTGGTCCAAGGTCAGCCAGTGTAAAACCTTGAGACTCTATCTGAAAAAATAACTGAAGTAAAAAGAGCTAAGGGGAATGATTCAAGTGGTAGGGAACTTGCCTAGCAAGCACAGGCCCTGAGTTCAAACCCCAGTACTGTCTCCTCCCTGAGTGATAAACACTCAGTACTCTATATTTTCTGTATTTGTTATATTTACAGAACCATGTATATGATATATATCATAACATATGAACCAAAAGGTTTTGTAAAGATACACATTCACAAAAAATTCAAACTTATTTTTCAAAATTATATAAAGCAACACTATTAAATTAACCTGCTTTAAGATTAAAAGGATGAAACACACGACCAAAAGCTGCTACACTTACCATATGTAAAAGCTCTCCTAAAAGGATGGTAGCTCTAACTGAGATATGGTCATCACTGTTTGTTATCACTTCAACCAAACTCTATGAAAATAAAAAGAAAATATCTTTGCAAAATAACATATTTGAGCACATTTATACAAAAGATGTGTTTTTCTCACTGAATGAATTGTTACAGAAAGTAAAATAGAATAAAATGAGGTTTATAAATCTTACCTCTAAAAGTCCATTACGAATAAATGCAGAGAGAATCAGTGCCAAATAGTTATCCATGAGATCTGGCCTGGAAAAATCACAGTCACAGTAATAATTTAAATACTGTTTTTAATACTAATACTGTTTTCTACACAGTCTATCATGAAAGTAGTAATGGCAATAAATTAGAACCACTTTTATGTATAAATTCTACCTGGATCTGGCACGGTGAGGAAGAATAGTTTTTGCCTCAGCTGCTACAAAGCCATCTGAAAGTCTCCAACTATCTTGGAACCTTCCAGGATCTAAAAGTTAAAAAGAGGTAGTTACAAAAAGATTAGATAACACTGAAATAGCTAAGTGTGGAACCACAAGCTAGCCATGCTACAAAGAACTTCAAAATGTTTATTGGTGTAAAAAAAAAAAACCACTTAAAAATGCATTCAAAAATTATTTACATAGTCCCTTCATTTTGGGACTTAGGAATCTTGTGACTAAAACACGACAAGAATTAGATAGTCTAACAATCATCTAGGTTTTTGTTGTCTCTTTATTTTCTTGGCCCAGCTGTCTATTAATTTTATTGCTCATTTGTAAGAAGTAGCATGACAAAGAAGAAACTTAAATTTCTTAGTTTTGGGAACATGAAGTTTAATTTTCACATAAGTTTCAAGCTAAAATGATGCAGTAAGAAAGAAAATGATGTTCAGTGTTAGTACTTCACCTTTTAGGAATTTTGTGTTCATTATATTGTTACTTTAAAAATGAGAATAAATAGATATGAATGCACTTCCATACTTACCTACACTGAGTAGTGCTTCTATGAACTCCTCTGTTACAACAGGTAGAGGAAGACGAAATATATCATAAAGCACTTCCAGCAGACCTCGCTACAACAAACAAATACAGTTTACTTATTTTTATGGACTAAATCTTGATTTAAGGACTTTAAAAATGTCCTATTAAAAGAATAAAGAAACTGATAAAGACAGTACTAAATTGTGAAAAAGTATTTTAGAAAAGATACAAATATGGTATGTTTAGTTTATATAACACTTAATAGTTTCAAAAATTCTTGCATTATCCCCAATGTGCACATGAAGGAACAGTTTCATGTTCTTTTCTATCCACAAGGTAAGAAGTCAATTTATATGCCGGTCTGTGGTTCACTGGTATAGCATTGCTTAGCATGAGTGAGATCCTGGTTCCAATCCAAAATGGCAAAAAAAAAAAGTCAACTGAATTACCGTAACCTTTTGATCCCTGCTCAAAGATCTATCCATTTATAATTGTACCCGTCCATTCCTGTAAGTGAGTTAATTTTTATTTTACGGCAAGGTATACCTGGTCAATATTTTATATTTTCAACTAAAAGTTTAGTTTGCACACACACAAGGGGCCCAAAAAAGGGATGAAATTAAAACAAACACAAACATTTAAGAAGAAAAGATGAGTCACTTCAAGAATTAATTCTTTTTTGTCCAATTCGTTTTTAATTTTTCAATACAAATTCCCTATGTGCCAGTAACTTAGGAATACATGTAATAAATCAATTTATAAACAACTTAATTTTAATCAAAACCACCATCTTCAAAATAAAAGTGCATAACACAGGATAAAACACAATTTAAATTAGAAGGCACAGATAAATAAATACTACATCTACTTTTTGCTAAATGTATTTCTATAGAATTTCTACGTTTTATAATCAAAATGTCCTGTTTTTCTTGCATTGTTTTAATGAATAAAGCATAATTACATTCAGATTTTCAACTCAATTTTTAAAATTCATCATTCCTAACGGGTATTTTAAATGATTCATATGATACTTAGGGTTTAAATAAGTACTAAATATTTATATATTTTTAAAATGCTCTATGATACAAATTAACAATTAATAAGGAAGAAAACCTTCATCTGAAATAATTTTTTAAATAATTCATTCTGTTAAAGGTCCAGGAATGAAAGCATTACAATAAATTTTACATACCCTTATCTCCATATTTGGTATGCAAAGTACCCCAATTAGAGATTGGATCCCAGAGTTTCCAGGTTTACATAAATTAATAATACCTAAGGAGCATAAAAAGAAAAATATCACTGACAAGTTTTTAAAAAATTCTATAGAAATGTATCATAACAGAAAATCTGTGATGTTTTTCCAAGCTAAATTATACTATTTGATTGTCCTGTTATCATAGAAGAGAAGTGCATTCCAAGCATTCTCATTATTTCCCTATTGACTAGAGAATACCAATAATTTCATCACTTAAATTCCATCTTCAAGTTCTGTTGCATATTTAGTAATTGATGAACACTCAGTGGAATGATGAGTGCTTTTCTGGGAATAAGACTATAGGGTCGAATAAGGCCATGGTATGTCTCCCTGTTTAATACTCTTCAGTCTAATGTGAAAAGCTGTATGGCATTTGTCTATTAAAACTTTAATTCTCCAATTTATTGAAGGAACAGAAAAATGTAAGCAAAAGACTTCAAATAAATAATATAGATAAAAAATTTGGGGCTATATAACTGAGTCTATTTTGAATATTCTAAAATCATACCCCCAAGAAGATATTTAAATTGTCAATAAACATAAACAAAGTGCTCAATATTGCTGGAGGCAATGGTTCAAGAGGTAGAGCACCTGTCCAGGAAGTATAAAGCCCAAGTGCAAATCTTAGAAAGAGAGAAAGAAAGAGGGAGGGGGGGAGGAAGGAAGGAAGGACAGGAGGGAGAGAGGGAGGAAGGGAGGAAAGAAGGAAGGAAGGATGGATGAGAGGGAGAAACAGAGGAAGGAAGGACAGGAGGGAGGAAGGAAGGAAGGGAGAAAGGAAGGGAGAAAGGGAGGGACAGAGGAAGGGAGGAAGGAAGGAAAGGAGGACAGGAGGTTAGGAGGGAGGGAGGGAGGGAGGGAGAGAGGGAGGAAGGAAGGAAGGAAGGAAGGACAGATGGACTGATAGAATGACAGAAGGGAGGAATACTAATCACTAGGTAGATGGAAATTATATAAGATACCATGACACACCTACTAAAATGATTATAATCCAAGGCTGACAATACCATATGCTGACAAGGATGCAGACCAACTGGAACTCTATACAGAGATAATTGGAATATAAAACAGAAGGATTTTTTTGTTTTGTTTTTGTTTTTGTGGTGCTGCAGGTTGAAACCAGGTCCTTGTGCACCGTATGCAAGCACTCTTACCATGAAGCTACACTACCCAGACCTAAAATAGCACTTTTGTATTTAATAGTTAATAATGTGCATGCTGAAGCATTTATGAGTGAAGAGTACTGATATATGCAACTTCTTTCAAGATGCATTAGAATAAATTAGATGGAATGATGAAGGCAGAGTAATAGATGGAATGGGCAGTATGTAATAAAACAAATACAGCAAAATCTAGGTGGTAGGAGCACATTAGTGATCACTATACAAATTTTAAAATTTTCCTGTTTCAAATTTTTGTAATAGAATATAAGGAAAAACATTTTTTAAAAAACCCTGAAGTTCCCTGTTACTTCTTGCTAAGCATACACAGGTTGAGTATCCCTTATATAAAATTCTTAGGACCAGAAATGTTTCAGATTTTGGATTGTTGTTTTTTACAGACTTCAGATTATCTGCATATATGCAGTAAGATATTTTGGAAATGGGACACAAAGTCTACACATGGAAATCATTTATGTTTCACATACAACTTATATTCATAGCCTGAAGGTAATTTTATTCAGTATTTTTAGTGTACCTGTGTTTTGACTGCAACCTATCACATGAGGTCAAGTGTGGAATTTTTGTTTTATGGTATTATGTCAGTGTTCAAAAAATTTCAGACTTGGGTGCATTTCAGATTTCATATTAAAGATGATCGATCCATATGTATATACTTATGAATACCATATATTCTCCTTGGATTTAGAATCAAAACTCAAATTAAAACAGATTTGATTAGTTATCAAAAATGGTACTTCTCCAACTCAGATAAATGATAGTAATTTAGAAGTTAAGATTATGAGAACATGTATACAAATCTTACGATCACAGAACATGGGCTACATGTGCCCTAGAAGGTTGTCTATTAATTGTTTGGAATTTGAAATACATTATATCATAGAAATAGCATTAGAAATACATGAAAGTTTATTTAACTCATAAACAGCATCAAAGAATCTAAAAACCATTTAGAAAACAATTTGTTAGGTAAGTGCTTTCAGGGCTCTAACTTACAATGCTAGTATTTCTTTTCCTACTTCAGTAGGAAGGTAGAAGGCTCTCAGACTTCTAAGTTTCTAATGATGGATCAGTATATAAAGGCTCAAGGAAAAAGTAATGGAGAAAGAACATTTAAGAGCAATAAAGAAAGAGACTGGCTGAGATTAGAGACACAGTGATGAGGACAGTAGAGTGTAGAAGTAGAAATCATGAGGAGATAGTAGCTAGGCTGGTTTTGTTGTTGTTAAGACAGAAACTACTCTACTGAAAGTAAGCTGAGGGATGGTAAAGGATGATTATTTAACTACAGAAAACCAAGTTATACTGACTTTTGGAGTAAGAGAAGAAATGACTAAGTGTGGCAGGATGACTCAACTGGTTTCTATATTGAAAGAGTATGAGGCGCTGGTGAAGTACTGCTACAATTAAGATATGTCTCTCAAAGGATCATGTGTCAGAAATTTAATCCCTAAATTTATAGGATGATGGTATTTCGGAGGAATACTAAAGGAATACTTTAGGAGGTAATTAGGATTAGATGAGGTCCTGATGAATGTGACCCCATACTGGCTTTATAAGAGGACGAGAGAGCAGAGCTAGCACATTTGCTCTGTTTCACCATGTGATGCTGATGCCATGCTCTTGAACTAGCTTCCACAACTGTGAACTAAGTAAACCTTTATTTTTAAAATAAATTATCCTGTCTTAGGTATTTTGTTAAAGCAAGAGAAAACAGATTTAAGAACAAGTACAAAAAAGCCATGTGGGCTGGTGGAGTGGCTCAAGTGGTAGAGTGCCTGCCTTGCAAGCATGAGGCCGAGTTCAAACCCAGTATTACCAAAAAAAAAAGCATGTGATGTTTGGTTCTCACAGAATCTGTTTATTGTCCATGAGGGTAAAAGGAAATAGGTAATTATGAAACATAGCAAGAAAGGGATTTTTATCAAGATGCTAAGATAACAGAGGAAGTCCCTGAAAATATACTGACTAGGTAAGGCTGAAGTCTATAGCTAGGATAAACATTTATATGGAAGAGATATTTGTAAGTTAGGGTTACCTAGGTACATAAAAATGTGCAAGTAAATTTACTTGTTTTGCTTACTGCTACATTCCTTTCCATGCTATCACTCCAATTATTCTATGAAACCAAGAGGGAAGATGGAAATAATTAATAGAAAATAACACCATGCTGGTATTATGTTATGAAAAGATATTTGCTTTTTATTCCATGAAAAGATGAAACATGTATAGTCCCTATTCCCAAGAAGTTTGATGGGCTGGGGATGCAGCTCAGTGGTAGTGCACTTGCCTGGCATGCACAAGGACCTCAGTTGGATCCCCATCATGGCAAAAAAGAAAAAAAGTTTGGGACTACTAGTCCCTACATAATTTATTTGTCATTTATAACATTACTGAACTATTTTAAGTAATAAACTTTAGTTACATATACAGCACACAAGTTTTGCTTTTTTATTTTGAGTTGTTTTTGGAGGGTGAGTATAGATCATGCTCAAGTTTTTAAATTATGCAGGTAACCATTAACACAGTGATTTGCAAATAGCTAATAAATAAGTGTATACCTAAGTAATACTAGTTATTTTTTATATACTATTATAAATTTTTGTCACTATTTTTTAATAATTTGTATAAATTCCTTTGGGTCTAATAGTAACATATAAAGACTTAATTAACATTCAAATTAGATGCTGCAATAATAATTTATCATTTGAAAAAAAACACTTAAAATTTTTTTCCTTTATGTTACAAAGTAATGTGAAATAACGTACCTGCCCATGACCGGAATGTTGCTATGATTCCCATTTTACTGGCTAGAAACCGTGCTTCTCTGTCTTCTCTGTTGGGGACAAATGAGGTGCCAAAGATATAAAATGTTTGAATGAAATGAGATTTTACTGCCACTATATCAGAATCAGAGTAACCATTAGTGTTTAAATATTCATACATGAAATCAAAATAAGATTAAAGATCTACTCCAAAACAACTACAAAATGACCCTCAATTTAAAATTCACAACATAGTTTAAAATGTTACAAATTCTGTTTTTTCTATTCAGTTCTATGTTTCCTGCATTCTGAAAACTATTCTTGGATATGCTTTAAGTAAGCATTAGACAGAACAGGGTCTTGCTTAAGCATCTGTGTTGCAAGACTGCTCCTTAACAAAGAAAAATTTCAGCATAAACCTCTCTGAACACCTGCATTCCCTTTACTTCAAAATCCTTGTGCATTCCTCATAAAACAATTCAATATCTAGTCATTGAAAAATCAGTAACTAGATATTATTAACATTACAAATCACCTTATTCCTTAACAATTATGTATCCAACTATCTCACTTGTTCCCGTCTATATAGCAGTTATGACAATTAAGCAACAGAACTACTTCTATTTGTTAAACTTTCTTCCATGGTTCACTTATGGCATCTTGTAACAATTTATGTTCCTCCATCTATACTCTGATAACTTTCCATTTATTCCTATGCCAGTTTTTCTTCTCTAGTTACTTTTTTAATGGTTATGGAAACACAGAAATTTAAGAAACTAGGGGTCAGAGGAAGCAGGAGTAGAGAGCAATGACAAGAAAAATCAAACTAGATAGTAGTGACCTATCAGTCTTCAAAAGCAGCAAAAACCAGACCAAGGCGTTCACCTCAGCAGCACATATACTAAAACTGGAATGATACAGAGAAGATTAGCATGGCCCCTGCCCAAGGATGACAGACAAATTTGTGAATCATTCCACATTAAAAAAAAAAAAAAAAGGAAAGCCAGACCAAGTGCTAGAGCACCTGTTAAAATGACAATAGGAACTGAAATGGAAGGACAGAAGAAGGGAGAATCAGACACCTGTGTAAATAAGCTTTCAGTGCTTCTCTTAAAAATGCTGGGGACATACTAGCTTCAGGGGAATCTGTTCAAACCTATCAGATAACTATGCAGTATTTTTAGGATCAACTATTTTCCTATTAGCAGTATAATCAGTAGGTCTTAGACATTAGTATATGATGTACTGGCAGATTCAATTATAAGGCATTTGGAATAAAATTCTGTTAGAAAAAGTATGCCTCTAAGTGCTTGGCTCCCAGCAATAAGAGATGAGGTAAGGAAGATTTGGGTGGAATGCCCCGCACACCTCTGATAAATACTAGGTCCGTCTCTTGTTTGTAGTGGTATGGAGACTTCTAAAACTGGTCCCACCCCAAGACTCTATTTTTCGTCTCTGGATCATGTAAATATGATGAGATATCACTGCCATGACTGTGAAGATGTTTATCTTATATAGCCCAGTAGGCATAGTACAGGAGATCATCCTGCAGCCTTGATCTAATTGGAGTGCTTTCTTTAGTTGGTGGCAGAAGTAAAATTCAGAGAAAATCAAAGCACTAAGAGTATTTTGGACACTGTTGCTAACTTTGAAAATAGAGAGGACCATGTGCAAAGGAATGGTCATCTTCTAGAAGGTGTAAACAGGTCCCAGCAAGGGCTAGCAAGGAAACAGAAACCTGAGCTATTGAACATCAAGGAACTAAATGAATTCTGCTAACAAACTAGTGAGCTTGAAAATGGATTTTTCACCATCTCACCTTCAGATAGGAGCCAATCTAGATGTATGACTTACCAAACTCTGAGCTAATCAATTTATGTTGTTTTAAGCTATGATATTTGTAGTAATTTATTGCATTAGCAATAGAAGAAATCATACTCTCCACCAATAAAGAGAATGTCTAGACAGTATGATGACCCAGGCCTGTAACCCCAGCATTGGGGAGGAGTAAGGCAGGAGGACTGCTAGTTTGAGGGGAGCCTAAGATATAGAGTTCCAAGGCAACTGAGGTACAAGAGTGACCTTGTTTCAAACAAAACCAAAAATCAAAACAAAACAAAAAATAAAATGTCCAAATCTTATAAAAACTGAAGAAAGGCACTTAAGAATTTCTAATCATAACTAAAGCTAGCAGGAGTAAGTTTGAGAAGTCTTAAACACAGGACATCTATTTTGATTTGTTAGGTTAGGCTGGGTGTGATAATAAATACACAGTGATATCAATGTTTGAAGAAAATGAAAGCACTATTTTTAATGCAGGAGGAAAAAAATGAAAAAAAATCTGCTTGTCCAACAAAGTTCCAAAAGCTGGCAAGAAATTTTAAAAATATATACTATCTACCAAAATAAGTATGTCTACAGTCCAACAACCCTACTAGAAAACAGGTACTAGAAAAATGCATATTTATTAACATTGTGTCATTTACAAAATATTCACCAAAATGTATGGGATCCCTGAATTATTTTAATTATAATTATCTCTGAATACCTAGTAAATGTTTCCTGTCCAAAGACTATAGAAAATAATCTTTACCATACACCATCTGTTTTCCTATTAACCTTATTTTCAAAAATCTACATATTCTGCTGAAACAATTTGTTAAGGCAGTTATTCATTCTATTCCCTACTATTACTTCATTCTTTTGGTCTCTCAGTGTAAAAATAATATAACAGGAAACAAATATCTAGGTCTCTAATACAGCCTATATTTTTCTGAAGAAACTAATCTTTAAATTTTCCAAAGTTTTCTTTTAATTTCTGAAGTACACTTAATTATGAGACAAATGCAATATAATTCCATGAAACAGAAAATTACTTAAACTCACATTTCTCTGGCTCTACCTGCAATCAAGCAAACATAAAAGCTCTAATATTAACACATACATCACCTCATAAGCTATTAGTATCTTATGGTATGGTACTTACTTGAGCTGTCCTTCAGCTGTATCTGGACTATGTCTGTAGTGAAAATCAGTATAGGGTGCTAAAATTCGCTAAAATAAAAGAGAAACAGAAGCACAAGAGATTTTATCCTAAGAAGTATTCTTCTTTTAACAAGCCAAAATTAAATCTATGTATCTTTAATTGGGTTTCCTATTTGAGAGACTTCTTCCTTTAAACTTATTAAGAAATGCTGGGTAAATTTTTCTTAAAAAAGTAAAACAATTTGAAATTTTGAACTTTTAAACTGAAAGATACATGGTTCTAAAACCGTGCACAAATAGGAATAAATTTTTGTTTTATCTAGGTTGGGTTATTTTCTTTTAACACTGTGATGATGACACTCAACTGCGGCTAGTTTGCCTGACTTTGGTCAGGAAAATCAGCTGCCAGACTTGATTCTTAGAAACTAGTATCTTTTATGCTCAAGCTACTCTTAAGATTTTTGATTGTCTTGGTTTTTAACAGTCAGTGATATTCCTACATCTTGTTTCCTTTTTATTTTCTTATTTGGAGTTTTTGAGCTTTACAAACATGAAGCTTCATCAGTTTTAGAAACAAAATTTTAGTCACAGTTTAGATATTTGCTTCTGCCAATTTTCTTGGTACTTTCCAACATAGTATTACTTCTGTTCTGTTCTGTGTGTTTCCTTATTATTATTATTTTTTATCCTTTGTGCTTTAATCTGGATATTTTCACTGACCTTTCTTTCAGTTTACTATCAGTATCTCCCTATCCAAACTTAATTTTTCACTTAACTGAATTCTGAATTCCAGGTATTGTATTTTTTAGTACTATAATTTCCATTTGATTCTTTTTGTGTATCCAATCATATTATGAAATTCTTCATTACTGTACTTTTTTTTTCTCTTCTTGAGCAAATTAACTATGGTGTTTTAAAGTTGTTTTCTTCTACTTCTCTATGTTTCTATGAACTGTTTGTTTTTTTTCTTCTGGATTTTCATTCACATGGTCATGTTGTTTTGTACAACTAGAAATTCTTCACTTAATGGCAGATACTATATATTTTTAGAAAGGATCTACATGATGTTATCTTCCAGCAAAGATAGATTATCTTTTCCTCTGATAGGTAAATTAGGGCAGCTTATTATTTTATCCTAATGACCGAGTTAATTGGAGGCTACATTGCAAATCTGATGAAAGTATGTATACCTCTGATAATTATGTTCTTCTGGTGCATTCAATAGAGCTTATCAACTATTATCCTTAGCAGTGAGATATTGGAATTTTTAAGCTTCAAACTGAGACCTTTAGCTAGACATTTCAAGACAGCATTGAGCGCTCAGTGGTAGAACACTTGTCTAGCATGAGTGAGGCCCTGGGCTCCATCTCCAGCACCACAGGGGGATAAAGTAAAGACAGGTTTGAGAATTTAGTAAATGTTTAGAACTGGAAATTAGCTACAAAATATTCAGTTTATCATTTTAGCTCTATACAATGTCCAAAAACTCTGATCTTTCTGATCCCACGAAAGGATACATGAATTTTCAGTGTCTAACTGTACCTGCAACTCCAGGCGGGGGAAAACCAAAAAACTTTTTGTAAATTAACCAGAAATTGACACCAGGATAAATTAAGAGGGAATTTTTTTTTTTAAACGTAAGTTAATTATATCCACTAGGAGAAAGATCATGCCTAAAAGATAGCACTGCAAATAGCTTGTTTTTAGAAAAGAACAAGCATTAATTTGGAATGAAATAAAATTGATCAAACATAATTAATAAAAATGAGGAATAAACCTTCTTAACAACAGACTCAATAATAAATACAATGATGAAAATGTGGAAGATAATGATATATAATATCCAAGGCAACCAGCATTTACTGAATATTTACTATATGCTAGTACTAGTAAAACATTTTATGTAAAGCAGAATTAATAAAGTACTATAACTAATTACAAGCTTCACATGAATGCTACCTATTGCTGTTACTACTATAATACTTATAGCATTTAATCTTTACAATTTTTTAAGGCTGAAAACCATGACCTATATTTTACCTGTGGAAAGAACATGCCCAAGAGAAACTGAGTAACTTGCCCAATGTCATAATGCTAGCAGAGTCATAGAGCAAAAAATTAAAACCTAATCTGCAAAGCCTAAAGTCTATTCTCTCAAACTGTGCCATCATGGTGAGATCTTGTAAAGGGAAAAAATAACCATATTTCTGTTTTTAAAGGATAAGATACAGGGCAAGATAGGTTTTCTTTCACTTACATAAAGGCTTTGCTCAACTGCTACAAAATATCTAGAAATAAAGAGCCTGCATGTATCATCATCTTTTATTGTAGTTATTTCCTCAGTTTTAATGTAAGTTTTTCTACTTGATAAAGAAAAATTAAAGATAAACACACTATCAATAATACCAGTTTCTTCCTAAAGGAATGCTATAAATAATGTATTTAAAATTACATACTAAGGAGAATACTGTGCTTACATTTGCTAGTTAGTGACAAAGACTAATGTTAATTTTAAAATCTGAAATATTTCTAAAAAGTAGTCCTAAAGCTGGGCCTGTTAGTGCTGCTTACTGTCTCAGCTACGTGGGAGGCTGAGGAAGACTGCTCCAGCCTAGAGCTCCAGGCCCACCTGGGCGATAGAGTAAGCAGCAAAACCCCAGCTCAAAAAAATAAAGTCAGAACTGTAACATTTAAGACAAGTTTCCTAAAATTATTTATAAAGACAAATTAGAGAATGTATCTTTTACATCTTACATAATTTCATACCTAAATACAACAAATACTTGATTGAAACTTATTTTGAATACTTCTGTAATGGACAGTAAGGTAATACATTCACAAAAACTTCAAGAATATATTGTATGACAATTCTATTCTAACCTCCACTATATATTATTTAGACAGACTATAAAAAACATGAATCAGAAAAAAAGTTTAAATGTAGAGTACCAAAACTATGAGTAAATTTTCAAGTATACATGATAGCTGCTAACAAAGTGCTTCCAAGAGTATTTTAGTATAGTTTAATTAATAAATAGGATATACTTAGCTGGAGGTATATGCCATTAACAAACTAAAGTTCTTAAAAACAATGTTCTTAAACAGGTAAATGTAACCTTACTCATACTCTAATTTGCTCAGCAAACCCCTCATGGCTAATACAAAAATGAAATATCCTTGAGAATTTTTAATTCATTCAAAATAATAAGCTATAAAATAAGAATGGAATAAATAAATCTTGGCTAATATAGATTAGAGAATTAATATATTGTGATGTAGCCATTACTTCAAACTTTTGGAAAGTATGTACTTTAAAAATTATATATTAAAATTAGAAAAGAACATAAAAGTGCCTACCTCTAATTCTACATCAACTCGTACATACTGTCGAGTTTTTGGATGATTAAGGAGGTGCAAAATTGTAGTAATGAGGGCCTCATTTATTCGACTTAATTGGCAATCAATCACATTTTTCAAGATGGTGTTTAGTCCACCTCGAAGGGCCACCACCTCTGGATTCTGAAGTGCTAAAATAAAAGAAAAATGTTAATGCATTACATTGAGAATGATAATAAAAAGTAAGCTGAAATCTGTACTTTCAAACTTAATTTCCTTTTATATTCAAACAACTTTAACCATAAAGGAAAAGAGGATAAAAAAGATATCTAGTAAGAAAGAGTCACTAAATACACTTCCCCCTAAACCTAATTTTTAAAATGTCCCATTTCTTTTTTGCCTGGGCTGGCCTCAAACCGCCATCTTCCCTATCTTTGCTTCCCAAGTACCTGGGATGGATTACAGACATGAGCCACTGTGCCCAGGAGATTTTTATGGAGGAGATAATAGCTCTCTATCTGAAATCTTTTATGTAATTGTTAGTTTAAGATTTTGCTATAAATGCTTTATTTCATTGCATTATTTTTTATTAAAAAAACGCATGTGCATACACTGTTTAACAACTTTAATCTGAGAAATTCCTCTCCCATTCCAAAGATCAGGAATTTTCTTTGCATGTTGCACGCAGGAGCATGTGTGTTTTTTATGTTGTTTTGGAGTTGGATTTTTGTTTTGTTTTTTTTGAGACAAGGTCTTGCTATGCAGCCCAGGTTGGCCTCAAACTTGAAATTCTCTTGCCTCATTCTCTTAAGAGTTGGGATTACAGGTGTGTATCACCTTGCACAGTTTTCCTTTGATTTTTTACACTTAATGGTATACTAAAGTTTTCTATATATCAGGGTCCACAAATCTTGGTTAATCTTTAGTTTTTCTCTCTCTTAATAACCTATGTTAATAGTTTTAAAATGAAACAAAATCTTTCCTTTCTCTTCCTTTTATTGTTTTTCAAAATTGTTTTTACAGTTTGTTCTTTCCTATTTATTCATGCAAGTGAATTTGAGAATAGATTTGTCCTATTTTTTCTAAAATAAGGTATAATTATATAATCAAAATGTTTACAACCATGGGGAGCTGGTGGCTCATGTCTGTAACCCTAACTACTTGGGAGGCTGCAATCAAGAGGATGGAGTTCAAAGGCAGCCTGGGCAAATAGTTGGTGAGAACCTCCCATCTCCAAAATAACTAGAGTAAAATGAACTGGAGGCATGGTTCAGGCAGTAGAGCTCCTGACTTGCAAGCATGAAGACCTGAGTTTAAACCCCAGTTTCAACAAAATTTTTTTTAAAAAGTCTAATGTCTACAACCCTTACAACAATATCTATACCCTTGTAACCAATTCTGGGCTCAAGATATAAAACTTTAATTCTCCTAGAAAGTAGCACCTAACCACACACATAACTTACATAGATTTCTTATGTTTATCTTATGTTTGTTTCATCCAGTTTTCTACGTTGGAAATATTTTTCTATCCTATTTACTATCGTTGAAACACAATGTACCTATCGAATCTCTATTTTCACGATTCCACTATACTAAAATTACTTACTGTGTTTTTCACTTGATCCAGTTTATATATATGTATATATATATAAATATAGCAATCCTATCTTTTCCATTTATTATTTTACCTTACAAGTAACAGCTAAAAGTTTTAAACAATGCTAAGAGTTACAAGGCTGCAGCATTTATAGAGATCTACTATTAAGAACATACAGGTGATTCGAGATCTTAACATTCTTCTAGAATGTTAATAAAGTAGCCTAATTATTTTAATATGGGTATAGATATATATATATCGCTGTGTGCAAGAATTAAATGTTCCCTTTTTTAAGCAAAACTAAATTGATTAGTCTTTTTGAAGGTAATTACTTCATCAATGTTTCAACTTCCTTTATGGTTTTATCTATCATGTTTTATACTTTTTAGTAAAGGGAAATTAGTAATTATCCTGAAAATCTATTTATTTCAGTAAGTTTCAAATATACATACATTGAAAAAAATCTTATAAATTAAAAAAACCTCTTCTTTCTTCCTTTATTAGTCTTTCGCTTTTCTGAACCTTGAGTTTTGCAAACACTTAAATGTGTATTTCATTGTTTTCTTCTTCCAACTAACATAGTTTAGGTTGCATAATCTAACTTATTCTCTAATTAGGGGGCTTGTTTTTGCTGTACTGGGTATTGAACTCAGGGCCTGGAGCTTGCTAGGCAAGCACTCTCCCACTTGAATCACACCTTTAGCCATTCTGCTTTCAGTTTGTTTTTCAGATAGGGTCTTGGCCCAAGCCCGATCTTCCTATTAACTTCGTTTCTCAAGTAACTGGGAACAACAGGAGTGTGCCACCACACCTGGTTTGTTTTTGAAGTGAAAAAAATCTCATTAGCTTTCGTCCTCATTGGCCTCTTAACTGTGATCCTTCTGTCTCCACCTAGAATTGTTGGCCATACATTAGACCCCCAAACAAAACTTTCAATTTTATTCTTTTTATTTCCTACTTAACACAGAATTTAGGTTTTCTTTCGTCTTTTTTTAAGACTTCTTGAGTTACAATGATTCATTTACCCACTTACTTTTTGCTTAATTATAAAAGCATTTCTGATGAATGTTAACTGAGTATAATTTTCTAGGTATCCCATACATTGGCATATAGTAAAATTTTTATTTTCATCATTTCCTTAATCACATTTTTGAATTTGCCGCTAAACCGGCAGGTACTGTAGTTGGTATTTTTAAACCCTCAATGGCAGAGTTTGGTCCTTCTTTTCTTTCTTTAACTTAAACCTATGAATTGATTTATAATCTCAAAAGAGAATAAAATCTACAGCATTCGTATTTTAGGTAGTGGAAGACAATGTCATCTATCTCTTATTATTTAAATTTTCATTTCTGTGACAATAAGCAAGTCTGAACTTTTAAAACATATTAATTAGCCATGTATTTCTTTGAGGATTACTTACTTTTCCTATTGGTTTATATGCAGGAAGTCTTTTATTTGTTGCACTTGTTTTACTTATTTGTTCTCTTTGTTCACTATAGTAAAATCTATAGCTACTGAAATCCCTGTGTCATTTCTTTGATGATTCAAAATTCATTTTATTCCCAATCATCAGATAAACATTCGCCAATGATTCTATCCTCACTTTTTGCCTCATTTAACTATTTGACCCTTTTTTGCATCTAGAATTTACTTTTTATGTATGGTTTATTATTTTTTAATCCATAGAAACATACGGAGTGACTGTTATTGGACAACCAGACTTTAGGAGATTTTACTAAAATTGATTGAGACATGTCCTCTGTAAGTTTCATGGTAAATAAAACTTGAGGATTTATTCAATTTTCACATCACTTTACAATTATATGTTTAATATCAAGTCCTCTACTTCCCTCTCAGAAATGTGCCTTTTTTATATTCTTGTAGTACCAGGAGCTAAAGAATTTGTGCATTAAAAGCATTAGGATATATTATATATTCTTTATAAAATACTATACTTTTATTACTTAATTTCTGACCTAGTTCACAGATAATGGCAATGCATGCTCGGACCATTCTGTCTCTTTCTTGAAGTCCATCATTTCCAACTGCAATTAATGAGTTGGTCACAGAACTAGGAAACAAGGAAGCATTCACAGTAATCATCTGTAGAGAAGAAGAATCAGAAAGAGAAGTTACTCACTTAACATGTATTTTCAATATTATTTTGCTCAGATTCAGACTGACACAGTTAGGACCACAGAATATTTATTAGATCCAAGTACCACTTTAACCTTATGCTTCATATGGATGTCTCAAAGGATTACCATAACTAATAATTGATATGGCAAATATGAATAATCATTACTATGGAAAAATATTTTTTACTTTTCTCTAGTAGTTCCAACAAGAGTTAACATTTCAGAGATTCTAAGTTGCCTTAGAATAGAAACTATCTCTTATACAGCTTTCTAGTCCCTAGTCAAAGTAAATCAGGAATGATGACGATTATCAACATATTACTATACTATAATGTCCTGATTCTTTCATCAGTTATAATCACCAAATCTACCTCATGGACATCTTCATCTCTACCTCTTCTTCCTCATCAAATGAATTGATTTGGGGCCTCAATTCTCTCTCTTTGCTATGACAGGTATCTAATGATCATCCTAATCTCTAGCTATACGCTCCACTATTAACTTGCTGTTATGCCAGAAGGGAGAATTAGTAACGCATAATCACTTTATAATTTTTCAAAACTGCTGATGGAAATGGTATGAAGGATCTCACTGGCGACACATAATTTATATACTGAAAATAGGAAGAAATATACAGCTTTGATTTGGAAAACAGGAAGAAAAAGTAAGTGGCTAATTATAATTTAATAAAGACTATTTTAAGTAACATATCCTTGGGGGTGGGAATAGGAAGAAGTGTTTTGCTTTATTTGCGTAAGGAGAAAATTAATCTGTCCTGGATTATTACTGGACTTGCAAGCTTCTTGAAAAAATAAAAACTTGTGCTCTGAAACAATTAGAGGATGCAATGTAAGTAAACAAAAAACATAGTTAAGGACTATAGAAGATCAAATGTAAGGTCTATATTAGAGAAATAGATGATTTATGTTGTTTTAGCAATATGAAGTGATACTACAAGGTACAATTAAAATTATAGAATATGATTTTATAATCATAAAATAAATATATTTCCAATTAATGCAGAAGCTAAAAAGTTTTCACATCTGTTTCTAGGTCACTATTTTCCATTAATGAAAAAGGGAGGGGAGAGACGTGGTGCTCTCCTCGGGCTCGGCCTAAGCCATGCCAGGTGAAGGACAGACATTCACTACAAATGAGACAGCTCTTCTCATTCTGCCAGCAGGCCTCTCTCTTCTCCAATCCACCTGTTGGTGGTATGCAGAAGGCAGGAGTGTGGTATCCAGTTCAACCTGGCTTCCCCATTTAAAAAAAAAAAAAGAAAGAAAAGAGAGGGGAGAAATAGCGGAATAAAGGGAAAGGAGTAGAAGAAACTGAGTAAAAAAAAATTCTAACCTCATATATTAACCTGTGTTTTAATACTGTTCAGTGTATTGCTATGCCCATGAAGAACATATGAGAATATTTCCCCACAAAGTAAAATGCATGAGATATATTCTAAAAAGAACTGGCTAAAAAGCCCAACAATTTGGCTTTGAGAGCTAAATATGCTGTTAAATAATAAACTATATTATCTTTACCAAATCAATCTTCTCTCTGTGCCTCAGTTTACTCATTCAGAAAATGAAGATGTATACAAGATGTTTTCTAGAATTTCAAGTACAGCATATAAAATTCTACTCTATGAATCTCATGTCTATTAAACAAATATGTAGGCTGTACCATTGAACAAGTACATAAAATTTAAATTTTTACAAATAAAATAGTTCTTCTTATTTTCCAGGGAAATATATGCAAAGAAACTCAAATTCATTGTGAAACAGAGAACGGTTTCCTCATAAATCAATGAATATTCAATAAGGGAAAGGCCATAAAACGTTCACTATTATAATCATTTCTGACAGAGGACACACACATTTAAAATAAAGATCAGAAGTAGGTAATAAATTTGTGGAACTGACACAAAGGAACTAAAGAAACACTGAGTTCTGTAAAGAGAACATGTGAAATTTTAGTTGAGACTGGAAGATGCAGATAATGAGGGATGATGTTATAATGACATGAAAGGAGCAGATGGAAACAAAATCTGAGGTACTGGTGGTCATCTGTCTGTACACATGGTAGCATAATAATATAGATCAGACAGAAATATCTGGTAGGACCAAAAATGAGCTCTGAATGCCAAGGTATGCATTAATACTCATTGGTCTACAAGAGGTTTACAAATCTGGAAATGGGATCTTGCTATAGCAATATCACTATTCTGTTGTATGCCAAGGGCATGTGACTCCACTAAAAGAAATCCTTATAGTCGTTAAAAAAAAACTGTAATTGCTCAAAAAACTTATAAATGAATAAAGAAATTATGTATTAATATGATGTTTTGTACTGACAGGATATTAAGTATAATTTGAAGTGAGGAAAAAAAAAACAGTAGCAACAGGTGACCAGTGGGGAAATTATATAGAGAAATGAGTCACTTCTCTCTATAATTTTGCCTGGATGAAAATGGGAAAAGAAGCAAAAAAAAAAAAAATCAGAGAGGCACTGAAAGAAAAAAAAGTTTTCCAAATGAATGAGACGGGTGAAAGAGAAAGAAAATTAATCCTTGATTACTCAGAGTAAATTATTCTAAAGCAGAAAACAAATCTTTAAAGTACATTATTACTTTTATAGAAAAATTTAAAACTTTTGGTATGCATACAAGAAAACCTCACTGACCAGGTAATTATAGTACTAAACATTGATTTCTACTACTTTAGTTTCCAAGGTGTTGTTGAAGAAAAGAAATGTGTACTTCAGATGCTAAAAGTACTGATAAAATTATAGTTTCTCTGACCTATAAAGGCCACCATTTATTCAGCTTTATTTTTAACTAACCAGGAAAAACCCCTATGCCACAACCATTCCTGAGCTCATGTACTACCAAGTCCAAGCAATTTTCCTGTTCTTGGATTCACAAATACCTGACATTTATTTTATTATGCTGCCTCTCAGAAGGCAACAGAATAAAACACTTTTGTTACAGTGCTATTAAATTGTTTTTAAGCATCTGTTTACTTTTACAAAGCTGTAAGTTAAACTTTAATATGCACAAAAAATTTTACAAAATTGAAAAAAAATTTACTAAATAATTCAAACAAGCTGAATTTAATTGAGTCTATTTGAAGTTGTCTTTCCTTTTGAAAACAATTTCTAGGGCAAAAATTTTAAAGAGTGGGCCAGAAAATTTTGAGGATCCCAAGGATATTTTCAGAGGTTATGCAAAATCAAAACTACTTTCTCAGCAGCTCAAACTCATTAGCTATCTTTTTTTACTTATTCTCTCACAAGTATATACTAAAGTTTTCTAGAGACTCCATTGCAGACAAGAGCACAACAGACTGAATGCAGAGGCAAGACATACATTATCAAGACACATCAAAGACATCTGTAGACATTTAAAATACTGGTACTCTTCTCAATAAGTTTATTTTTTGGAAAATAGTTATTTCTATAAAAATGCTATTTACATATACATTTAATGGGTTTGTTGTTCCCAAATCTATCACAAATGTCACTCTTAGTATCATTTTAAACTTCTTTTAAGACAACTGTTCCATTTACTTGTTCCTTACTATGGCCAACTGTAGGTACTATTACTAACCACAGGTAGTAGACAACTAGAAGAAAAAGGAAAAGGAGAGGACCCTAGGTAATATACTAACTTAATAGTTCACCATTCTGGAACATGCACTAAATTCAAAGGTACAGAAACAGAAAAAAACTTAAAAGCTTCAATTGTTAAATAATTTTAGAGACTTTTATATTAATAAACATGCACTGCAGGATTCTCATGAATGTTTAAGAGGGAATACTAATAGCTGTTTTAGGCCATGTCTGAACAAAATTTATTTCAGTTCACTCTATCTGTTGGCCATTAGGGCATCTATCACATTAAACAACAACAAGGATTCTGTGAAGGCCTTCAGGAGTTTTACAGATTGTCACTCACCTTTTTTCAGGAGTTTTATGGCATACAATGGTCTAAGTTCTTTATACCCAAATTCATCTTTTAAAACACAAGCTTGTAACTATTTGTGTCAGCTATTTTATAGAATTAGCTATAAGCATAAAATTAAGAGAAAGTCAGGATGAGGAGTATGCAACTCTTTTCTTTAATCACTTAACAAAGCAGTAATTACATTTACATGTCTGCTGAAAGAAGAAATATTCTTTACAATAAGCATTTTATAAGAACATTGTCTTAACTATCCCCAATCACATAGACTACACAAAATATTTATGCTTACCTCAAAGTTAAATAAATTTACTTAATTCATAAAACTTCAACAAAATAAAAATGTTTAATGAAAACTCTTTAAATCTAATGAAAATTTCACAATAATCTAATCTAAACATATAAATGTTTAACATGAAAACCATAAATTTGCCTTTACTCTCACACATAAGCATACCTTTCTGACTAATCGAAGTGCTTGTGTCCTCTCTACCTCGTTGCTCTGCTGTATGTCAATGCACCTAAATAATACACAAAACATTAATCATTAATAAAATCATATTAAGACATTTTATATAATAATGCTGCTAGATCACACGCATCTTCATGTCAACATAGTATATTAAAACTTTAGTACATGCTTTTCTAGTACCACCAAATATTTATTTAGTTAACCTACATTTCAAAAGTATTTCATTTAAAACTTCAGGAAAAAAAAAAAAAACAATGTAGTAGCATACCTACTGAGCAAAATATCAGCAATCTACTAGAAAAAAATTCACCTGATAAAATTAACAGCTATTTCATAAAAACTGTATAGGGAAATAGTTCAAACTTGCTTATGTTAAACTGTGATTCTAATCAATGTTTAAATTTTATGTATCATGACTTTCTTAAGCAACAGTCACAAAAATTCTATTTTACCAAAATAATTTGAATTCCAAATTCTCTTCAAAAATTAATGTCCCATCAAATATCACAGAGCTGACATGTCTTTGTAAAAATTTATTAAGCTATGTAGAAGTGGTTTATATGACAGCATAAGTTTTGAAAATTTAGATAGTTCAGTATATTTCATATGTAGACATTTTGTAATTCAAAAGCACTTTTGGGGGGCTGAGGGGCATGGCTCAAGTAGTACAGCACTTGCCTAGCAAGAACAAGGCCCTGAGTTCTAATTCCAGTACCACTTAAAAAAATTTTTTAGAAAAATGTTTTTTTTCTGTCTAAATGCAATTAATCTAAGACAATTCGAATAAGAAGTAAATGAGGGGTGGGGGTTGCTCAGTGACAGTGCCTTGCCTAACATGCACTGAGCCTAAGTTCCAGCCCCAGTGACACCAAAAAAGAAGGGGGTATGTGAAATGGACATAGAATTCCATGTCTGGTCATTACAGGAAGGCTTAGATCGAGAGAGAATAATGCCTAGAAAAAGAAACATAAGAAGCTCCACATTCAACCAGGCTTTTTCCCTGAAGGTGTTTATCTATCCCTAGCCTTAGGGACACAGAGTTCTGGGAGAAAGCAAGAGCCTGTCTGGACTAGAAAGACTGAGTGATTTAACTTTAGGGCAGCCAAAGTAGTTGGGAGACGAGGAGCTAAATCCCAAAGAGAAGAAAGTAGAAGGAAAACAAGCTAAAAATTCTCTCCAAGACATTTGCCAGATTTTGTGTTGTGTAAAAACAGGATTAGACTCCAAGAAAACAAGCAAAAAGCTACTCTGAAAAGCACAGGAATAGAGCAGAGATCTCAGTAGATGCTTAATACTCAAAGAAAGAAACTAGGGGTCATGGTTGGCCAAGATAAAGAGGTTCTGCTAAACATCTACATTTTAACTCTAGAGCCAAATAGCTACTTCCTAGGAGCGATGGCAAAGCAAAAACCAAGTTTAACAGAATCAGTGCAATAGGCCAATATTTCAGAATAAAACTTAACTCTCTTAAAAGGAAAACAATAATATGATCTACTGCCACAGATTTTTAAATACCAATATTTACATTTAATTTGTTGGTACATGGCATGGTTTCAAAGAAAGAAATAGGCAAAAGAAAGATCAAGAACCAAAAAAAAAGACAATAGAAATAGAACACAAATTGGCACTGTGAGAGGGGACTTCAAAATAACTATGTTGACATGAAGAAAATAAAACGAAAGATGTAGAAATAAAGCAAAGACCTGAAAATTTTAAATAATAAAATAATCATAAGGCAATAACCAAAAACAACAACAACAAAAAACCCTACAATAACTAAAAATCTAAGCCAGGCATGGTGACACATACCTATTATCCCAGCACCCAGGGTAGAGGCAGGAGGACTGCAAGTTTAAGGCCAATATGGGCTACACAGCAAGACCGTGTGTCAAAACCAAAAATTTATCATGAATGCATAAATCTTAAAAATAGTTCAAGACCTCTACAGAGAAAACTACATTAAGTTTGTTGACAGAAATCAAAGTTTCTAATAAGTTAAAGTTTAGAAGACTTAGTTAAGATGTCAATTTGTTCCAAATTAATCTAGAATTTCAATGTAATCCCTACTAAAATCTCAGCAAGTTATGTAGAAATGGATGGTTCTAAAATGTATATATAAATGCAGAGCCCAGAATAGCCAAGACAGTCTTCAAGAAGATGGAAGACTCATATTAACATGTATCAAGATGTATTAAAAAGCTGTAGCAATTAAAACTGAAAAACTGTTAAGAGAATAGACAAAGAGACCAACTAAAGAGAATAGAGAACACAAACACAAAAATATTCAGTGACCTGATTTATAACAAAGGTGATAATGTAGATATAAAATCAGAATCTTTTCAATAAATGGATATTTATGTAAAGATAAAAGTGACTTGACACCTACCTCATACCTTACACAACAATCAAATTTGACAAAATACAGTCAGATGGTTCACAGAAAGTATGAAGGAATAATACCTGTAGAAGAAAACACAGATCTCTTTCCAAGAGACCAAAAGCACTTTGGATTTCATTAAGAACTTTTCTTTGTCAAAGACCATTAAAAGAGTAAAACTGCAAGGCAAACTTGAAGAAAATATTTTCACTCTATATGCCTGAAAAGACTATGCCAGACAACCCCAAAAATTCCTACATAAAAAGAATAAAGTCAATTCAGTCTACAAATGAGCAAAATAAACAACAAGCAAATGAAAGGGACTTAACATCAAAGTCACCAAGGAAATACAAATTAAAAATCAAAATAAGAACCCACAAGAAAGACTAAAATTGATGACTAAAACCAACAAATGCTGATGTGGAGAGACCAGAATTCTCATACATTGCTCACAGTAGTATACATCAGCGCGATCACTTAAAAAATTATTTAGCAGTACCTATGGCTTTTAGTAAGGTTGAACAAATATACCTACATCCCAGCTATTCCAGTTCCATACAAATCTAAGAGAAATAAGTGTATATGTCCAGCAGCAAACTTGTACAAGAATACTCAGAACAGCTTTATTCAAAATAGATAAACACTGAAAACTACCCAGAAAATGAACAGAATAAAATATGGTCTAATTACAAAACAAAATACACAGCATTAAAAAGAAAAACAAAATACGTCAACATAAATGAATGCACAGATAATGAAGAAAGAAAAAGAGTAACTAGTGTTACTTGTTACCTCCAATATGATACCTTAGAGCAGGAAAAACTAGTCTACAATGAAAACATTAGAATAATGTTTACTACTGATTAAAGATATAATGGAGTATTACTGGCATTTTGAAAATGTTTTGTCTTCTTACTTGATTGTGTGTGTTTGTACAAATTACCAAGCTTTACGGTAAAAATCTATACACTTTATGGTAGGTATGCTAAAATTTGACACACAACTTTCAAAACATGTGAAGCATAAATAACTCTAGGAAAATTACCTAGCTATTAAATAGTCCACTTTCAATTTTAGCACCTTCTGCAGAATACTGGAATCTTGGATGAGATATCGAAGTGCTCGTAACCCTGCTGCTCTCACTTCTTTTGCTTCATTTAATAAAGCTAACCGCAAACTGTATGAAAACAAAAGTTCTGTTGTAAGTGTTTCAAATACACAGAAAATTATAGTACAGGTTAAGCATCCCTCAACCAGAATGTGTGGGATGACAAGTATTTCAGATTTCCAGAGTTTATTTATTTGGCATAGACTGTACCAAATGACCATCCCTCATCCGAAAATCCAAAACTCAAAACTTCTTTGATACTGAGATGACTCAGAGAGTTTCAGATTTTGGAGCATTTTAGATTAATATTTTCATGTTAAAGATGCTCAACCTGTATCAATTATTTCCTCATTCGAGGTATGAAAAACTTCTAGTCATGCAGGATTAATTTTATCCAACTGCAGTTTCTATGTGTAAAAAACCTTCACTGCAAACCATGAAATTTTACATAATGGTGATGTTGCTGTGATTCTGTGCCTCCTGCATACATTCTTAACAATCAAGCCAATGTTACTGAGTTTGATTCATCATCTGCAGTTTATTTTATATAAGCAATGGGAAAATAAATATGCCTTTTTTCCAGCTATACTCTTTATGATGACCTTACAATCTATTCCCTTGTATCTGCCTACCTACTTCGACTGCTCCCAAACAATCACTGGTTTAAACCAATAATAAAATACTTTATAATGACAGCAAGCACAGATCATCCTATCAATTCTAATTCCTTAGAGCACCAAAAAAGATGATCATGAAACTATTATGCTTAGTCAAGTTTGCCACTCCCTCTGAAGTAAGACTTAAAAGAGTTATAGATTCCTCTTATTCCTAGGAAGAAAATGAGAAACTGCAGTCTTCAAATTTCAGATTTAGCTTAGAAGTTTAAATTATAGAAGTCCAGGTATTTTTGAACATTAGCTTTGGTTCCTCATATTTTGTAATCAAAAAGTATCAACTAAGATTCATAAAACAGCAAAATAACTGAAGATCCTGAATCTTCCGAATATCCAAGCAACTGCTACTATAAAATCAAATATGAAGTGCTGTATTATCTTATTTCTAATTTAAAATTACTGAAGCTGGAATTACTAAAATCTGGAAGGGATGAGGGAGAGCTGAGCTACACTTACCAAATTATGATATCTTCATAGTTAAAACCCAGTTTTTCTTCACTATGGCCAATATCACAAAGAAGCTGTTAGAAAAACAAAATATGTATGTATACATGAATTGTGAACTTATATATTTATATACACCGTGTTTTATGCTAGAAAGTGAGACATTTGTTTTTAACAAAATTTTTAAAAATATATTTTACTATTAAAATATGCAGCTTTTATTTCCACCATTTTACTATTTGGGGCTTTTTTTTTTTTGGCTTGGATTTGAACTCAGGGCTTTGTGCTTGCTAGGCAGGTGCTCTGCAGCTTGAGCCATACCTCCAGCCCCATCTCATTGTTTTTTTAATTTGTCCTACCAGTTTTAGATTTCTTTAACCCAACTTCCCTTTTTTGAATTAATCATTTTATTATTTTACTTTTTCTCTCAATAATTTTACTATTTTAAAAGCTACTCTTTTAGTGGTTTATCACAGTTTACAACATGCATTGTAAGAAATGATTTCTTGGTCTGTAGGTGTGGCTCAAGTTGTAGAGCGCCTGCATAGCAAGCACAATGTACAATGTCCTGAGTTCAAACCCAAAAGAAAGAAAAAGAAGAAGAAAAAAGGCAGGCTCAGGTGGCACGTGCTGTCACCCCAGGTACAATAGAGGCTGAGATCAGGAGGATCACTGTTCTGGGTCAGCCTAGGCAAAAAGTTTGTGAGACCACCCCCCATCTCAACAACAACAAAAAAGCTGGATGTGGTGTGGCATGCATCTGTCATCCTAGCTATAGTGAGAAGCATAAAATAGGGAGGATCGTGGTCCAGGCCAGCCTAGGCAAAAAGCAATAACCTATTTCAAAAATAACCAGAGCAAAAATGGCTGGTGTGATAGCTTAATCAATAGAGTACCTACCTAGCAAGTACAAAGCCCTGAGGTTCAAACTCCAGTGACAAAATAGAAAAAAAAAAAAAAAAAGAAATTATTTCTTTGCCATGTCTTTAAAATGCTACAATCTTACAGTATTTTCATTTCAATTACTCCCCTCACATTGAATTTAATTAGTTTTGTATTTATCTTTCAAGACATTACTGTTACTGGTGTTTTTCTTTTGGTGGTACTCGGGGCTGAACTCAGGGCCTAGCACCTTGCTTGGTAGAAGCTGTACCACTTTAGCTACCCACTAGCCCAACTGGTGCTTTTTAGCCAGTCAGTGTTTAGTCTATATCAACTTATATCTTCTCACACATTTATCCTTTCATTATTCCTCATTCCTTTCTTCATTGCAGTGGTTCCTTAAGGTAGCATTCTTGATAGCTCAAAAATTCAGTTTATTGTTGTTATTGACATATTTTGCTGGTGTCTAATTTTAGCCCAAGTTGCTATTTATGATTCTTGAGTTCTGTTTGTCTGGAAATTATTTTTTAAAATTTTCATTTTTTAAAGGATGTTTTGATGGACTAGGATTTGAACTCAGGTCTAGACACTTGCAACGCAGGTACTCTACCACTTGATCCCTACCTTTGGTCTAGGTCAGCTGTTCTGGAAGTCATACCCTTTACCTCAGGCGTTTGTTTTTTTTTTTTTTTAGGATTTTTTTTCTTTATCTTTGGTTTTCAATAATCTTACTATAATTCATTCAGCGGTGGTTTCCTTTGTATCCATCCTGCTTAAGGTAAACACTTCCTCAATCTCCTAGCTGATATATTTTATTAGTTTTGGAACATTCTGTACATTATCTCTTTAAAATTTCCAACTGCCAATTCTCTCTATTCTGTACTTCTGGTAATTTAATTATATGTATGTCAGGTCTTTTTATGTATATCACAAATCTCTAATTCTCTGTTCTATTTTTTCTATGCTCTTCTATGTCAATAGTTGAATATCTTCTACTTATCCTGTCTTTTAATGTGTCTGATCTATTATACCTATCTAATGAGTTTTTAATTTTAGATAATGAATTTTTCTCTTCTTCAATTTTCCTTTAATCTTTTTAAACATTCTAATGAAAATCTTATTTTCTCATCTGTTTTTTCCATAGCTCCCTCATTTTCTTGACATTAACATGGTAATTAAAAGTACTAGTCATCTGAATGGACCTGACTGGTGAGGATCATCTGTCCACATCTGCTTATACTAGCTGTTTTCCCTTTTGTTCTAGTCATGTTATCAGTCATGGTGACTCCTGTAATCTTTGCTCATATACATAATTTGCAGAGATACCTGACCATGCTATCTTTTTCAATAGAGTGCTTAGCTTTTTCTCTGTTAGGTCACTGCACAGTGCTGAGTAAAGGTTAGTTGGCTATTCTAGTAAAATTTAGTCAACTTCTCGTTTTTCCTTGCTCCTAAGATTTCAACTCAAAGTTTGCTGTTAAGGATCCTAGTTCCTAAAGGATAATAAATGTAATTTTAGTCTTAAAAAATATACTGGAAGTTCCACACCTGATTTTCGAAGATTTTCTGCTTAGGTGCTACATTTCTCATTCTAGGTAGCCCCAACAATTGAATGCATGTACCCAGGGGACAATTTCCTTATGCTTGTTGTATCTACCCTACATCTGTAGCAAAAACTTATTTCTAATTCTAATACTTAAACCCTCACTTTCCTGGCCTCATTTCACATCATCAGGTATTCCCTGAATACATGCTATTGGAGAAAGAAGCTGTCTTTATGAAATTCTTCTCTGACACTTTGGTGCCTGTATTTGTTGTTACTCAAGCAGTTCTTGCTGCCTTCAAACAGGCTTCCTTAATTGTTTTCATTGAGAGCACTGGTCTAATACTAGATATGTGGATCCTGGTTTTAATTTAGGTATGAGTTTTGAAAACTGACTTTTATTTTAGTTACTCAAGTTATTATAAAACTTCCTCAAGTTATATATTGGAGCTTGAAATGGATTAAAGGGAAGATAAATTATTTAATGAATACTGAAGTCTTAGAAGGGTCTCCACAAAGTATTGTTATTCATTATGAAGTTATAAATATCATAACCACAGGAAAAAACCTAGTGATAATATCTTGTGAAAAGAACAGACCCCCAAAAAAGCTAATATAAATTTACTATCCTACTGATACTTGTAAATTTTCCTCCCCAATTTCTTCAGAAGCAAAAATAAATAGGATAGAGAAATAAATTAAGAAGAGAGAAACTGCTCTATAAAATCCTTAAAATTTTAAAATGTGATGAATAAAAGGCTTCACACCTTCAAAAGAGTATGAAAATTTTCTCATATTTTTGTTTTGATATAGTATTTTTGAAAATACTTAAAAACTATAACAATAGTAAGATTTTCTAAATTTTAAAACCAGAGGAAAACTACCATGTACTTAAAACAAAAAAAAATTACATAAAGTTAAAATATATTAGGTCAAAAGTATTTGCAACAAACAAATACTGTTAAAGATTTAACAAAATGTAAGAATTAGCTAACAGTCACCCAAAATGCCAAATTATCAGACACCACACTTCTTACTGAGATTGGCACTGTCTCTGCCATATGTCTTTATAATATGCTATAGGATCAGAGTTCATATATAAGGGGCTATGAGATGGGCTGGGCACTGTGAGTCACACCTACAATCCCAGCTACTTAGGAAGTGGAGAACAGGAGGATGGAAGTTCAAGGCAAGCCTAGGCAAAAAGTTAGTGACACCCCCCCATATCAACAAATAAGTTAAGCATGTGCCTATTATCCTAGCTATGCAGCAGATCACAAGTAAGACAATCAAGTCTCAAGCCATAGATAAAATGATGAAGTCCCAGGTCTCCCAGCAAAATCATGAGACCCTATCTGAAAAATAACTAAAGCACTCTACCACTTGAGCCACTCCACCAGTGAAAAATAACTAAAGCAAAACAGGGTTGGAGACATGGCTCAAATGGTAAAGCACCTGCCTGGCCAATGCTGGGTCCTGAATTTAAACTCCAGTACCATTTAAAAAAAAAAATCCATGCTTTCCATCAGTGAATCAATCTATTTTCGTTATAATTTATCTACATGAATTTTTATTAATGTAGATAAAATACTAAAGAGGGGTTATCAACAATAGTATATTCTGAAAAATTTAAAGTAATTGTAAATCATCTCTAGGTAACAGAAATTTTCTGTTATGCTTATTAACATGAACAATTTTTATTTTTCATTTTTTGTAGTACTAGGGATCGAACCCAGGGTCTTACACATGTTAGGCAAACACTTAACCACTATGCTATAACCCCAGCCAACATGAACAATTTTTAAAGAGTATAATGATAAATTAGGACTGGGCATTTGACAGTATTTCTATTTTACTCACACTGCTCTGGAGGTTAAATGAGTAACAACACGAAATAACCCAAACTTTAAAAAATTTTATTGCACACACTAGAATTCCACAGCATAGCTTTTTAGGAGACAATGTAGACACACACACCAATCATCTATGAAAAAGCAGACTGATAATATAGAAAAGGAAAGCATTCTATGCCATATTGGGATCTAGTGGAAAAAAGCATGCTGCAAATCAATTTACATACATCTACACACATATGCATTTATGAACATATATATCATGTTTTTATCTAAAAAATAATTTCTAAAGCCAGGTGCAGTGGTACATGCCTATAACTTGGAAAGTTGAGGCAGGAGGATTGAAGTTTGTGGTCTCTGTCTCCAAAAGAAAAAAATGCTTTGTGTATGTATAATAATAAATGCTTATAAAAGTAACCACACTACATAGAGTGCTTCATATGATTTAGTTCATTTAATTTCACAACTCAGTGAAATACACCTACACACACGGCTTATATTTATAATTATGCCAGAAAAGGTTAGTTATCCTCTACTGTTACCTCTGTTAAAAAAAAAAAATTGGACTGGGGAGGAAGGCGGGAAGGGTATGTGAGGGAAGACTTCACTTTTTACTGTAAAATCTTCTGCATCATTTTAATTTTTTATAATTATCTTATGCCTTGTTTAAAACTTTTTGAAAAACAAAAAATAAAAAACCCTTCAGAGTTTTTAAAATATAAACACAGGAAAAGAGAACCTTTATTATTAGAATGTAAACGAGCTGACATATTTTCATCTTAAACAGTAGGTCTTTAAATTATGAACATGTTATCACTTTTAAAAATAGAATACTGAGATTATGTTCATCAGCAGCCTGCTATACACATTACTTTATCTAGTGAAATGATGTCAGAAGGCAAACATGGTGTGTGACATTCACATGATTAAAGGATCACATCACTTGCTCCCTTCCTTCAACCCTTAAAAGGAGGTTTTAGAAATGAAGTTCACCCTATACACCATTTTAGCACCACTGGTTCTACTAAGGTAACTTAACACCAACAAAATTGTTTTGCTTAATAGCAAAACAAAATGCAACTCAAAACAAAAGCTCGTATTTAAAATGCAAAATCTTCATAATCTAACACAATAAAATTAAACATTTATTATGTGCCAGGCTTTGGGGTAGGAAGGAATATGAGTAGAAAATATAACATTTGTCTTATGTCAGAGAAATTCAGTTTAAAGGAATAGTAACTCGTTAAAAAATAAGTGATAAAATTTAGTAGATACATATGTAAAACCTAATGGTAACACAGAAGAGGGTGTCCAACTAAGTACACTGCCTTCTGACATCATAATTATTTTTATTTTCTTATTCTAAAAAGCTGTTCTTAGAGACTTCTGAGAGTTTCTAAATTTTACTCAGTAAGGAAATCAACTTACAGATTTTACAGGAATATTAGCTCAGTAAATATTTTTAAGCCCAGCTCTCTAATAAAAATGGAATTCAGAGGCTTATTACATAACAATTAAATTCAATATGTATGCTTGTGCTAGGTATAAATTTAAGAATCTATGGACATTCATTTATAGCAGTGGTTCTTAACCAGGGGCAAAGTAGTATGCCAGGGAACTGAAACCTCCCCTCTAAAGGCAGCAATACTGCTTCTGAGTACAGAAATCTTCTCAAAACTGCCTTGCTAATTAGTAGAGGCTGGGTAGTAAGTCTCTGTAACGAGAAAGCTCAGGCTTCCCCCATTACATCACTAAGTAGACCAAAAATAAAATCAAGTCTGATGTTCATGGACTTTATTTATGAGAGCCCCTCAGACCTGACTCAGGCTCAGTCCCTCTAACTGTAGACAAATTTTACTAAGTTTGGTTACCTGGTTTTCAAATCCATAGGTGATTTAAGATAGCACATAAAAAGCCTGCCATAAGGTGGCATCAAGGCCTTTTTAAGTATGGTTAAAGAAATACAAAACACACAGAAGTCTAGGGCCTTTATTACAAAAATCTCTGCATACTCTACAGTGGTACAAAGCAGGAAGACAAGGACAAAGGAAGCAGAAACCAAGAAAGCAGGAGAAACAGGACCCCTAAGGAAGAGTGAAAAAAGGGAAAACAGGAAATGAAGGGGGTTAGGGGGAAGCAGCAGCAAAGAGAAGATAAGAAGGAGAGCAAAGGGAAGAGAAGAAAGGACAAAAGAGAATCTAAGAACACAAAAAAGCAGAGGCCCAGTAAAGAGAATAACTTAGTGAACTGTTGTGAGAGAAAATCAGACAAAGTAAGGAAATGGAAGAGGGAAGAAAGGACTGGAAGAGAGAAACTGACCCTAATCCAAGAAAGCCTGGGACCAAGACAGAAATAAATGAAGAACAGAGAAACAAGATAGAGATGTCCAACAGGCTCCTAGAAATGAAGGTTTAAATCAATCTTATTCCCAAAAGTTCCATCTCTGCTCTGATCAATATGACTGATAGCTATTAGTCACAGGCTGCTGTGGATACTGGAAATGTGACTAGTCTGAATTGAGACATGTTATAAGTAAAAAATATACTTTATTGATCTAGTATTCCTATAAAATCTTCATGAAAAAGTTAAACAATATTTAGTAATGTTTTATGTTAATTATATCAAATGATAATATTTTGGATATAATAGATTAATGCAAAATACTAAATTAATTTCACATTTTTCCTTTAACTTTTATTGTGCTCACATTGTATTTCTATTGGATAACACTATTCTAGATTTTTAAGATTATTTTAGGACCCATGTGGGTGCCACAGAGTAACAGCAATCATTGCCATCATTACAACCATCCCAAACTTCCAAAATGTTGGGTGGCAAAACATATTTAAATGTCCAAGCTTGGTTATGACAGTAACCATGAGTTCTAAACAAAACACAGGCCTCTACAAAAATTGTTTTTAACAGTTAAAACTAGGCAAGTGATAAGACTTACTTGAGCTGAGTGAAGACTGGCAAAATAAAACTGAGATTTAATACAAGGAAGGGAAACCAGAAGATGCATTTTGGACCCTGGAACGACAATGTCTCTTAAGTATTTGACATTACCTGCTACCTCACTGAAGTATTTGAAGATGTTCTTTATGTTCACAAAAATAAAAATATACACAGGCATATTTTTCAAAGCCTCTTTTCTAGCAGTCTGTTTTAGAATTTCTTTTTTCTTTTCATTTTTTTTCATTCTTCCTCATACTCTTCCCCCTTTCTTAGGACAATTTCAACAGGCTCCATTCTTCTATTTTCATATATGAATACAAGATAGTATGTTGTTTTTTAAAATATTACTTTCTTATCTTCCATATAAAATCATTTTCTCATCTAAAAATAAATGCCAGTATTTTAAAGCACCATTAAAGAAAATAAATACATATTTGCTGGACCAACTATAGGAAAAAATGTCCACAATATCACATTGAAAAATGAATTTTGTTACACAATGTCTACATACCCAAACCCTTCTAATTCTATGAAATAAAAATGAATCCAAGTCACAGCCCAATTACTTAGCAAAGAATTAAATACTTGGAAGATTACAACAGTGCTATTCAAACACACAAATTCAACTAATGATCTTTATTAAATGGTAGATTTTGACTCAGCAGACCTGGGGTGTGTTTGCAAATAAGTTCCAAGGTGACACCAGCACAGCTCTGAGCACAAAACATACAATGGTTCCTACATTAAAAGCAATTAACATTTAATATACCAAGGTGGGGGGACTTTATGCCAATGGATTCATTCTGCTTTCTACTGTGAGGTATCACCTAAAACACTACGCATTTCAGTGTTGCATGAGTCTGCTGACTAGCACTGTAAGGCTTATATCCATACATCAAACTTAAGAATTTGGGGCTGTTATTAAACATTAGTAATATTTGTTTGAGACCCAGGCCCCTGCAGTTTTACTTTGAGAGCTACTTTAGATACAGATAGTAAGAATGCAGAATCAGGATAAGAGAATATCCTAATAGTTCTCTGGGAATTATGGCCATACCTAGGAAATATAGCACAAGCACAGAAACAAGTAAACTGAGTTTTTAAAACAGGAAAAGACGGTAAATATGTGAAGTGTGAATTATGGAATTCAGGTAATTTTCTTTCTTTATTCTTTTCTGAGCCTATTCTAAGCATTACTTCTATCATTTAAGTGCAATTTAAAACACAGCAGCTGGGCACAGCAGCCTATAGGCTGTCCTATAAGCTGAAGCAGGAGGGTCACTTGAGCCCAAGAATTTGAGACCTAGGCAACATAATAAAACCCCTTTTCAAACAAAAAACAAACACCCCCACCAATCTCTTCCTTCTCTGAAAAATTAGAGAAAAGCACTAACACTGAGAGAATATATAAGAACTGCTTCTTTTTTAATTTTATTAGGTTATATTCATTGTACAAGAGGGATTCAGTGGAACAATTACAAGAACTGCTTTTTAGTGATGACGAAGAAACATTTAGTAAGCATGATAAGGAATTAAGATTTTAGATGGCAGTCAGTTTCAAGTTACTTACCTTAGTAAAGTTATTCAGATGGCCTAGTTTTCTCATATTTGATACTCCTTGTAATTTAGCCACATTTTGGAGAATTTCCCTTAAATTATCAGAAGGTTCTAGAAGAAAAGACAGTTCAACATAATTTTAAGAGTATTTTCCTAATCAAACACATAAAGCATATAGTATTAAAAGTTCACAATGTTGGCTCTTGGTTTAAAGTCTTCCCCTCCTCCCCAAATTAATTCATTCATTTTGTTGACCTACAAGTCTACATGGATGACATCCAATTCCCTTCACATTCTTATTTCTCATACCTATGGTCCAACTTTGTGTATCCCCTGGGATTACTCAACCATAAAATCATAAATGTCAACATGTCCCTTGGGTGCCCAGGGGCTCACGCCTTTAATCCTAGCTACTCAGGAGAATTGCAATTTGAAGCCAGCCCCAGACAAACAGTTCAGGAGACCCATTACAAAAGAGGACTGGCTCAAGCAGTAAGAACGCCTGCCTAGCAACCATGAGGCCCTGAGTTCAAACCTTAGTGTCGCCAAAACAAAAACAAAACCCCTCAACTTTCACTTCTTGTTACTATGTGACAACAGAGACCAAATACACTGTTCTGCTTCAGTCAACCAACAAACATTAAACTATAGTTTTCAAGACACTAGACCTGATGCAGTAAAGAATAATGAGCCCTGAAAACAAAAAAAAAAAGTTTCCAGGCCTTGGTGCTAGGAGGGAAAACTCAGGCAAACTCCCTGAGTTGAAGAGGCAGAGCTAAGAATCCAAGGAGACTAAGAATTACTAGATAAGAGCAGTTCCAAAAAGAGTACTCTAGAGGGACTCCTCAGAGGGTCTCTTCTCAGCAGAGAAATGTCCACTGCACGAGTGTAAAAAAATTATCCAAGGCCAGGGAAAGAATCACTCAAAAATAATTATAGGGAAGAATATCCTTCCTTATAGCCAGGGTGGAAAAATCATTAAGGGAGTATTGGGAAGTCTTGACTCAGTAGTAAGAAATAATTAGATATAAACTAAACATTTCTGTGATCCCACCTAACAAATCTTAAAGGCAAGACTCGTAAGAATCAAACTGTCTCCCCACAATTAAACTGGACTTCACACCAAAGCTCAAGAAGATCTTTAAAAATACAAAAAAATAAGAAGCTCAGAAAAAGGCAAATTTCACAATGTTTAGCACCCAGCTGAATACTACCAGGCATGTAAAAACAGGAAAATATGATCTGTAACGAGGAAAAAAAAATCTATCAATTGAAACAGAGCCAAAAGTGACATAGTAGAATTACATGACAAGAATATTCAAAGTTTTATAACTACAGTTCATATGTTCAAAAACTTAGGTGAAAGCCTGAAAAGGTGTAAAAGAACCCAATCTGAATTTCTGGAGATGAAAACTGCAGTATCTCAGATGAAAAATATTTTTATGGCAAAAACTTACTAACCTTACAGAAGGTAAAAATAGTGAACCTGGGGACAAGGCAAATGAAACTATCCAAAATATAACACAAACAGAAAAAAAAAAAAAAACCCAGCATAAGTGATGGGGACAAGGCAAATGAAACTATCCAAAATATAACACAAACAGAAAAAAAAAAAAAAAAAAAAAAAAACCCAGCATAAGTGACCTCTAGAAGTTCAAGCAGCTTCACATATACGGAACTGGAGCCTTCAAAGCAAAGAAAAGGGTGTGTGTGTGACAATTTCTTAAAGAAATATTTTATAAAAATTTTGCAAAATTGATGAAAACAATAAGCCAATAAACCCAAGAAGCTCAACCAACTCCAAGCACAAGGAAAATGAAAAGAACTATACCAAGTCACATTACAATTAGATTGCTCAAAGCCACTGAGAGAAAATCTTAAAAGTAGCCAGATTTTAAAAAGGTAAAGTGGATGGCAAATTTCTCATCAGACACAAGGTAAAAGAGAAGCCAATGGAGCAACCTCTGAAAGTACTGGGGGTGGGGGGGAAGCTTAATTAAAAAATGTAAAAACTAGGGGCTTGGCAGAGTGTTTCAAGCAGTAAGACAGCCTGCCTAGCAAGCGTGAGGCCCTGAGTTCAAACCCAGTAGTGTAAGTAAATAAATACATAAATAAATAACACAAAAAAACCTTAAAAACCATTCTTAGTTCACTTGGTTTAGAAAACCACAGGCTACTAGCCAGATAGGACTCTGAAGACAGCAGTTTTCCAACCCCTGGAATATAGTGTAAATTCCCTCAGTTGCTACAAGCTGTTTTTCAATTAATGTATTTGGTATCTTATTTAACACCAAATTTGTCTTAGATAAAACAAAGTATAATCCTAAAAAAGTTATATGACCATGTTGATGTTATTTTAACTTAGGAAGCATTGTATCTTACTTTGAGATTTTCATCTTTAAAAACCCAAGAACTATTTTTTTTTAATAAGTGTTTTCCTCACCAAGTGGAGCTACACTGTCCTATTTTACAGTTAGTTTTTATCTGGCTACCTTACTCTACTCTGTTATATTTGGTGCAGGCCATGATAAACAATTTGGTATCAAAGCACTTTGAAGTTGATACCTGCTGAGATCTTTCAACTGATTTTTACAGCATCTCCCATGAGTCTTAGATAATATACATATTTTAATGTGAATGAAATTCTATTGAATTTTAAGTGGGTTAGTACATATCTTTATAATTAGTGATTTATAGAATGATCTTAAAAGTAAAATGAAAGCCTGTCATTAAATGAGATCAGTTCCCACTGAAAAAGAATTATAAAGGGCCGTAAGTAGATCACTGCTAGTATTTTGCAATTCCTCTTTGTTACTTTAGATTGTATCTGGAGAGACTAAGGAAAATAACTGAAAGTTAGCTAATGGTGTTGATTTAATTTTATTTGAGAAATGTATAAAAATTTTTATAAGAACCCTTAAGATAATTTAGGTCCTACAACACTTTGCGAAGTCAAGGTTAAGGATCATTAAAGACAGTGTGTAATTCACCTAGTGAAAATGTCTAACCTAAGCGTTTACATTGATACGGTTTAAAGCCAGCCAGGGCAAACAGTTTTGGAGACCCTATCTCGAAAATACCCAACACACACACACACACACACACACACACACACACACACACACACACAGAGCGGCTCAAGAGGTAGAGCACTGGTCTAGCAAGCATAAGACCCTCATTCAAACTCCAGTACTGCCAAAAAATAAGAAATTAAAATGACAGTATGGGTACTCATACCAAAAATAATCTGACAGTACTAACAGTTAAGATAGTACATCTGAATCGATATATAATATTCTTCACAAAGCCTTTGTACATTTAATTACTACCTATTTTCTAGGTACATTAAAAAAAAACAGCCTTGATACAAAAATGAAATCATATCTGAGTGCACTCATTCAACAAGTATTAACTGAATGCCTACTGTCAATAGGTATTGGTTTAGGTACTGAACAGAACAATGAGGAAAACAAATCTTTCTTACATGTACTTCACATAGAAGCAGAAAGCAAGCTGACAACAACAAAAAAACATGCATGCAATTTAAAAACTGACAGGTGTTGACAGTTTGCCTAATGAAGATCTTATCACCACTAACCCAAATCAAAATGAACCAGCTTTTCTACTTCCTTCCCCTCCTCACCCCCTTTGCCTTTATATAATTAATTACCAAGAACCTCAAGTTATAGATGGATTTCAAAGTTTCTTCACAATATAGTTTTCAGCAATATAGCTGCTGAGAGACAAAACATGTTTCCCCCTGTACACTATGTTATTCCCAGGCCAAATTAGAACAGTATTAGTCATCTCAGACATTGACATACTATCTAATACTTATGTGGTACAATGTTGCAATTGGAGAACTTTAACTTGAAATATCTGGTTAAAGTTCCTGTGGAATGAAATGATAAATTCCTGGTTCCTTCTATTTCTGTAAAGGGCCCAGAGAAAGGAACAAAATATTTTAGATTTTGTAGGTCATAAAGTCGGTATTACAACTATTTGAAGAGAGCTGTTGTATCAAGAAAACAAGTGCAGAAAACATACAAATGAATGCAGAAGTACCACAGACCCAGGATCTTATCAACAGAAACTGTTTTGGTTTTTGAGACAGGATCTTGCTTTGTAGCCCAGCGTGGTCTGGAACCGTAGGTCCTCCTCTTCCACCTCTAGGATGCTGAGACAGTAAGTGTGAGCCACTATGTTCAGGATACACAGACACTTATTCTCACGGTTCTGGAGCTCCCCACCTGTCTAAAACCTAGCTGCCAACTAGTCAGCTTCTCATCATACACTCACATAGAGGAGAAAGGAGATAAACTCTCTACGGTCCTTTGAGTAGAGTTACTACTTCTGTTCATGAGGGTTCTACCCTCATGATCTAATCAACTCCCAACAGCTCAACCTCCTAATACCAACATACTGGGAATTAGTATTTCCACATATGAATTTTGTAGATACATTCTGTCCATTGGACTATGTTTCAGTAAAACAGACTTAACTTAAGAGCTGTATCTTAGCTGGCAGTTCTGGTTCATGCATGTAATCCCAGGACCTGGTGGTTGAGGCAGGAGGATCACAAGTTCACTGCACAGGTATGCACCTGTCTCAAAAAACAAAAACGTGGGGCAGTAGCAAAAAAGAAATTTAAGGTGAGTTTTATTTTCTATAAATCTTCCTACTTCTTACTCTCACTTAATGTGTCCAATTTAGTTCTCCAACTGTCTGATAAGTACTATGTAAGAAGCATAAAGCACAAATGAGGTGACCTCATAGGATGATAGTCTCTTAACCCTTAAAGTAAGAAATCCACAGTAGCTTGAAAGAAAAAAAAAAAACTAAAAAACCAAAATTGTGGCCAACCATTCAAATGGAAGGAAGTAAAATACAAAAGAACTACTAGAATTACACTGGCTCTTTTCTTCTTACTGTGTAGCTTATAAGTCCTATGTGTATTCCTGATGAATCTCTCTGGACATAATGAAATAACTACAGTCAACTCTAAATACCCAGAGATTTAATATCTGGGAGGGTAATGAAAACATAATTGATTTAAGCCATCTTTGATGTGACTTCTGTCCTTCCATCCAGGAGGTGCCTACTCTGGTTGACATTGTACATTTTTTGTTATTTAACAAGCAGTTAAAAATGTAGTGTTATATTACACCCATATACGGTAAGTAAATCAGAATAGGGATATGGGTTAATTTCCTGTGAGAAGATAATACATGACAATTCAAGGACTCTTAGAATAAAGAAAAGGTACCAAGCAAAATATTTTCAAAGAAGTTAATTATAGGTGGTAAAAATTACTGATGGATTTATTTTCATTCCTTAAATTGATTTTATTTTCCAAGTTCTCCAAATGAGCATAAAAGTACATATAAAATGAGTGATTTTGAAAAAAATTAATTCAGACTCCATGGCTGTGACTAGATTGAAATAACTGCCTGCTTATATTGCTTTTATAGGTAAGAAGAGAAAAAGCATTTTAAAATAAGCAACGAATACAGGTTATATTATGTAAGTGCTGCATAGCAATCCTGTAGCGCATGGAACTCACATAACGTTCACATAGTTCACACTATGTATTATGTTATAAACACTTGTATTGAAGTTTACTTTTTAGAGCACTTCTGAATATAAAATTATTTTTTTGGTAAAAAGAAATCTGGAAAATAAGAAAAGCCAACAAAAATCCTACAAATTACTGTGATGGTTAATTCTATGTGCCAACATGACTAGATTAAGGAAACCTCCAGAGCTGGTAGAGCATTATTGTGGAGTCTGTATGTGAGGGTATTTCCACAGATTAGCAAGTAAGTCAGAGTGAACTAAGTGGAGAAGAGCTGCCCTCCATGCAGCAGGCACTATCCAGTTGGATACCTGGACAGAATAAAAACACAGAAGTACTACTTCTAAGAATGGCTGAAATCAAAAAGACTGATGCCACCAATGTTGAAGAGAATATGGAACAAACGGAACTCTTACACTACTGTAAGAGTATAAAAGGACACAATCACTTTAAAGAGCTGTTCGCAACCTAAGTTATGACCCAACAATTCCACTATCAGTTAGAAAAACAGGCCCACAAATACATGTACATAAGAATATTTATAGCAGTTTTATTCAGAACAGTCCCAAATTTTAAATATCCCATATGCCCATCAACAGAAGTATGGATATAAGCAAATTGTAGTGTATATATACACATAAAAATGCTAATCAATAAGGAAAAAAACCCTACTGATACAACATGGATCAATCTAAAAAATGTTAAAGAAGCCAGACAAAAACAGTACATGATGTATCATTCCATGTAGTCAAAAGTAACCTACAATGGTAGAAAAAATATAGGGGTTGCTGGGGAGGTGAGGTAACCAATTGAAAACAGGTAAAAGTATCTAGGGAAGGGGGGTAAAAGTATCTAGGGAAGTATCTTCTTGCTGGGGGGTAGTGGTTACGTGGTATTTAATTATCATACGTACATGAATATTTAAAACATGTACATTTTATGCTATTTGTAACTCAACAATTTTTCTCTGTATCCAAAAATATATTGCAGACCAAGTATCTTTTATCTGAAATGCTTTGGACCAGTATTTTGAATCAGATTTTTGGATTTAGTTCCTCAAAGAATACATGTCTTAGAATATATCTCCCAATATCTCATGGTTACTTCCACAACTCCTCAATTCCTAATCCACTATTTCATCCCTCACCCAGCCTTTAATTTCTCAACATTCTTTTTACCTAAACTCCCATTATTTTGAGTTGTTGCACACACTATGTGAGCATTATCTGTGTATATTCTGTCCAGCCCTAATGTCTTTACTACAAAATGAGAGTAAAAACCTAGCTAAGCCAGGCACCAGTGGATCACACCTATAATCCTAAACTACTCCAGAGGCAGAGATCAGAAGGATCGAAGTTTGAGGCCAGCCTGGGCAAATAGTTCCAGAGAACCTATCTCAAAGATATCCAACACAATAGAAAAAAAGGGATGGTAGAGTGGCCCAAGAGGGACAGCACCTGCCTAGCAAGTGTGAGGCCCTGAGTTCAAATCCCAATCAGTGCCACTAAGAAAAAAAAAAAACCCAAAACTAGATGAGCCTTATAACATAAACCAAGAATTTATGAAGAGTTTTGAGTTCTGTGAGGGCCTTGTATATTCTTCCCATTATGTCTAGTTTATCCTTGCAAAACTTCACACACTCATAAGTTCTTTCAAATTAAAACCATTAATAAAGTACTTTCTTAAAGGGTTGGAATCTGATCAGAATCTTAAACCAAATCTCTAATTACATCTCCACTTATCTTTCCTATCTGTCACTGTTTAGAAATAATAACTATTAATTTGTGACCAAACTTCTTGACAATGGCTTTAAAGAGGCAGACTAAAGAACAGACAGTTACAATCTTGGTGATAATCTGTCCTTTAAGACCTTTTCCAATTTGTAGGAAAACTTAAAAGTTAAGTTTGAGAAGTACTGCTTCAATCTATCTCTAACATTTCCTGAAATTCTAACAGCTACCAGTTCCAAAGAGTTATATAATTTGCTAGGGAAAGGATCTATTCCAATGATAGCATTCTAGAGACCTTCTCTAGATTAGAATAAAATACCTCTAATGCAGGGGAAGTCAGAACTTGCCAGGAGAGTCTATCCAACCTTTTGATAGAACAGAGGAATATTATTTCTTATACTGATGCCAAAATCTGTCTATAATTTTTATGTTATTTACTCTGGTGTAAACATGTGGAATGCAGAATAATTATTATTCCTTTATGTAAGAAATGATTCCTCTCAAACAAGTGTAGCAGTTAATAACCTTCTTTTAATCAGTGGTATATTTTAAATACAAATGTAATGATAGAAATGTGCAAGAAAACCTAATCACTTAACTCTGTTTATTGGGTTTAGTGTTTCTAAACATCAGGTGTATCATACTGAAGATTAAACATGGACTTTGTTCATGGTTTCACATGAAAGGAGCTTGAAAGTCACCAAACTGTTCTAACAAGTGAAAAATCTAAATGAACTAAAAAATCAACAACTCTTTTTAGATTCATAAGAGATGTAAGAACACAGGAAAAACCATCACCCCAAAGTTCAGATCTATGACTACAGAGACTCACATCTTACTGGAAAAATATGAATGGAAAAACCACTGTGAGAACCAGTTCACAGGTAGGAAAACCAAACAACAAGTGTTGGATTGCTAGAGGCTCAGTATAAACGAGTGTGAGTTACAAATTTCAAGGGAATCCTCATGTCTCTAATCCCAACAGCTGAAGCAGGAAGATCATGCAAAAATGTACTAATAAGAAATGCTAGAGCTCAAAAAATACTGTAACATAAATGAAGAATGCCTTTGACAGACTTATTAGTAGACTGAACATAGCTGAGAAAAGGATCTCTGAATTTGACGATATATCCAAAACCAAAAAACATAGAACAAAGGCTGAAGAAAGCAGAACAGACTATCGAAAGCCTATAGAAGAACTACAAAAACTGTAACATGTACAGTTAGAATACCAGAAGGAGAAGAAAGGACCAGAAGCAACATTTCAAACAAAAATGACTAAGAATTTCCCCAAATTAATGTCAGGTATAAAACCACAGATCCAGTTTAGAGAACACAAAGTAGGATAAATGTCAAAAGTACTACACCTAGGCATATCCTTTTCAAACTACAGAAAATCAAAGATAGGGGAAAAAATATCCTGAAAGAAACCAGAGAAAATACAGCTTACGTATAAAGGAACAAAAACAAGAATTACATCTGACTTCTCCTAAAAACACATTCCAACAGGAAGAAAGATGAGAGTTAGGAAAAAATAATGACTCAAAATTCTGTGCCCCGTGCAAAATTATCTTTCAATAGTGGAGAAATAATAACTTTCTCAGATAAACAAAAACTGAGGAAATTTGCCGCAAGTAGACCTTCTTTACAAGAAATGTTAAAAGAAATTCAAGAGGAGGATAATATTGGATCAGAAACATGAATTTTCTTGTTTTTAATTTTATTTTATTGTTTTTACATTTATTCACATTGTGTATACATTGTTTGAGCCATCCTCTGCCTGTGGATTTTCATAAAGAGGATCTAAGAAGAATTAAGTGAAGGTAAAATAAAAACAATGTTTTTTTCATAGAGTTGTTTTAGAAGAATGATGGACCATGAAGCACTTCTTGAGAGTGGGAATGATTTTTTAGACAGGCAGCAAGATGGCACTAGAACCTTTTAAGCTGCTGTGTTGTTTCTCTACACAGTTTGGGGGAAAAAATCTTTATCATTCTAGCTCAGATTAGATGTACAAAGTTTTTTTTTTTTTTCCTGACCTACAAGTTTCTTTTTCTATATTCCCATGACTCATTCTTCATACTATGACATGGTACATATATCTAATTTGCCAGTGATCCAATTTATGTCTATTGTACCACTGAAGTTATTAATACCACCTCCTTTCACTGAAAGAGTATCCCAGGTTGTACTATAAGTAATATGATTATAAATGAGTAATTATCATCACTATATAAGTACATATATATACTTATATAGTATATATACTTACATATACTTTCCTACTCTATAATTTCT